ACTCTGGAGGTAGGGCTTGTACTGCGGTAAAGGGGGTCTGTCACAATCTGAAGGTAGGTCCGTTACTGCGGTAAGGGGGTTCTGACACGCTCTGGAAGTAGGGCCTGTCCTGCGGTAAGGGGGTTCTATCACACTCTGGAGGTAGGACCTGTACTGCAATTAGGGGGTTCTGTCACACTCTGGGGGTAGGGCCTTTACTGCGGTAAGGGGCTTCTGTCACGCTCTGGAGCTCGGGCCTGTACAGCGGTAAGGGGGTTCTGTCATATTCTGGAGGTAGGGCCTGTCCTGCGGTAAGGGGGTTCTATCACACTCTGAATGTAGGGCCTGTACTGCGGGAAGGGGGTCCTGTCACGCTCTGGAAGTAGGGCCTGTCCTGCGGTAAGGGGGTTCTATCACACTCTGAATGTAGGGCCTGTACTGCGGGAAGGGGGTCCTGTCACGCTCTGGAAGTAGGGCCTGTACTGCGGCAAGGGGGTTCTGTCACACTCTGGGGGTAGGGCCTTTACTGCGGTAAGGGGGTTCTATCACACTCTGAATGTAGGGCCTGTACTGCGGCAAGGGGGTTCTGTCACAATCTGAAGGCAGGGCCGGTACTGCGGTAAGGGGGTTATGTCACACTCTGAATGTAGGGCCTGTACTGCGATAAGGGGGTTCTGTCACCCTCTGGAGGTAGGGCCTTTACTGAGGTAAGGGGGTTCTGTCGCGCTCTGGAGGTAGGGCCTTTACTGAGGTAAGGGGGTTCTGTCCCGCTCTGAAGGTAGGGCCTGTACTGGGGTAAGGGGGTTCTGTCGCGCTCTGGAGGTAGGGCCTTTACTGCGGTAAGGGGCTTCTGTCACGCTCTGGATGTAGGGCCTGTACTGCGATAAGGGGGTTCTGTCACAATCTGGAGGTAGGGCCTTTACTGAGGTAAGGGGGTTCTGTCGCGCTCTGGAGGTAGGGCCTGTACTGCGGTAAGGGGGTTCTGTCACGCTCTGGAAGTAGGGCCTGTACTGCGGTAAGGGGGTTCTGTCACACTCTGAATGTAGGGCCTGTACTGCGGTAGGGGTACCAAAAGTTTTGTCCTCCACATACTGGAGTTGGGGTTTCTGACACACTCTTAGAGGTAGGGAACATGTCTGGGGTATCTCCAATTATCCAGGTAGGGTTAACGTTGGGGATGGAGAACTGAGGCCTCACATCAAAGAATGGAAGGCTGATCATGACTTAGTCAATGATTTTGGAATACATCTATCTACATGTTTATGCATACCATCATTACAGCCAGTGTTCCAATGTATATTTTCTTTTCAAGTGCCTGAACATGAAGATGATCAATGCATTTTCTCCCAGAATGGACAGGTTTTGGCCTTTCTCCTTTACTTCCTAAAAGCCTTTGTAATGTCCTTTGCCGTCATATTGCCAATAATTGGTATGGATATTAAATACATTAAGCTTCTGATAGGAATTGTCCCTGGTTAATACTTTAGCATGTAAATGCCAGATTGTCACAGGATACTAATATGATGGGCGACCATAAATTTTTCAAAGAAATAATGTACAGTAAAAACCCTGCTAACTTAAACATTCAGGATCCAGATCAATAGTTTCAGGCATATATGGTTGGTCCGAGATTGTCATGTATCAATCTGTTTAAATGTGATGGACAATATTATATATTGAAGCAAATGCATGTCACCAACAGTGTTGAACAACTATGTCAGTAATCAAAAGGAAAGATAAAACAAATACTGTTCAACAATACATGGAGCTATCCCTGTAACTATATGTCTATAAAAGCACAAAACTGTATTCGATACATACTTACTCTTTATTACATTTGATATTTGAAAACTAATAAACTTTGAATCAGCCTTTGTTAATATCTCCCCCCCCCCCCCCCCGAAAGAAAAAGAAAAACATTTACCGTCCCTCATTATATATGTTTCACCATAATTTATGCACAATGTTGATTATTTCTTAAATATACGTTAGACTTCCATCATCGTTACCAAACAATATATTTATTTTCCTTATCATTTATCTTCATACATAGTTGATCACTATAATAGTGTAACAGCTAAAGAAAAAAGGGAAAAAATACAGCCAAGCTAGCTTTTTTAGCAATGCACTAGCTACTACGCTGAGACATACTAGCTATATGTAATTCAGCAACGTTAAGCGGGGTCAGTGCCCGCCAGCCTGTTACATTTGGTGGCAGCGGTGGGATTCTAATGTATCATGAAAGGCCAGTATCCGATGTTAAGGGGAATCAAAGGTGCACTGATACACAAGGACCCACGGGAGGCCAAGTCTCAGGATGAGACATCTTAGACGGAGGAATAGTGTAACAACCAAGGAAGAATACTCCCTTACTGGCAAGCTAGCTTTTCCAGTGATGTGGTATATCCATGGGACTTGCTCACTAGTTCAGTAATGTTGAGCATGGTTAGTGGCTGGATGGGTGCCTGCTCACAAATTACATTTGGTGGCAGCGTAGTGTCGACCCTGTGGTATTATATAAGGCCAGTGCCTCCTGGCTCAAAGGAAAGGTGCATTAATTGGTACACAGAGATCCAGAGGACCCACAGGATTCCCCTGGCAAAGTCTTGGGTCAAGACTTCTCGTAAAGAAGAATAGTGAAAGCAGCCAAGGAATATTAAGGGAATATACTGCCTTACTGGCAAGATAAGTTTTCCAGCAATGTGTAATAACTCTGACACATGCTGATTTGTTCAGAGTGGTCAGTGGCTGGATGCATGGGAACCTGCTTGCATGTTACAATAATTCTTTTCTAACTTAGCTAATGATGATCATGAAGTCGACACACACAAAAAGTTGTTCCATCATGGTATGATTGAAATATCCCTATTTACTGTTTTTCAAATGATGAAATCACAAACAATCTGCATATATATGTTCAGAATTAAATTCATAATCTGTTTGTATAATCAGATTAAGAGTTCAGACAATGTCTAAACCTGTAAATTTAACCCTATGTATACATATTATTGATATTAAAGAATATTTCAATTCCTTTTCAAGTTGGTCTCAATGCAACTACCAAATGTAGCCTGTTTCATTTGCCGATGAATTTGACCAGATTAACATTGCCTGTGCGTATGATTTTGCAAAGGGAGATAACTATTGACATGTTTAAACAAAGATACCATGCACTTGATGAGATTTTACATTTTTATTGAAGCTACACAAGAAATTGTTCAAACAACCAAAAAACGATCAATCAGCAAAATATTATCAGCTCACGGTTGCTAGCGGTAGCTTACAAGCCATGTACTGCCCTAGAAATTCTCCCTCCAGCTACCCATTCTGCCTCTTGTGTCAGTATCAACCCCCGGTACTGTACAAATCGAAAACAATGTAGATCCATGCGGTCCCGTCTTATATGAAATGCCGTCGAACAGCCAACTGCCATATCAAATTATTTCGTCCTTTCAAGCAACGTCTGGTGTCCTGTCTAATTTGACATTCAATTAGTGCAGCTGCACATTTCAGAAGATGTAGAACCTTGAAATGTAGCGGCTCTCCACTTCGAGCTAGTAAAAAGATGGATGCAGTAGACTCGCTGCAGAGCCTGGGCACCCGTGTCTAGACATTATTCTTCCGCGATGATGCGTTAGAAAATTTGATATCTTATGAATCATCAACAAAACTTAAATATGACATTTAGAATATGGTTTTGTGTTTTGTTTCTAAATAATTTGGCTGTAGTAAACTATCAACGTACACCATCATGTTGTATGATGGTCCTTCAATGAAGGACCATACTTTTATTTACATTACGTCAATACGTAGACTTGTACAAGCTCCAGAACCTATAAGGGCAAACTAACAAAACTATCAGAATGAAATTCACAAGTTCCAATTATTGAAAAAAAAGAAGTTGATTGAAATATAAGGTTTGAATCTTGCTTTGGTCGATTTCATGGGGTGATGCATTGAGTTGGTCTTAAAAAAAATTCAACATGAACCGTGTTAATTTGCAGTTCATTAAATTTTTTCAAGACCAACTCAATTCATCACCCAATGAAATCGACCAAAGCAAGATTCTAAATGAAGACAGCAATAGTTTTTTTAAACTTTTCTGATGTAAAAATCCTGTGGTGTCATTTTTTAATGTTAGGTGATTTGATCATGATATTTTAACGCCTAAACATTTAATAACCTATCACGACAGAAAAAGTATCCATAAATACTGTGTTTTAATTTTCAGGTCCTATGATGTACTGTACACCTATCAATTATAATCAGATCTATAACTGTCAACTAGAGTGAAATGAAAGCGTTTTATATTTAATTAAATAACAGCTCATATATAATTTACCAGTAACACCCAGCGTTTCAGTCTGTGACACATTTTACAGTGTACTACAATGTAACAAGTCATTTGTTACTCAATAGATATAAATTTTCCACATTAGCTTTAACATTCCATAGTTTTAGGATCCGACTATATTCATCTCGTGCATGTTAAGATGTAAGTACAGCAATGATGTAATAGTCTATGAAGCCCGGAGAGAACCGAGATAACCGTCATGGTCAGTTCCGGTACGTGTGGACATACCATACATGTGATTGTGGTATGGTTTATAAACACACATGGCCTCAAAATCGGTGGTCCGAGGCATTGTTTGTCAATAAAAACATGTACTGCACGCTCCACTGCCGTCTACCAAACACGGTATGGCCAGCCGATATAACGGTACACTTCCATCGACCAAGTCCAGGTCCGTGGCTACCGGGATTTAGCGCATATATCAATACTACAAATCTATAAAAACAACACAACTCTTTCAATAGGGTTTTGGGATAACCATGAACTGCATGTGTTTGTGTGCACGATTTCCCCCGTCTATCGTTGTAGACCAAGAAAGTGATGTTTTTTCCAGCAACATTCCTCGCCAACCGGCCTTGAAGTGGCCTCGGCCAGGAAGTTTAAATCAGCTGGAGGGATCAGTGATGGAGCAATGAGTGGCTGACACCTCCAAACAAATGCAACTTACCTTCAATAACGAAACATTCAAAATGAAGCTGTATCTATCCTCTTATTTCATCCGAATAGGCATTTCGTGTTCTGCCATTTTCACTCACTATCGTATTATGTTGACATAACCAGCCAATCGAATGGAGCCCAGTGATCATGTGATTGGTGTGGCTCTCGCTCTCCTCAGCAGCGTGAATATTCCCGGGGAATTAGCATGGTAGCCGTAAGGAAAGAGACACTGAAATAACACCTCTTGACTCGCAATAAGAAAATAATGTGACTTGTCTGATCCGATTAATAAATTTCTATTTCCTATGGTCGACATGTATGTGTAACATGGTGTGTATATTTGTACTGAATCTCATAATCAAACTTAGAAAAATGACAAACGATTTTTAATAGCGATTATAGATATATATTATATTCATTGACGATATTAAATTAACAAAAATTGCACAGGGTTTATTATTAGTATAGTACAGAGCTATATAATTATATATGTTTTGGTTTTAATTGCCATAAATATTTGTAATTTGATACGTATTGACTGATATGGCTCAAGTATATATCTGTTTTAATGTATAGGCCGGATATGCATGGACAAAAGTTTTCCAGTGAAATCTTTACAGGGGAGACTCAAATGTGCTTAAAATCAGATAACCTAAACCTAACTAATCAAGATCTTAAGATATATGGTTAAAGAGCTTATAATTAATCTCTGTAAAAATTGCTGCATGATTTTATAAATTAATACAAAAAAAGTTATTTATCATAAAAACATAACTAGAAGTGTCACTAAGATATGAAAATAACTAATGTCTGCTGATAGTACCCACTTGTTAGATCTGTGACCTTGGTACGGATGCTGGTTGTACCCAACTGTTAGATCTGGGACCTTGGTACTGATGCTGGTAGTACCCACCCATTAGATCTGTGACCTTGGTACGGATGCTGGTAGAACCTATTCCCGTTAGATCTGTGACCTTGGTACGGATGCTGGTAGTACCCACCTGTTAGATCTGTGACCTTGGTACGGATGCTGGTAGTACCCACCTGTTAGATCTGTGACCTTGGTACGGATGCTGGTAGTACCCACCTGTTAGATCTGTGACCTTGGTACGGATGCTGGTAGTACCCACCTGTTAGATCTGTGACCTTGGTACGGATGCTGGTAGTACCCACCTGTTAGATCTGTGACCTTGGTACGGATGCTGGTAGTACCCACCTGTTAGATCTGTGACCTTGGTACGGATGCTGGTAGTACCCACCTGTTAGATCTGTGACCTTGGTACGGATGCTGGTAGTACCCACCTGTTAGATCTGTGACCTTGGTACGGATGCTGGTAGTACCCACCTGTTAGATCTGTGACCTTGGTACGGATGCTGGTAGTACCCACCTGTTAGATCTGTGACCTTGGTACGGATGCTGGTAGTACCCACCTGTTAGATCTGTGACCTTGGTACGGATGCTGGTAGTACCCACCTGTTAGATCTGTGACCTTGGTAAGGATGCTGGTAGTACCCACTCGTTAGATCTGTGACCTTGGTACGGATGCTGGTAGTACCCACCTGTAAGGTCTGTGACCTTGGTAGGGATGCTGGTAGTACCCACCCGTTAGATCTGTGACCTTGGTACGGATGCTAGTAGTACCCACTCGTTAGATCTGTGACCTTGGTAAGGATGCTGGTAGTACCCACTCGTTAGATCTGTGACCTTGGTACGGATGCTAGTAGTACCCACCTGTAAGGTCTGTGACCTTGGTAGGGATGCTGGTAGTACCCACCCGTTAAATCTGTGACATTAGTATGGATGCTGTTAGTACCCACCTGTTAGATCTTTGACATTGGTAGGGATGCTGGTAGTACCCACCTGTTAGATCTGTGATCTTGGTAAGGATGCTGGTAGTACCCACCTGTTAGATTTGTGACCTTGGGACGGATGCTGGTAGTACCCACCTGTTAGATCTGGGATCTTGGTAAGGATGCTGGTAGTACCCACCCGCTAGATTTGTGACCTTGGTACGGATGCTGGTAGTACCCACCCGTTAGATCTGTGACCTTGGTACGGATGCTAGTAGTACCCACTCGTTAGATCTGTGACCTTGGTACGGATGCTAGTAGTACCCACTCGTTAGATCTGTGACCTTGGTACGGATGCTGGTAGTACCCACCTGTTAGATCTGTGATCTTGGTAAGGATGCTGGTAGTACCCACCCGTTAGATTTGTGACCTTGGTACGGATGCTGGTAGTACCCACCCGTTAGATCTGTGACATTTGTACGGATGCTGGTAGTACCCACCCGTTAGATCTGTGACATTGGTACGGATGCTGGTAGTACCCACCCGTTAGATCTGTGACATTTGTACGGATGCTGGTAGTACCCACCCGTTAGATCTGTGACATTAGAACGGATGCTGGTAGTACCCACCTGTTAGATCTGTGACATTGGTACGGATGCTGGTAGTACCCACCTGTTAGATCTGTGATATTAGTACGGATGCTGGTAGTGAAATGTCAGCTGCTGCTTTATCTGTATTTTCATCTTCATCTTCACAAATAATGTGTAATTTCAAATATAGGGGAACCATGTATGTTGTAAATAAAAATAACTGTATTTTACATCATACATATTGCTTAAATCATCTAAAAATTGATGTACTGGTAACACTGCATAAAGGAACAATTATGTTACAGTGCTTAAAGGGACATTATCTGTCCTGTAGATGTGTTTCATACTTATTAGTATACTGTATAGGAGCATGAGTGCAACCTTCAAATCAAAAAGCTGGTCAGAAGAAATCTGTCTATTAAATAATACAACCACACAAGTTTTTGATACCATACTTTATCTACAAATTGATTGATTATGCATATACATTTACATATACACCACACGAAGTTTTTGATACCATACTTTATCTACAAATTGATTGATTATGCATATACATTTACATATACATCACACAATCACACATGGGTTAACAAATATCTGCCCTCCTTTGTCACAAAAATAAAAACTCCCTACAGAAAAGTTTAGAGACATTATACTTTGATATATCACAGATATAAAAAACACATCATACATACTTAGTAAATTGTTGATATCATTCTAATTTTGACAATGATCATACATATTGACATACCTTGCTGAAATATTGATAACTACAAAAATCAAATATCAGACACTGATAATCACAAAGTACTAATTTTCACTTGATAATCAAATCACATTTTTGTTCAGATAATTAACCTGGAACATACTGGGAAACAAACATCTGTTTAATTATCAGGCTAAAATATACAAACCTTCGAAACAAAACATCTGTTACCCTGGCCCAAACAAATGTCTGTTACTAGGCCCAAACAAATGTCTGTTACTAGGCCAAAACAAACATCTGTAGCTAGGCCCAAACAAAACATCTGTTACCAGGCCAAAACAAATATCTGTTACCAGGCCAATACAAAACATCTGTTACTAAGGCCCAAAGAAATGTTTGTTACTAGGCCAAAACAAAACACCTGTTATCAGGACCAAACAAAACATCTGTTACCAGGCCCAAACGAAACATCTGTTACCAGGCCCAAACAAAACATCCGTTATCAGGCCCAAACAAAACATCTGTTATCAGGCCCAAACAAAACATCTGTTACCAGGTCCAAATGAAACATCTGTTACCAGGCCCAAACAAACATCTGTTACCATGCCCAAACAAACATCGGTTACTAGGCCCAAACAAATGCCTGTTACTAGGCCCAAGAAAAATATATATTCCTAGGCCAAAACAAATGTCTGTTATTAGGCACAAACGAACATCTGTTTCTAGGCCCAAACAAAACATCTGTTACCAGGCCCAAACAAACATCTTTAATTAGGCCCAAACAAATGCCTGTTACTAGGCCCAAACAAAACATCTGTTACTAGGCCCAAGAAAAATATATATTACTAGGCCAAAACAAATGTCTGTTATTAGGCACAAACAAACATCTGTTACTAGGCCCAAACAAATGTCTGTTACTAGGCCCAAACAAATTTCTGTTATTAGGCCAAAACAAACATCTGTTAATAGGCAGAAACAAAACAACTGTTACCAGGCCCAAACAACATCTGTTACCAGGCTGAACAATCAAACTGATATAAATGCATTCTCATGTAAACACACATTTTGACATGAACCTAAAGAAATAAAGAAAAATCAAGATTAGACTGATGTCTATATTATTTCTTAATCCTGGTACTTATTGCATGATATATCAGTTATTACCTGATCAGAACTGTGTTCTGCATATGCATGCTATTTATGCATGGACCTGGACGGAACCATTATTTGGACACTATAAAAATATTAGGTCTCTGGACAGACCTGTTACCTAGATATAAAAATATTACCAGGACAGGACTGCTATATCTACACAGACCTTTTGCAAGGACGAAACAATTATCCTGACAGAAATTTTACCTGAGCAGATCCATTTTACAGGGCAGATGTTAAATGGACAGAAATGTTACCTTTAAGACCTGTTAATTAGTGTCAGCTACGTACCTGGATGGACACAACTTGACTGATAGTGACTCATGTGTCCTAGCACTGCAGCAAACAGGTTAAACCTATCAAAGCTGTCGACTCCCCTCCCACTACTCTCATCAAAGTCTGTCAACCTGCCCCTTCCAGCACTCATTAACTGTGTGACAGCCTGCTAACTCATCATTAAGAATTCTGACAGACATCAGTTCTATATGAACAAGTGTCATCCAATTAATATTGACTTTCATGTGTCATGGACAGTAAGATTTACATATTGGTGATTGGTTTTACATCACTAAACCATACAATATGGTACAATCTGGTACAATCTATATAATAAATACAAGACCAGATGAAATAGGTCTTGGTCTGTTGAATGTGTAATGTAAGTTGTTAAGTTTTGGCACTATATTGTATGACGTGTAACATACTTGTTACATTGTGACATTGTCCTAGGGAATCTTTACACCATAACTTAATTTATTCAGTCCAATGGTCATTGAGAGGATCAGTACACATACATTACATAAAACTAGAACCAGCATTTGAACTTAAAGAATGCCTCCAAGTCTGGATCATCAACATCCTTCCTGTTCACACCGGCATACACTTTCTTCAGAAGTTCGGTCTTAAACTTGTCTTCTAGAACTTTGACATATCTCTCTAACACACCTAAAAAGAAACAAGAGATGTGTCAGAACATGCTTATAGCATTATCATAAGGTCACACAACTGCATCTGTGTCAGGTCACACAACTACATCTTTGTCAGGTCACACAACTACATCTTTGTCAGGTCATATAACATTATCTGTGTTAGGTCACACAACATTATCTGTGTCAGGTCACACAACATTATCTGTGGCAGGTCACACAACATAATGCGTCAGGTCACACAACACTATGTGTCAGGTCACATAACTACATCTTTGTCAGGTCACACAACATTATGTGTCAGGTCACACAACTACATCTTTGTCAGGTCATACAACATCATCTTTGTCGGGTCATACAACATCATCTTTGTCAGGTCACACAACATTATGTGTCAGGTCACACAACATTATGTGTCAGGTCACACAACATTATGTGTCATGTCACACAACATTATGTGTCAGGTCAAACAACATTATGTGTCAGGTCACACAACTACATCTTTGTCAGGTCATACAACATCATCTTTGTCAGGTCATACAACATCATCTTTGTCAGGTCACACAACATTATGCGTCAGGTCACACAACATTATGTGTCAGGTCATACAACATTATCTGTGTCAGGTCACACAACATTATGTGTCAGGTCATACAACATTATCTTTGTCAGGTCATACAACATCATCTTTGTCAGGTCACACAACATTATGCGTCAGATCACACAACATTATGTGTCAGGTCATACAACATTATCTTTGTCAGGTCATACAACATCATCTTTGTCAGGTCACACAACATTATCTGTCAGGTCATGATCACACAACATTATCTGTGTCAGGTCACACAACATCATCTTTGTCAGGTCATACAACATCATCTTTGTCAGGTCACACAACATTATGTGTCAGGTCACACAACATTATCTGTGTCAGGTCACACAACATTATCATTGTCAGGTCACACAACATTATCTGTGTCAGGTCACACAACAATATCTGTGTCAGGTCATGATCACACAATATTATCTGTGTCAGGTCACACGACATTATCTGTGTCAGGTCACACAACATTATCTGTGTCAGGTCACACAACATTATCTGTGTCAGGTCATGATCACACAACATTATCTGTGTTAGGTCACACAACATTATCTGTGTCAGGTCACACAACATTATCTTTGCCAGGTCACACAACATTATCTTTGTCAGGTCACACAGCATTATCTGTGTCAGGTCATGATCACACAACATTATATGTGTCAGGTCACACAACATTATCTGTGTCAGGTCACACACAACATTATCTGTGTCAGGTCACACAACAATATCTGTGTCAGGTCATGATCACACAACATTATCTGTGTCAGGCCACACAAAATCATCTTTGTCAGGTCACACAACATTATCTGTGTCAGGCCACACAACAATCTCTGCTCATAGGTTTTCTTAGTTAAAAAGAAGTCAACTGTGTCCTTGTCCTTACCTAGTCCCAAAACACGACCGTAGGAGATCATGTAAGTTTGGAGGCGTGGGTCGTCATAACTCTGTGTTTTCATCAGGAGACGTACTAACTCTCCAATAATAAAAGCGTCATCAAATGAGGGCTCCTCCGGCATTGGGAACTTAGAATAGACATCTACAGCTCCAGCTGGGTCTGTCTTCGTCAGCATTTCTGCCAGCTCAATATAGGCATCGTGTACCTAGGACAGTTATTTAATGTAATCTCATGGTAGGATAATAGGTTTAGGACAAAATCTTACATGATCACAATCAAATAAAGTTCACATATCCTGACTATACCGGAAAACTTTTACACAATCAAATATCTGCCCCTCATTGGTAGAATCCATATTCGCCTGGTGTAAATTTCACCCTTCACATGTTATTACTATGAAGGGTAAACTGTACTATTATTCACAATATTCATATTCATGATAAAGTTGATCACATTTCGGAGGGAAAAAGGCGATAATAAAACCGCAGCGAAAAATTTCTGTATATACAGTGTTATCATTTAACCTCACACTCTAAAAAAGCAAAGACTTTCAGTGTACCGTATAACCTGAGATGTTCGTGTGTACTTTCTTTGGTGGTTTGGAGCTTTCAGGTTATTTAGTAGGTACAAACTTTCGTGCAATTAAAAGAATTATCATAGAGGTAAAGTAAATATAACTGGGGTGGAGCGTTAACAGCATGCTAAGAAAACACTGATCTGTTCTCGCGACACCCAGTCTAAGGCCTACCATTTCACTTGATGCGTAACATATTTAATTAGTCAATACTTAATGATATTTATAAAATAGATTGATAACACATGTCCATTGCAGTAAAAACATACCTTGTCTTAAATGAAATGGTCAATTATCAATTGTACAATGTACTACACTTTTGTCGGCACATTTTTAATTGAAGTAAAGTTCATATAATTTTCACATTTTGGTTGTGTATTCCCTTTCCAGTTGTAGAAATATTTGTACCATTTATGTTTGTAGTTCCATATCAAGCACAAAAACAACGAAAGTTTATACACAACAAACATTTCATGTTATACAGTATTTGTTATACCTCTGGTGTCATGTTATACAGTGTTTGTTATACCTCTGGTGTCATGTTATACAGTATTTGTTATACCTCTGGTGTCATGTTATACAGTATTTGTTATACCTCTGGTGTCATGTTATACAGTATTTGTTATACCTCTGGTGTCATGTTATACAGTATTTGTTATACCTCTGGTGTCATGTTATACAGTATTTGTTATACCTCTGGTGTCATGTTATACAGTATTTGTTATACCTCTGGTGTCATGTTATACAGTATTTGTTATACCTCTGGTGTCATGTTATACAGTATTTGTTATACCTCTGGTGTCATGTTATACAGTATTTGTTATACCTCTGGTGTCATGTTATACAGTATTTGTTATACCTCTGGTGTCATGTTATACAGTATTTGTTATACCTCTGGTGTCATGTTATACAGTATTTGTTATACCTCTGGTGTCATGTTATACAGTATTTGTTATACCTCTGGTGTCATGTTATACAGTATTTGTTATACCTCTGGTGTCATGTTATACAGTATTTGTTATACCTCTGGTGTCATGTTATACAGTATTTGTTATACCTCTGGTGTCATGTTATACAGTATTTGTTATACCTCTGGTGTCATGTTATACAGTATTTGTTATACCTCTGGTGTCATGTTATACAGTATTTGTTATACCTCTGGTGTCATGTTATACAGTATTTGTTATACCTCTGGTGTCATGTTATACAGTATTTGTTATACCTCTGGTGTCATGTTATACAGTATTTGTTATACCTCTGGTGTCATGTTATACAGTATTTGTTATACCTCTGGTGTCATGTTATACAGTATTTGTTATACCTCTGGTGTCATGTTATACAGTATTTGTTATACCTCTGGTGTCATGTTATACTTTTTTTCTTATACCTCTGGTGTCATGTTATACAGTATTTGTTATACCTCTGGTGTCATGTTATACAGTATTTGTTATACCTCTGGTGTCATGTAATACAGAATTTGTCATACCTCTGGTGTCATGTTATAAAGTATTTGTTATACCTCTGGTGTCATGTTATAAAGTATTTGTTATGCCTCTGGTGTCATGTTATACAGTATTTGTCCTACCTCTGGTATCATGTTATACAGTATTTGTTATACCTCTTGTGTCATGTTATACAGTATTTGTTATACCACTGGTGTCATGTTATACAGTATTTGTTATTCCTCTGGTGTCATGTAATACAGAATTTGTTATACCTCTGGTGTCATGTTATAAAGTATTTGTTATACCTCTGGTGTCATGTTAAACAGTAATCGCTATACCTCTGGTGTCATGTTATACCTCTGGTGTCATGTTATACAGAATTTGTCATACCTCTGGTGTCATGTTATAAAGTATTTGTTATGCCTCTGGTGTCATGTTATACAGTATTTGTATACCTCTGGTGTCATGTTAAACAGTAATCGCTATACCTCTGGTGTCATGTTATACCTCTGGTGTCATGTTATACAGCCTCTGGTGTCATGTTATACAGCTTTTTTTCTTATACCTCAGGTGTCATGTTATACAGTATTTGTTATACATCTGGTGTCATGTTATACAGTATTTGTTATTCCTCTGGTGTCATGTTATACAGTATTTGTCATCCCGCTGGTGTCATGTTTTACAGTATTTGTTATACCTCTGGTGTCATATTATACATTATTTGTTATACCTCTGGTGTCATGTTATGCAGTATTTGTTATACCTCTGGTGTCATGTTAAACAGTAATCGCTATACCTCTGATGTCATGGTAATGACATCATTGTAGTTTGTCTGGGACTCTTGGATGTTTCCTGCCGCCCGTCATGTTATACAGTATTTGTTATACCTCTGGTGTCATATTATACATTATTTGTTATACCTCTGGTGTCATGTTATGCAGTATTTGTTATACCTCTGGTGTCATGATATACAGTATTTGTTATGCCTCTGGTGTCATGATATACAGTATTTGTTATTCCTTTGGTGTCATGTTATACAGTATTTGTTATACCTCCGGTGTCATGTTATACAGTATTTGTTATCCCTCTGGTGTCATGTTATACAGTATTTGTGATACCTCTGGTGTCATGTTATACAGTATTTATTTGTTATACCTCTGGTGTCATGTTATATACTATTTGTTATACCTCTGGTGTCATGTTAAACAGTAATCGCTATACCTCTGGTGTCATGTTATACCTCTGGTGTCATGTTATACCTCTGGTGTCATGTTATACCTCTGGTGTCATGTTATACCTCTGGTGTCATGTTATACAGCATTTGTTATACCTCTGGTGTCATGTAATACAGAATTTGTCATACCTCTGGTGTCATGTTATACAGCATTTGTTATACCTCTGGTGTCATGTAATACAGAATTTGTTATACCTCTGGTGTCATGTTATAAAGTATTTGTTATACCTCTGGTGTCATGTTAAACAGTAATCGCTATACCTCTGATGTCATGGTAATGACATCATTGTAGTTTGTCTGGGACTCTTGGATGTTTCCTGCCGCCCGTCATGTTATACAGTATTTGTTATACCTCCGGTGTCATGTTATACAGTATTTGTTATCCCTCTGGTGTCATGTTATACAGTATTTGTATACCTCTGGTGTCATGTTAAACAGTAATCGCTATACCTCTGGTGTCATGGTAATGACATCATTGGAGTTTGTCTGGGACTCTTGGATGTTTCCTGCCGCCCGTCATGTTATACAGTATTTGTTATACCTCCGGTGTCATGTTATACAGTATTTGTTATCCCTCTGGTGTCATGTTATACAGTATTTGTTATTCCTCTGGTGTCATGTAATACAGAATTTGTTATACCTCTGGTGTCATGTTATAAAGTATTTGTTATACCTCTGGTGTCATGTTAAACAGTAATCGCTATACCTCTGGTGTCATGGTAATGACATCATTGTAGTTTGTCTGGGACTCTTGGATGTTTCCTGCCGCCCTGAATGCCCTTGCTAAACCCAAGTGGGGGTAATATGATGTCCTGTTGATGGGGGTTCCTTTAGGGGGTGCTGCAGGGGCTGTGGTGTCCGCGGGAGGGGTTGTGGAAGCTGGAGCCTTGGCGGCAGGTACCTCTGTGATAGATATGAGAGTAAAATAACAGTGTTAGAATTTATTGATAAAGCAAGGAAGAAACTGTATACCTTAATAACCCAAAGGTTTATAAACATGGTTGAGGCACAATATACATGTGATGTTTTTCTGATTATTAATTGTTAATTTTGTTTGGGTGAGTATACGTCCTATAACCTATTTGTGCTGTTCTACACTACGGTACCGTATTAGTATATTTTGCATATCTGTGTTTCTCAGTATTTATACTTTGTACATTTTAGTTATACTTTTATTTTCTATTGTGATAAGTAGATTATAATAAATAACTCAAAATTAGTGAAAAAACTTTTTGTATCTGATCTTAATTCCAGGTTAACCCTTTCACCACTGTAGACCATAATGGACTCATCCATATCAATGAGTGGTAGAGTCTACTAAAGTTACACAGGGGTGAAAGGGTTAAGGAGTAAATTTGTGATAATTATGTTGACGGTCTCTGATTGGCTGATGTTGAGCACCTCTACTTACCAGAAGGAATGTTACTTAATTTTATTTGCTGACTCCTTAAAATCTAGATTAAAAACAATCTGATACGATGAAAATTGAGATTTCAAGACATACTGCTAATACCCCTACCAATAAAGACTGTAGGCAATATTGTAATGGCACTTGTCTGTCTGTCCCACTACCATTTCTGCACAATAACTTCAGTTCCATTGAGTTCTAATCAAAATTTATACAGTACTTCCTTACTGAAAGAATTATTTGGGATTGCTTGTAGGACTGAAAGTCAGAGGTCAAGGTCACTGTCACTATAAATAGAATTGCTGATTTCTGCACAATATCTTTACTTCCGATTGGCCAGACATGGCAACTGCTTCCCCAAGGTAGGTGTTTGTTTATGATTGCTTTTCATTTTCAAAAATCAAAGGTCAAGATAACTGCATACTATCAATAGAAAATAAGTTTCTGTGCATTAGGTCAAGTTCCTGTGGCCTGGTCAAACTTCGTACACCTCTTTCTTACAGAAAATGCTTGCTTAGGATTGCTTTCCACATCCAAAGGTCAAGATCACCTGTGCTTTGAGTGAAACATAGTTTCTGCTCAATAACTCCAGTTTCAGTTGGCCTATTACACTCAAAACTTCATCCTTTGCTTCCACAATATAAGTGACAGCTTGGGATTGCTTCTGAGGTTCAAAAGAAAATGTCACTTTTTCTATATATGGAGCATTTCATTCATTCCATTCTACACAAATACTACAGCTTAAAAAATCAAACCATTTCATCTATCACCTTCAACATTGATTGGAGGGATGAGTATTGCTCACCGATACCCGTTTTAAACTTTACCTTCCTTTTTGACGGGTACCTTGGGGTCACAGTGATACCCTGTTTTACCTGACATACCTTCCTTTTTGACTGGTGCCTTGGGGTCACAGTGATACCCTGTTTTACCTGACATACTTTCCTTTTTGATGGGTAGCTTGGGGTCACAGTGATACCCTGTTTTACCTGACATACCTTCCTTTTTGACTGGTACCTTGGGGTCACAGTGATACCCTGTTTTACCTGACATACCTTCCTTTTTGATGGGTGCCTTGGGGTCACAGTGATACCCTGTTTTACCTGACATACTTTCCTTTTTGATGGGTAGCTTGGGGTCACAGTGATACCCTGTTTTACCTGACATACCTTCCTTTTTGACGGGTACCTTGGGGTCACAGTGATACCCTGTTTTACCTGACATACCTTCCTTTTTGACGGGTGCCTTGGGGTCACAGTGATACCCTGTTTTACCTGACATACCTTCCTTTTTGATGGGTACCTTGGGGTCACAGTGATACCCTGTTTTAACTGACATACCTTCCTTTTTGACGGGTGCCTTGGGGTCACAGTGTTACCCTGTTTTAACTGACATACATTCCTTTTTGACGGGTGCCTTGGGGGTCACAGTGACACCCTGTTTTAACTGACATACCTTCCTTTTTTATGGGTACCTTGGGGTCACAGTGATACCCTGTTTTACCTGACATACCTTCCTTTTTGACGGGTGCCTTGGGGTCACAGTGATACCCTGTTTTACCTGACATACCTTCCTTTTTGATGGGTACCTTGGGGTCACAGTGATACCCTGTTTTACCTGACATACCTTCCTTTTTGACGGGTACCTTGGGGTCACAGTGATACCATGTTTTAACTGACATACCTTCCTTTTTGACGGGTGCCTTGGGGTCACAGTGATACCCTGTTTTACCTGACATACCTGCCTTTTTGATGGGCAGCTTGGGGTCAAAGTGATACCCTGTTTTACCTGCCATACCTTCCTTTTTGACGGGTACCTTGGGATCACAGTGTTACCCTGTTTTAACTGACATACATTCCTTTTTGACGGGTGCCTTGGGGGTCACAGTGATACTCTGTTTTAACTGACATACCTTCCTGTTTGACGGGTGCCTTGGGGTCACAGTGGTGAGTCTTTGCTGCTGGTTTTGCAGGAGCAGCTTTACCCACTGGAGCCTGAAATAGAATTCACCAGGCAGGATCCAAAATTATCATCTTTTACTTCAGTCAAAATTTCATACTGTATACTGAAAGAAAGCAGTACATAGACAATGGGAGATTCTGACTAAAAGATGTTTTGTACAAGAGGCCATATTGTGATCTGGGAGCCTCAAAATTCAGCTGCCTGTCACTTTGCAGTGTATACCAACTTATACATTATACTGCAGTGATAATACTTCAATCTATAGTAAACCTGTGCGACACACAATATTTATCTAATTGACAGCTGTCATGAACAGGGAAGGGTCGTAATTACATCAATTTACTCATTGATAGGAACTACCTGTACATACCAGCTAGGTACATTTCAATGATATGGAATATTGCATCAGTTTAATGTTGAATACAAAAGGTGTGTTACACTCCGTAAGTAATTAAGAAGTCTGAATTAGAGGGATAGTGTATCTAGACAGTAATTACCTTGGCAGCCGCAGCACCTCCCCGAGCAGCGCCCCGTGCCGCCACACCTGTGGACAACAAGCATAATTAATAGGAGACAGGTTCACGGGTTAAACTTGTTTCTGTAAATAATACATCACTACTAGTATCTCCAATCACTTTAAATGAACATTGATATATTGTTTATTTAAGATATCTTCTAAGGCTAGGTGTACAGCAACTTTTTCTGTGACCCTGATGAACAAGTTACCTCCCCTGGCTGGGGGAGTGCCCCTGCCTCTAGCAGCAGGTGCCCCCCTTGCGGCCCCTCTGACAGCCGGTGCCCCCCTTGCGGCCCCTCTGACAGCTGGTGCACCCCTCCCTGCAGGTTTGACAGCGGGTCCAGCTTTCTTTGCCTCTTCAGCTTTTTTCTTCTCTTCTTCTGCTTTGATTTTCTGTTGCCACCAATCCTGACCTGGAAAAGTACACCACAGATAGATTGTATGAGAAGTATGGAGATTATCTGTATGACAACTGATTTATCCATTTCAAATGGATAAAATATGTACCAGAGAAAAACAAAAAGATACAAAATTCAACTATCGAAACAATTGTTTTTGGGCTTAATCTGTCACTGTGTCTTATATATATAGTTTGTCTAATGATTTGCTTGTCTGAGGGTTACCTATTACTGTACCTGCTAGTTACCTGTTAGTTTGGTTTGGTGGTTACACATTATTGTACATGTAATTAAAAGCTTGTCTCAGATTTACCTGTTAGTTTGTCTAGAGGGTTGCCAGCCATTGGCTTGCCTTCCAGATCGATAGAAACCTCATATGATGAGATGCTGTGCTGAAGTAGAGTATTTGCTGAGTCCCCAGGTGGTGTGTTCTCATACTGAGCAAATTGGGCGGCGCCCAGGAGGTAGAGGGCGTGGCTACTGCATGGTTGTATCTGTACCAACTGCTGACACGTCTACATACCAAAAACATATCACTTAACATGCTATACAATATAATAATCACACGTCTACAGACCAAAATCATATCACTTAACATGCTATACAATATAATAATCACACGTCTACAGACCAAAATCATATCACTTAACATGCTATACAATATAATAATCACACGTCTACAGACCAAAATCATATCACTTAACATGCTATACAATATAATAATCACACGTCTACAGACCAAAATCATATCACTTAACATGCTATACAATATAATAATCACACGTCTACAGACCAAAATCATATCAATTAACATGCTATACAATATAATAATCACACGTCTACAGACCAAAATCATATCACTTAACATGCTATACAATATAATGATCACTCGTCTACAAACCAAAATCATATCACTTAACATGCTATACAATATAATAATCACACGTCTACAGACCAAAATCATATCACTTAACATCTACAAGGTATACATGCTTTTCTTCATTTACAGTACAATTTGTGGAGATTAAAATACCACTGACCTTCTCTTGTAGTTGTAGAAGCTGTTCATTCATCGGAATTGAGGAACTAAATATGAGGGCAGACAGTCTCATACATCGCTGAGCTATGATCTTCTCCTGACCGCTCTGCTTGCTGGACAGCATGTTCAGTAAATAAGAGTGAGCGTCCAGTAGGACCCACTCCACCTGTTTGAACGTGTCCCCCTTACTCATCTTAGGTAGGATCTGAGACGCCAGTAGTGCTGCTCTGTTCCAACAAAAGTCATGCCCTTTCACCAAACATATTTCTGCAATTGCCATACAGTCAAGCTCTTCAGTCTCATACAGATAATCTCCATAATTCTCACACAAATAATTTATCCGTAGTCGTATAATATCTATACTCCTCATACAAATAGTCTATCTGTAGTTGTCATAAAAAAATCTCCATCATACAGATTATCTCCATACTACTCATACAAATAATTTATCTGAAGTCATCATACAGATTATCTCCATATTACTCATACAAATAATCTAACTGAAGTCATTATACAGTTTTCTCCCACACCTGACAGATTTATCTCCTGTTTTGCCGGTGCTAGATTTATCTGTCTCTGCCCTAGGGTTGAGACGGGGGGATTCCCCTTTTCATAACAATGGCATGACGTCACTTCAACAATACAATGACGTCACGTCAACAATCCATCAACAAATTGCCTGTATGTGTTTTGGGTCCATGTTTACCTTTATTTCACATTAAAATACTGTTAGATATGGGAAAAAAATAATCAATCGTTACTGGTTGTGTAAGATAGAGAAATCTCAACCCTCGGACTAAGATTTTTTGTCCAGAACGAGGCTTGCCGAGTTCTGGACAAAAAATCTTAGTCCGAGGGTTGAGATTTCTCTATCTTACACAACCAGTAGCGATAGATTCTATTCATCTCCATACTACTCATACAAATAATCTAACTGAAGTCATCATACAGATTATCTCCATACTACTCATACAAATAATCTATATGAAGTTGTCATACAGATTATCTCCATACTACTCTTGAAATAATTTATCTGAAGTTGTCTTACAGATTATCTCCATACTACTCAAACAAATAATCTATCTTTAGTTTTCATACAGATTATCTCCATACTACTCATACAAATAATCTAACTGAAGTCATCATACAGATTATCTCCATACTACTCATACAAATAATCTATTTGAAGTCATCATACAGATAATCTCAATAAATTGTCTGTGACCACAGCCGTTCTTATGTATGGAACACATCTCGTGTGTCTATACAGTAAATTGTCTGTAACAGCTGTACTTATGTATGGAACACATCCTGTGTGTCTATACAGTAAATTGTCTGTAACAGCTGTACTTATGTATGGAACACATCTCGTGTGTCTATACAGTAGATTGCCTGTGACCACAGCTGTACTTATGTATGGAAAACATCCTGTGTGTCTATACAGTAAATTGTCTGTGACCACAGCTGTACTTATGTATGGAACACATCCTGTGTGGCTATACAGTAGATTGTCTGTAACAGCTGTACTTACGTATGGAACACATCCTGAGCAGCCATACAGTCCTTGATGTCAGGGTTCATGGTGAGGAGGACCCCGAGACTGATTATACCCCGTAGGAGATGGACATTACTGGACCGCACAATGTTTTCAGCATGGAGGACAGGATTTAATTCCCTATTAACAGTTCAAACACAACATGTAACTTCCATTTGTCATAAACAAGACATTAATAGATTAAAGGCTTTTCTACAATATTTACTTTCTGTGAACATGAGCAAAACTTTTACTTCTGTGTTTGCATCACTCAGTTAGCTGCCATGTTTCAAACATGAACAATCATTTTCAACACACAGCAGAGATGAAACTTTACCATGTTTGCTGTGCAGACAGAGTGTCTTTGGTGTTTTCCTGAAGCAGAGTCTCCATGATCTCCAGTAGATAACCTATGGTCTCCTTGGTCCGAGCTCCTGGACCTCCTGGCTGGAATGCCAGGGCTAATCCCAGGTAAAACCTGATAGAGACAGGATAAGCTATAACAACATTGTATGAAAATAATACTTTGATACATAAATTGAAAGGATGTTGAATACAATAAAACAGTAGCAGGTACTGGGAGTTCCAATTGATGAGGATTACTACATTATTCTTACCTCTCTGATTAGTGGGCAGTACCTGGCCAGCTGGTACTGGGAGTTTTAGCCATGTGATGGTCTCTAGGTCTATGTAGGACAGTCTATATACCTGGCCAGCTGGTACTGGGAGTTCTTACCATGTGATGGTCTCTAGATTTATGTAGGACAGTCCATATACCTGGCCAGCTGGTACTGGGAGTTCTAACCAGGTGATGGTCTCTAGGACTATGCAGGACAGTCTATATACCTGGCCAGCTGGTACTGGGGGTTCTAACCAGGTGATGGTCTCTAGGTCTATGTAGGACAGTCTATATACCTGGCCAGCTGGTACTTGGAGTTCTAACCAGGTGATGGTCTCTAGGTCTATATTGGACAGTCTTTATACCTGGCCAGCTGGTACTGGGAGTTCTAACCATGTGATGGTGTCTAGGTCTATGTAGGACAGTCTATATACCCGGCCAGTTGGTACTGGGAGTTCTAACCATGTGATGGTGTCTAGGTCTATGTAGGACCGTCTATATACCTGGCCAGTTGGTACTGGGAGTTCTAACCATGTGATGGTCTCTAGGTCTATGTAGGACAGTCTATATACCTGGCAAGCTGGTACTGGGAGTTCTAACCATGTGATGGTCTCTAGCTCTATGTAGGACAGTCTATACACCCGGCCAGTTGGTACTGGGAGTTCTAACCATGTGATGGTGTCTAGGTCTATGTCGTTATACCTGGCCAGTTGGTATTGGGAGTTCCAATTTAAGGTGACTTCCAGTCGTTTGATGGCCTCGTCATATTTGCCCTGTATTACAAGCATGCGCCCAACATGGAAGTTGTGCATAGCTTTCGGCTCATCCAGGACCAGGGCATCCATATATTTTAGGAAGGCCTGGCCCAGAGGGGACTCCTCATCCTCAGCCTTCTGGGCGGCAGCACCTTCCTGGTAAATAAAAACAGGTCATCTGAGTCGGGTAACCTATACACCCTTTATAGCCTTCATTGTCTCCAATTTAGTGATCCGACATCATAACATTATTCAGTGGCTACTTATTTGTCAGGAATAAAATCTGTACCCCTGCTGTTTGTCAAAGCATAGATCCAATTGATTTCCCCTTACCCATACATTCATTGCCACTGTAGACACACAGTACTTTTGTCATTAACTCACCTGTTTGGCCTGTTTTGACTTCCAAGCAAACAGACCCATGACATGGTCGGCCTTGGCACTCTGGCCATTCTGATTGAGCTGCTGGTACTCCTCGTCTATAGCCTTCAGCTGTAGGGATAGGGGTGCCGTCTCCGCATCCACACTATGGAGCTTACAAATAGCTGCACACTCTTCTGACTTTGAGCTCTCTTTTGCATCCATGTTCATGGACGGCAGAGAATCAGATTCCTATAGAACAGAAATATAGTCTTGTGTTCTTGCAAGTTCATGATGGCCACGTCATCCAATTCCTATAGAATGCAATCTTTAATTTATGAAAAAAATTGTCTTTAGATTTTTCCTCAAATTTATAGTCTAGTAAATTGTATAAAATGTATACATACTACTTGATATTGTGTCCAATTTACATTATGATTTTCATTTTTTACAATTACAATCATCTTTACCAGTAATAATAGTATCAACAACTGGTACCCAGCCTCTGTTAATAAAATCATGTAAACTACTAAGGTAGCAGGCCATGAAACATAAACGTTATTTAATCTCGGTCATCTCACCAACCTCTTTCTTAAGACCAAACAGATCCTCAGCATAGTACCTCTCCTCCAGGACCATGCCTAGCTGTAAGTGTAGGCTGGAATCCTTGGGTTTGTTCGAGATGGCCACAGCATAACAGTAAGCAGCTCTGAGGAGGCAATCCAGAGGCCCCTCTCCCTCCGGCCACTGTTTAGACTGACCTGTTGGAGGCATACACATGAAATTCAGGATACACATTTCCTCATCCTTGAAACTTTAGAAAATTACACTTTTGTTTTTCATATGACAGTGTTCTAATATTTCAGGAACACATTGGTGAATTCACTAACATAGATTATCACATTCTGCTCAGTAATCTTTTTTCGTAATCAAATATTACATGTTTTTGGAAAAGATTATCACATGTTCCACTGTAATTAACTATGACATGTTCTACTATTATAGTTTATGACATGTTCTTGTAATAGAGTTTAACATGTTCTACCCTACTGGTTTGTGCTTTGTAAGTTTTCATTAATTGGACATCTAATCATTCTACATAAAAGCATGAAAACACAAACAATTCCTCACACTATACAACTTTGGATATTTGTTAATGGTATGAAAATAATATTGTTGATTATATTAAAACAAAAATCACAAACCTGGTTTGGGCAGAATTTTAAAATAGGTCTTAATTTCATCCTTTGCTTTTCCTACTAATTTATCAACATTGCTCTCTCCGAAAATCTGCTGCAAATTCTTCTCCCATCCTCTCACCTTCAAGTTAGACAAAACAGAAACAAGAGGATAATGAATATAAGATTATAAACAAAATGATAATTACATCAAGTTAGAGATGTTTCAAAGATGTTAGCAAAACTAAAATGAAAAATAAGTCAGTTTGCACATCCCATAGAAGTGTAACTTTAGTAATACCTACCTTGACAGTGTGCTTCAGTGTAGCTGAAGAATCCTTAAATTTGTCTTTCACATCCTAAAAAGAACAGAAATTAAATAAAACAACATGGAATTAAGAGTAGCTTTTTGCATTTTGTTAATCAAATCAATGTCTTTAGAATGTATATATATGTTTGCCTTGACTTGTATTCTTTATCCTCTTGTTTCTGTTTTATCTATCTAACAGGCACCCACCCTGTTCCCAGGACATTTGCCAAAGTGGGGAGGGGGCTTATTTGCAAGTGGGGGCTTATTTGTGGTAAAATACGGTATGTATGATATTATACTATTGTATATATGTGTGTTACCTCAACTTTAGGTGTCACATTGCACTTTTCAATATTTGCAGCTAATTCTCCAAACTTGACAGCATCTGAGGAACCTAAAACAAACAGAGGAAACTGATTTGGACGTCGTTCTTTAGGCTTACTTTAACACAAAAAAAGAACACTGCTTGGACAATAGTAAATGATATTTCATGGATATTTATCTTAAAGTATGCCGGTGGTTGTTGCATAAACATTGTATTTTTTTATGAATTACAAAAAAATACAGCCATTAATTTCATTACATTATAAAGTAATGTGACTTGAGCTTGCAGTATGTTGTGATTTACCTCCATACGTCAGCGGGATGCTTGCTTGAGCCGCAGCCATTTGTTTCTCCATGGCAATGTCTACTATCCGCCACTCGCCCATCAAAGGTACGCCACTGATAGGATCCACCTTGGCCGTGCGAGTCATGGCGTCAATGTTTGGGGCCGAGTAGGTGTGTTTGGGCTCACTGCCCCGGATAGAGATGGGCCGGTAGAGAGGAGACAGTGATATGGGACATTCATACTTCTGGGCCAGGTCAGGGTCTGTAAACTTGGCATATCTAGGCATAGGTTTTCTCAGTACGTCAACACTGTAGGTCTTTGTTGGAAGAGGACACATTGAAACATTAATTCAAACATCAATACTGTAGGTCTGATGATGGAAAAATTATTTAACCACAACAGTTTTATGAAAAAGGAAAACAGATATTTTGATTTAAACAATTACTTTCTACTTTGAAGTAAATAATAACTGCTTTATTACCTGTTTGTTTGAGCCATCAGCAGATGTGACCTCTATCTGGATATTGGTTTCTCCCACATTCAGGGGACTGGCTGTCCCTGGCTTCTCCCCACATACCAGAACAACATTTTTTGGATCTGGAGCAACTGGTTTAGCAGTTACACTGGCCACATTGCATGGTAGAATACCTGTTGAATAGATTGTCACAAAATAACATAACATAACAAGTTCGTGGTAGAATGCCTAAAGAATAAATCACCCATAAATAGCATTACAATGGCAACATAATATTACCAAAACAAATATTTATGTTACAATGATTGCCAAACAAGTTCTTAATATTTAATAATGACTTATATTAATCAATCTTGTTGGCCCAGATGGTAGCATGCAGGGGGTCTTAATGTGGGAGGAAACCAGAGTACCTGGAGAAAACCTATGCAGTCACTCCGGTCAGGCTGGTGACCCCTTACCTTTTCACGTCTGTTTGGGGAATTGAACCCTGGCCTTCTTGGTGGAAGGCGAGTGCACTATCCACTGAGCCACCTGACCACCAGTCTTATTATAGAAAAGAATGCCTTATCATATAAGGGCATTGTAAAAGATACCACACAAGTCACATATCATGGTAGATTGCCAACTGTGGACTGTAAAATTTTACTCCTACTGATCCAATCTATGACAGGGTCAACAGAAATTTGCTGATCCAATCCACAACAGTGTCAACAGAAATTTACTGATCCAATCCACACCAAGTCAATAGAAATCTACTGATCCAAATTATGTTTAGAGTCAACAGAAAATCTTACGGGCCTCCGAAACTATGTGTAACTTACATGAATAAACAGTGACTGCAGAATCAAACTCAGGCATGAGACCACCCTGAGAGAATTTGAGGTCACTGAGTACTGCATCTTTGGCAGAGAGTCGTTTGACATGGAGTAAATAGTTTTTGACCGTGCCGTCTTCTGATGTGACTTCTATCTTGATGTCAGTTACAACTCCCTCTGGTAGTCCGACCTCCTTTTCTCCACCACTTCCCTACAAAGTAAGGTAAACATCTTAACATTTCAACATAAGAGTCCAATCTCCTTCTAGAGCTCTTCAATTTCACTACAAAGTAAGTTAAACTTCTAAACAAGTGTAACAGAAAAGGAATTCTGGCCCCACTTGCACGAAACTTCTTAATTCTTAGTTCTCAATTCTCAATTCTCAGACTAAGTACGTGCTTAGCTTAGAAGTTCTCAAAATTGGCTTTCTCAAACGCGTTCTCAAATATTTGAGAACGTTCTCAACTAAGAATATCTCGTGAACTAAGCGGCCTCGCAGGGAACTCTTTCGCGGAAGAAGGAAATTTTGTTACAAAACTACGGGGAAACTGGTGTGATGATTTACCTAATTGAAGGTGAGTGTTTTTAAATACATGTGTAAAATCGACAATAAACAGCAGGTGTTTTAACTTCTCAGCGGTTGTCGTCAGTTGAAAGTCGTAAAGAGGCTTTCAACGAAAAAGAGGGGGTGAGTGCATGCAATTAGACGTAACACGACAAGACATTATTAGTGGAAGAAGAGATGAATTGTTTATAAAAACTGCGGTGTCGATCATCAGAAATTGGATCATGGAGAATAGCAGTGAATTTGGCATCAAATCTCCGGTGTGCTTTCCGATCACAGAGGTTCGTTACAAATGTCTTAAATACACATATGATATACTGATATGGGTCACAGTTTATGTGTGCTGTGACCCACTCAGTATAGCATATATGTAACGAACCCCTGTGTTCCGATTGTGTCCCTTGGCACATGTGTAATATTACGGACGACGGATTAGCCAGTGTCATTTTGCGAATACCCTAGTTCTTTTTACCGTGTCTGATATCGCCGATTTATTGTCACAAGAACAAAATAACACGATGATGGGACTTTTGTTTTCTTTCATCTTAGAGTTTGTCAGAAATATTTATAGGTACTACAATATAACTAAAGTTAAAAACCGAATGTTCCGTAATCCGCATGCTAAAATAGTTGGCCACCTGGACGAAACTTTATAAGCCCAACACATGGAGAATGGTTTTCTTTCTATTTGCATTTTGACTAGTGTTGAAAAAATCTAGACCACACTCTAAAGATTATGAAGGTTTGACACATTGTATGTCCCAGAGATTGTAACAGAACTATGTTGCAGTGAATTTGTTTATTTTTGAGTTAATACACAACAGAGTTTCTGTTAGTTTATAAAAAGATTAAAAGTGACATGTTTTATGTTAGCGGAACAACTTTAAATGTGCTAGGGATGTTAAATAAAGACATTGACATTAATGTTGAAACTAGTGACTACAAGCATTTTAATTATGTTGAAGATTATATGTCGGTAAATATTTATCTGTGCCATCTAATTTGATCAATTTTAGTGTATACAATGATTAGCTCTAGTTTCCAACAATAAATTAATTAACTAAATATGATCTGGTGATTATGATTAAATCCAAAATAAACTTCCTATGTTGCAGTTGATTTTTTTTAAAGACCAATCAGACAATGATGAAATTACATATTTTGAAATTTTATATATGATACATCATACACTGTTGCAGGACAATTATTACCACTGCTACCATTTCTAGCAAATTCCATACAAAGTTTCAAAGTGAACATGGATATTTGAATTGGCCTCAATAAAACTCCAAGGGAGTTTGGAAAGTAAAATCTTAAAAGTTGTTTGAAAATGATATCCATGCCCTTTACATGCTCAAGTAAGAGATATAGTTGTCCTATTATATTTATTCTAACCTGAGTGGACCCAGAGATTCAATCAAAATGAACTGTTACATGTTGTGGTTTTGTGCTGTGACAAAGCTGAAAGGTACATATAACCAAGTTTGTCTTTTTGACTAAGGATTGACATTTACAAAATGATGTTGGGGTGTGACCAACATTTACAGATATACAAGTAAAATGATGAAAGGATATGAAATATAAGTCAGTAGTAAAGTTAGATTTACCACCAAAAGAGGAATAGGTAAAACTGCTATCATATAATAAGAATTTTCACTACCAGTAAATTTGACATTATTCAATATTTACCCTTTTTTCAAAGTACTTTGTCACATCCCCAGGCCATAATACATGCTATATTGTCTCTATTTCTGTGTTACACAGCTCACAGTAAGGGCTATGTACTATATATGCCTACTTTAATCAAATATGCATTACCTGATAGTTGTCAAAATGTGCTCTGTACTAATGCCACTGTAATTTGGTAATCTTTGTTTCCAAATTTCATCATCAAATTGAAATATATCATCCCATTTCTTTACCTGTTGAAATAGTGTCATATTTACAAAATAAGCTATAATTTTTTTGTATCCCTGTTTTATTTTTCAAAAACTTTTCTATATTTATTGGTATAAATGGATAGCTTACCTCTACATTTGACATATCTTGTTGTACAATATACATGTACTCTCTAATGCAGTAATTAGACCCTGGTACATGTATCATAAAACAAGTTTGTATTAATATGATAAATCTGTTTGAACTCTTGAAATGTGTAAATTGCATTGGTACTTCTGTCTCTGATTAGATTCTTAATTACCATTATTCCTAAATTGTACCATTCTCTGTAAAATATACTTATATTTCCTGTTGTAATCTTATTGTTGTACCAGAGGGGCATATTTTTCCTTAATTTTTCTCCTTAATTTTTCTCCTTGCCCTAAATACATCAATCCAGAAGAGTTTTATACATTAATTTTTCGTTCTTAAGATTTATGAGTATGGCTCAGATGTGATTTGACAAATTGATGTTAACCACCTTAAGTTGTTTCTCAAAATAACCCTGTTCCCAGATCTTTATACAGGTTCAGTTAAATTCATGTACAGAGGGGCACCTGCTAAATGCATGTACAAAACAGACCCTTTTATGTACAGAGGGGCACCTGTAAAATACATGTACAGTATGGCACATGTATAGTGGGACACCTGTTATTATATCACTAAAAATACTAATTTCAAAATGTGTAGCAATGTGGTCACCAATTTCATTAGTGTCTAATTGTAATTAAATATGACAAATTTATCCATTTCTATATCACATACAGATGGACCATTATAGTAACTTTAACTTTTCCTATTTAATTTTTTTTCCAGGTATGTGACCTGCAGGAACCTTCAGCATCCTCTGCTACAGCTTGTAACTGAACACATGTATCAGTGGATAGTGTTGTACATACACTGCCGGTCAGTGAGTGGAAGGTTATAAGACTGTCTCATTTTGGAAGTTTACAAGAATAGATACTTTTGTTAATGTTAATAAAAAAAATCTGAATACATATGTCTAACTGAAAATTTTGTTTGTGTCATTTTTATAAACTAAAATTAAAATTTGATATCACTAATCTCTTTGATAAGGATCCCTGAACATGCATGTACCACCAACAAGGAGGAATATCTGAATAAATTTGACTTAACAAGAAAATAATAAAGACAAAATTATAGGGCTCTTAGTTAGTTTATCTCTAAAATTTAAACAGCACCCACAAATATATTGAATGTGAAAACATGACTATTTAATTACACTTAACACCCAACCCCAAAAGAAATAATTATTTTAAAATGTAAATATTTAGATAGTGAAAATTATCAAATTATTCTTTTATTAAATAATCAGATATTTGTTTTAGCTTTAAAATAGTAGGTAGCAATTGTCAAAGTTAAAAACACCTTGTTAGATTATTTTTTCAACAGTAGACTTTTAATTTGCCCAAGGGCATTATAGCAGACTTTTAATTTGCATTATAGCAACAGTTTCTCTCATAAAATTAGATATATCATGTTCTATGTAAAGTCTTGTGTAACTGAGATTTAATTAAATTTGTGCTCTACATTGAAAAATTCAGTGACTTTGTATTAATAAAAAAATAAATATGAATATCATGAAATAGAGACCTACAATCTACATTGTCTATTGATAATTATGTATCATGTTTTGGGAATATCTCGGATTGTGGTATTACAATTGACCAAAGCAGACTGGATTTAAAATACTGCTTGCGAATGATGGTGAGCAGGCGGACACATTGAGTCCCATACAGTATTTAGTACTACGAAAAGAGGTCGCCGATAGGGGGCCCTGACAGTCGTCTACGTTATGAAAGTTTGTGGTGACGGAACTGCGAGTGCATAGAATTTATAACACGTTATTTAGAAAGTGTTTGTCCTGTTGCAAATATTTAAAGTTGGCGGTAACAGCACACATCGACATTCGATGTGGAGTTGGAATGCCGAGCTCAGTAGCGACCGGAGTGTGTCTCGAATGCATGACGTGTGGCGAAAACCTTCGTCTTATCGCACACAGCACAACTGTCAGATGTGAAAACAGAAAGAACCTGCCTCTGTATGTCTTTGAGTGGTCCACATGCATCATTGATTAGGCCTACCATGAAAGTATGTTAAAGATACCCGCTTTGCTTCTGAATAAAATTCACTCGACTTGACACAGTTCTCTTAAGCGTGCGATGAAGTGCTCGATTTATGGCCGCCATATTTAAGAATGAGACTTAAGCATGCTAAGGACCGTTCTCAAATATTGGCCCATTCTTAGCTTAAAATCTAAGAATTGAGAATTAAGAATTTTGTAGATAGTCAAAAGTTGAGCATATGCTTAAAGTTTAGCATATACTCAGAGTTAAGCATTGAGAACGGAGTTAATAAGTTTCGTGCAAGCGGGGCCAGGTCGTTTAGGTACCCGGTCGTTTCGGTACTTCTGAAAGTCGTTTCGGTACTTCTGAAAATTGTTTCGGTACTTATGAAAAACACACTTGGTACCAAGTTATAGTCAACGTCACCATTATTTCAATAATTTCTAAGTATAGCGGGACATATATATAACATGTATATATATATTTAGCTGCTCAGTTAAAAAAGCAAATGTTAAAAAAATAACCATCGCGTATGTTGCGGGATCACGTTTGAAGTACGAAAACAATGATTGACTGATCTGCGTGATTGTTTAAACAACTACGAAAGCAACCGTTAAATAAACAACCAACAATAAATAACAAATGATAAAGGAAGTATCGAAACAATAATCAAAATTGTTGAAGTACCGAAACAACTTAAATACAAGTACCGAAACATCTTCTTTTTGAAGTACCGAAACTACCGGGTACCGAAACGACTGTACCCAACAGAAAAGAGATAGTGTGCTTCCACTGGTGATCGAACCTAGAAACAAAATAGTACCGATATAGAATATGATGCACCGGTGTCACTTGTTAACGGATCGATCCGTATTTTCTCAACGTTGCTAGCAACGGTCACATTGTAGTCTGTTGTGTCCTTGTTAAACGCCGGAGTCAATTTTCCAGGTTTGACAGCCAACTTTTCTAGATTGCAGTCGTCCATCTTGAAACTTAGGAAGCTTCAGTGCGGACCTTTAAATAAGCATAATTCTTTCAAGAAAATTACTTAAAAAATACCTTTGTTCGAAAAAATAATGTAAACATAATTGGCATTTTGTTGGATCTAAAAATCAATATAATGCTGCATATTTATGATTTATAACAATCGAAGCTACTAACCGGATGTGTACAAAATATTACGCGGGAAAGAACAAATTTTGACAAGGCGGGAGGTTTTCTAAAGAGTGGGAAGAAATGGCATCAGATGAAGACTTGAAGGACGAATTTTCAATTTTTGGTGTAGATCTTGAAAATGAAGATGTTATAGATAAATGTAAGCGATAAATTGTTGATATGACCGAGACGAATATGCTCTATTTTAGTTGGTGTCAAATACGATTTGTTTACTGTAGTAGCATTGTTAGGATACCAACGTTTTGTCCTGTCAACTAGTTCCGTACAATATATACAGTTATATGCTGTACAAACTTTCGACAACTCAAACGTGTTATTGAATATTCTCGACTGCGACATGAAATAACGTCACTCTATACAAACCGAATAACGTATAGCACAATTACGGGACCGATCGCTTACAGCTGAAGACTAAAGTCTGGTTAGCTTTACTGTATGGCGACCTGTTATCGTGAAAACTATTGTGTATTGTGTCGACTTCCCAAAATTGTGCATCATTACTAGTGTAAAAGATGTGGATTAATAAGGTTGCCTTACAAGCGTCAGTTGTATGGAATTTCCCTTTAGCTCAGCTGTAGAGCATCAGGCTTGAGAGGCAAGGGTCGTGGGTTCGAGCCCCAGCGACGGCACTATCTTTATCACTATTCCTTGACCTATTACAAAATGGTGCCGTTGACCCTTCCCGTTCAAGGTAGGCGAACCCTTGGCGGGGAGTCAAAGAACCAGGGTTGGTGTTTGAAAAAAGGGGGAAATAGGGTAAAAGATGTGGATTAGTAAGGTTGCCTTACAAGCGTCAGCTGTAGGGAATTTTCCATTAGCTCAGCGGTAGAGCATCAGGCTTGAGAGCCAAGGGTTGCGGGTTCGAGCCCCAGCGACGGCACTATCTTTATCACTTTTCCTCGACCTATTACACTAGTATGGGGGGGGGGTGTACATAACATAAACTGTACTGAACTGACTGTTCAGTTGAATCAGTTCATGTGTTGATCGATAAAATATATGTTGACCATATTCAATAAATATTTTGCAGGAGTTCGGGTTCATCAGAAAGCAGAATATATCATTACTATATCATAATTAATATCTCTCTTTAAATTACCATGAATCTCTGCCAGTTCTTCTTTTATTGTTTACCGAGTATTTATATTTTATTTTATTTTATTTATTTTTCTCAGTAAAAGAGTTGTGTGTCCTGTACCGACTCGATGCATCACAAATCAGCACAGAATGGATTGCTTTCTACAACACAAAGAAGTCCAAAGGAAACCTCGCTCTCAGCTGTGAGGTTTTGGATCAATTTGACAGAGAGGTGTGTTGTAAGATGATGGTAGAATCGATCTATTGAAAAACTTTGTGGTTAGTAAATACTTATAATGAACACTTAAGAAGGATATTTTATGATTCATGTATTTTGAAGTGTAAAATTTTCATTTTAGAGTACTTGCCTACAGACTTAAATATTTTGTCTTTTTTTACCATTATAAATTCAAACAACCTCAGTCCATGCGAAATACAAATATTCTTGCTGGACATTCGGTCTGGTAACTATCCCAAGCTTACCGGACCAGAACAAATTTTACCTGACATTTCGATCAGGTTAACTTGATAACACTTACTAGTCTGAAGGAAAATAAAAATAAAGTGACAAAAATTGTTTGATGTGTACAATAATTAAATGAAAATCATAACTGGATTTGGTTTTGGCTGTGGTTTGCCAGGTTTTGCCCCAGTCCTGTAACAAAGCATTATTCTTCACTCCATCACTGTCATTACAGATTACCACAGCGCTTGATTGCACTGAATATTACAGAGGCATAATTTAAAACGCTTAAGTGACATGACTCAAGACAACTCTAAGGTAGAAGACGTATGCCGAACATTTGGTCTGGATTTGCAATTGTGATTGCTGATCATAAACTGGCAGTAATTTTTACCGCACATTTCTGTCGGACTGGCATATTTCGCATGGACACCTTACCCCACCCCCCAAAAAGGAAGGATGCAATCAATAGGATTCCATATCAATATTAATATACACAGGTGAAACAAGGCATCAATATAACCAAATCACATCACCACATCACCAACAATAAAAGTACTGGAGACAACAAGAATGTTTTTACTTATCCACTGTCTGGGCTTCAGCCTAGAGGCTGAACATACATATGATCAGGATATTGAATTAAGGCTTTTGCCTGCGTTCAGTATTATTATGTTATAATTATAACTCCTAATCAATATTAATATACACAGGTGCAACGAAGCATTAGGATATGGCAATATATTGAAGAACAGTTTATCACAATGAAACACTGTACTTGTGAGTAGCAATACAATACACAATCCTATGGTAATGCCACAGAAGATTAACATACCGTCATTGAGTACTATGTGTGGGGCGTTTTGTTATATTTTTACATTTCTGTATATATCAAATCCAAGTTCAAAAGAAAATGTTCCATCTTCAATAAATATGTAATAATAATAATATACAGCATTTGTGATATAGCGTCCTATCTAGCTTACATAAACCACTCTAAAGCGCTTTACAGTACATAGATATACATTTTTTACAATCAATACAATTAGCTTATACATTAATCAATACAATTTTTGAGGAATTTGCAGGAGCTGCCTTATCAGGCGCTAACTACTATGCCACCTGGCTAATATCTCCCTATGTGTATCCCTGCGTGTTTGCTGGAGATGAATTGTGTTCTGTTTGTAGAGGGACCTTGCTTCTAACAGTATCATTTAAAGTGACACCTCACTTGAATGCAACAGCACAGATACCACACAACATCCACCCCAGACCATGTTGTATGTGTGGGCAGGAGAAAAACACTTTCTCTGAATACTCCATGCGTACGACGACATTGTGGAAGTCCGGAGTGTTAACCACTCGACCAATCCACCCATATAGAAACACTTACAGGGATACTTGGGTTATTTTCATGAAGACCTGTCAGATATGAATTGATTTTATGTAAGGTTTTGGATAGCAAGTAATGTATTTTATTCACATTCACAGAGACTTAACAAGAAGACGCCACGCACACCACAAGTCAAGAAAAAATCTGGTCCAACTGTGTATGATGTCAATACTGTTCAGAATGGGTATCCTTTATTTCTGTAGAATTGAAAGAGAAAATGAACAAGTTGAATGCACTGAATTGATTGAAATTTGTGTTAATTTTCTTTTTTAAATAAGAACAGATGTATCCTTAATGTTACCTAGTATTGACGAGAATGAGGCTGTTGAACTTTACAATGCCTACTCTGGAAATTCCACACCATCGAACACAAAGAAGGTGGCTGTCTCACAAAAGCGCCAGTTGACTCCTGATAACCCACCAGTGAAACGATTCACTAACAGTGTCCGTAGTCCCATGGTCCCCTTCTCCCCAGCCAGCTTCTCTCCAGGGTAACAAGCATTTAATAATCTGTTTGCATAGGATAATTCAATAAGTTTAATTATACTGTAATAATGAAATTTAAATAATCAAGGTTTTTTTTTATTATTATTAAATTCCTTGTTTCGTCCATGCTTTTAGTTCATTTTAGTAGTTTGAACATTCTCATGGCCAAGAAACTAAGACTTACCTTTCATTTTAAATTATCTTGAATTCTACATTTTCGGTATAGAGCAAATAATTAAAACAATGCACAGATACATCTTTCTGCCAATTATACTGGCTTATCAGGTATTTGATACTTTCAAATTAGTTGTAAATGTCTAAGATTTGTACTAAATAAATGATTGTTTATATTACATAATAAGAAAAACTTCTTTTAAAACCTTGGTTTCATACAATATTTAACTGAGTTCTGCTGCCTTGTTGATTTTTTAGGATAACTCCCTCAAAGAAGTTTAGCTCAAGGTCGAATGCAGGAGAAAACGTTGCAGCACTTGGGGTGAATGACAACACTGACTGGAAAGGTCAAGGCCACAATGTACACATAGCCTATTACGATTCCAGAAATGCTATGGAACCACACTTCAAGTACATGTTTCAAAAGTTGACAGAAAAGGCAAATGGTACGTACTCTAGTAATTCTAAGTGTTTGTTGTTATATAAAATATAGAAGTATGTATTCTTCAATCCTGATTTAATGAAAATCCACATTTGTTACCAGTACACCATGTACCCATTACTCAGTAAATGTGTTTGTTACTAGTTAATATGTAGCTTTAACTAACTTTTCCAGTCCTGAATGACATGATTGAGGACCTAGCGGAACAGCTCCAAGACCACCATAAGATAGAGGATCTGTCCCACGTAGCTCTGCCGATCCAGGAGCCTGTCACCGTGGTGGGGCGTGTTGGCTGTGATAGTATAGGCAAGCTGAATGCCAAGTCTGTGATACTGGAGGGCTCCCTGGAGACATCTGCTGGTCGATGTATCCCTGTTGATCTGACAGAGCTCCAGGAATTCTCACTTTTCCCAGGACAGGTATGTAACAACTGATGACCAAATTGGTTGTAGAGTGTGCATAGAGTTGGAGGTCCTGGTTGGAATTTCTTTCTAGCAATGACATTTGTCTGCTCCTGTTGCATTAAAAACCATTAAAATAGCCTAGTAATAGTATTAAATACATGAAATAGCCTAGTAATAGTATTAAATACATAAAATAGCCTAGTAATAGTATTAAATACATAAAATAACTTTGCTGGCTTTTTAGTGATTTCTTAATGAAGGTAAAACAAAACAACAAAAATGAAAAATTGTACTCTCAAATTTAAAACCAAGATCAAGAAAAAGAGTGTTAGCAGACAGAAAAACTACCTGTGTGTTGCTGTTTTAATTTTGGGTTATAAACCCCATTCTGTATTTTCCTAAAATCGGGAATGACAGATACTTACTGTAGCAGTCCCTATCTGTAGATCAAAGACTTGTGTAAGTTGCATCTTCAAAATAATATGCTATAATAATCGAATTAACTGGCGTCCTTGTGTTCAGGGGTTGATTGTATTAGGGGCATCATCAACTTTTTGTGTGTAATATAATTACAGACAGATTTAAATCATTTCATCATGTCTTCTGGTACAAGTTGTAAAAAAACCCACTGATAGTTGTAGATCAATGCTAAAGCTTAACTGTGCGTCTGTTTTACCGGCACCAACATCAAATGTACTGTTGTAAAACTAACACTGGATAGTGAGAAACCGAAATTTGGTATAGTGACAAATTGTAAAGTTACTAAACACTTCTTTGTGATAATTTTGTCAGTTGTGCCATTTTGCTTTTGATTATTTGATATATATCAATTCATAGGTGTACTAAGATATATGCTCTTAAAACTACTTTTAAGTTCCCCTGGCCCAGTCAATGGAGCAAGCATATAGTCTGTATTTCACCAGCATGAGAAGGTTTCAAACATTTCATATCTTCAGGTGTAGTTCAGTGGACTTTTGCACTCAATTTTATTGGAGCAAACAGCATTCCTCTTGGAAACAGTGAAGTATTTATTTATAATATAACTAACTTGTATACTGTCATTTTCAGATCGTTGCAATGGATGGAATCAACAATACTGGACAAAAGTTTGTTGCAAAGAAGTTACACAAGGTAATTTATTTTATGTTTCATTTTCGTTCTTTTTCCAATAACAGTACAGGATTGTTTTCAGTTTTCTATTTCCAAACATTAAATATATTTCTATAGAAATGGTTTTGAGGTATAAACTGCACTAAAGGACAAGTATTTAGATTTTAAGATATAGTATATGATTTTATGAAACATTTCTGATTGATTTGTAGGGTGTCGGCCTTCCTCTGCCAGATGTAACTGTAAAGTCAGAAACAGGTAAAATACAAGTCTATACTAGTTGTGTTTTATATTCAGGGTATGTGTGAAGTATAAAGCTGGTAGATACATTTGTTGATATCAGCTCTGCTGTTTGTACATGTGAAGTGTAAAGCTGGTAACAAAGATTGTCTGAACATGACGATAGGATACTGTGGTCACGATACAGATAATAACAGTAGATGCAAAGCAAAAAGATTTGTTGCAAAATTGTTAAAGGCAATATTACAACTGGAAATGGACTTGGTCCAAAATGGGCATAGGTTTCATACAGTTTATGTCTTTGGATGTGCATGCTGAGCTGGAGCGGTCACTCGCCACTCCCAAAAAATATTGTATGTGTATCGGTACCTCCCAAAAAATATTGTTTATCATACCCTGTTCAAAATATCGTGATATGTCGTTGCACAATATATCATTGCAGGCCTAATATTAGCTGTACATCAATTATAGTCATTAAAGTCTTATTACAGATCCTACCAATTTACTTCAGGGAATGAGAATCAGTTTTTAGCTCACCTGGCCCGAAGGGCCAAGTGAGCTTATGGCATGGTGCGGCGTCCGGCGTCCGTCCAGCGTCAACTTTTCACTTTAAACAACTTCTTCTCAGTAACCAAAAGGTCTAGTGTGATGATATTTGGCCAGAAGCATGCTTGGATGAAGGGCTACCAAGTTTGTTCAAATAAATGACCTTCATCAATTTTCAAGGTCACAGGGGTCAAATATGTTAAAATCTTTTAAACAACTTCTTCTGAATAACCGAGAGGCCTAGGGTGATGATATTTTGCCAGTAACATGCTGGGATGAAGGGCTACCAAGTTTGTTCAAATAAATGACCTTGACTTATATCCAAGGTCACAGGGGTCAAATATGTTAAAAACATTTAAATAACTTCTTCTGAAAAACTAAGAGGCCTAGGGTGATAATATTTGACCAGTATAATGCTGGGATGAAGGACTGCCAGGTTTTATCAAATAAATGACATCGACTTATATTCAAGGTCACAGGGGTCAAATATGTTAAACAATTTCTTCTGAATAACCGAGAGGCCTAGGGTGATGATATTTGGGCAGTAATATGCTGGGATGAAGGGCTACCAAGATTGTTCAAATAAATGACCTTGACTTATATTCTAGGTCACAGAGGGCAAATTGTTTTAAACATTTAAACAACTTCTTCTGAATAACCAAGAGGCCTAGGATAATGCCAGTAACATGCTGAGATGAAGGACTACCACGTTCAAATGAATGACCTTGACATATATATTTGAAGGGCACAGGGTTCAAATATGTTTAAAACCATTGAATGACTTCTTCTTAATAAGCAAAAGGCCAAGGGTGATGATATTTGGCCATTAACATGCTGGGATGAAGGACTACCAAGTGAATGACCTTCGCCCATATTCAAGGTCACAGTGGTCAATATATGTTTAAATCTTAAAATGATTTGTTCTGTATAACCAAAAGGTCCAGGGTAATGATATTTTTCCAGAAGCATGCTGGGTTGGAAGACTATAAACTCTGTTCAACCTAATATTGTAATATCCTTGTTCGACATTCAAGGTCACAGGTGTCATATGTTTAAATCTTTCAATAGATTCTTAATGAATGAAACACTGATATTTTGCCTGTATCTGTATTTTAGTCCACTTTTAAGATTACAAGTGTGAGATTAATACCAGGTGAGCGATGCAGGCCCATTGGGCCTCTTGTTTACAATATTTTCAAGGAGTTTTGTGTCATTACAGTGTAGTCTAGTTATACATATAAAAAAAAAAGTACTAAACTGAGAAAAAATGAAATTGACTATTAAGGGTCAAGGCCTGAGGACAAAACACGTAAAATTCCAACTTTAAAAATTATTCACAATTTTATTTTATTCTCTAATTTTGAGGAATATGTATGATCAAGCTTCATTTATTCAGCCACCACTATCCAACTATCCACCCACATTTAGTGGTGTCACCAATATGGTTGTCCAACTATCCAGCATCATTAGTCGTGTCACCACTAATATGGTTGTCCAACTATCCAGCCTCATTAGTCGTGTCACCACTAATATGGTTGTCCAACTATCCAGCCTCATTAGTCGTGTCACCAGACTCGCCACTTATCTAGTTGTCCCACTATTTAGCCAGCATTTCCATACAAGAAAATTCTTGGAATGAAGGTGTCTGGACTAAAAAATTGTATGCCTGAACATTTGTTTATGGTTCTTTATTATATAAGCAAGGAATGGAGCTATGTTTTATAAATACATTACCGCATGTTATTTTCAGGAAAGCTGAGTGTAATGGTGGCCACAGGACCGTTTACAACCTCTGATAATTTGGCATATGAACCTCTGACAGACCTCTGTAAATACATCAGCCGTGACTCCCCAGATGTCTGTATACTGGTGAGGCCTACTGCCAAAACAAGCAGCTTTGCTCTAGCTAATAAACTTCATTGTTTTGAAGCATTTCATTATTAACACAATAAATATTCAGAAGAAAAATATTTATAGCTCTGTGGAAATGGATTTGTCTATATATACATGAAAGGATTGGATATCAATGACAGCTTATTCTTACATGTGTTGTGTTTGTTTTACTGGGAGAGAAGGGGACAGGGCCTTTAAAAAGCTCAAATGATTTCTGCTGCATATGTAACTTCATCTTGTTAGAGATTTGGTTCCTACCTTAACTAATTTATTTGTATTTCTTTTGTAGCTGGGTCCATTTGTTGATGTAAAAAACGATCAGATAGAGGTAAGTTATAATAAATTGGTTCTGAAAAAGATATGTTGGGTTGAATTGGTTTAGTTGGCTCCGTTAATTAATAGCCAGGAATTAATGGATCCTTCGTTTTATCAGTATATATGTCTTCTAGTGGAGATTGTTTATTGATGAATTATACTCGTAGGGTAATTATGTGTCCCAGAAAAAAGGTGGCATCATTTCACTATTTAAGCGTTATGATTATTATGGCCTACCCCAAATAAAGTTTGGGTTTCGGGGGGAGGGGGGGATTTTACTAGAATCTGTATCTGTCTTCAGACACAGGTTTCTTGGATTACATCTCCTTAATAATTTCATAGTCATTGCCACCTTATCAGTATTTAGATATAAGGTTATGTTTAAGTAAATGCAATTTATATTTATTTCATCACTTTTATGTGTATTATGTCCCTTTAAATGTCTTAATTACTTCTCTTAAATTACTGAATAGATTGGATTGAAACTTTGTACACATTATACAATCAGTAAGTAACTTTGTTGATACCAGAGGTAATGTTCAGTTTATTTTCGTTTACAGAGTTGTTGCCCTTTATGAGCATTGCAGTTTTGTTCCGACATCTAGTCCCTAAATATTTTTTCATGCAGCATCTTTTAAACCTGGTAGGATTATTAATCTGTGCTTTGATCTTGTGAAAATTTAAGGTGTTAATTATGTAGATGTGTTATATGTCTATCAAGGATAAAGTTTCCTAGAATTATTTAGAAGAACTAACATACATTCATATATTGATTAGCAGGTGCTATTGAGGTAGAGTTTTCGTTTGCAGTTGTATTATTTCTGGAACAAAGACATCATTTAATGTTCATGAGAATCGTTTAACTTGAAGATACACCTGTTCTAATTATACCACACAAAGAAAACATGTGCTGCCATTTAGATAATACAGCTTGTCGGGATGGGATTAGGAAGTAGATCAGAATGTGATGAGATTGTTTCGTAACAACTGTAAATATTTATGGATTTTTCTCCTACTTAATGGTAAAACTTGGACTGAATTTCAAGATCTGCAGATTTGGTACTTATTTAATTAGGATGCAGGCATTTCCTTAATTCTGATTGGTTAATGCTTTTCAGATGTTAATACATGTATGAGTATATCACATTATTAATTCCATGAATTTGTTTGTGAATAAGTGCCAGTTTCTGATTTTACTTTCAGAAAGGAAATTGCACAACCTCATTTGATGACCTTTTCTGGACACAAATGAAAAGCCTCAGTGACATTGCAGACAAGTGAGTTTTATCTTTTTCATTTCAAATCAACTTTACTGTAATAATTAAATGTACAGTAGGATTAGGCACATGTGTTGCAAATTAAAGCTTGTTCCTGTGAGCATATTTTATGTCGGAATGAAATGACTTTGGGTGCTATGGGTCATTTTTGGCCTCATAAGAAGTTTTAAAAAATCAGCTTGAATTGATTTACCTCGTTCTTTTACATCATATTGGTTAATTAGGGCTATCTTTCCTGGTGCAAATTTTTTTCATTTCGCATACGTATATGCCCGCCCATAGCAACAAAATTGTGTTGCTATGCAGAAAAGCCAAAATATGGTGTTTATGGACAGTTAGCATGCAGAAATAAAAACCTTCGGTTGTGACAACTGAAAGTTCCTTTTTACGAATAAACACTGGTATGACAATGTTTAAGATGCCAAATATTTATTTGTTGGTGCATGCGGAGACTTTCAAAAATTGAATTGTTGAGTTAATTTGTTTCATAGTGACCAAATGCAATTTTCAATGTTACCAGCGCACAATAGACGATATACACGATACCTCTCTTTGTTATGCCAAATTCTTCATTTTTCCTAGATTACAAATATAACAACTAATTCTAAAGCGCTGATGAGGTGGGAAATTACCCTTAATGTAGAGTAAAATAGTTTGTATAACAGTATGACTATAAATGTTTGTATAACAGTATGACTATATACATGTTTGTATTACAGTATGACTATATAAATGTTTGTATTACAGTATGGCTATAAATGTTTGTATTACAGTATGACTATATACATGTTTGTATAACAGTATGACTATATACATGTTTGTATTACAGTATGACTATATAAATGTTTGTATAACAGTATGACTATAAATGTTTGTATAACAGTATGACTATATAAATGTTTGTATTACAGTATGACTATAAATGTTTTTATTACAGTATGACTATATACATGTTTGTATTACAGTATGGCTATATAAATGTTTGTATAACAGTATGACTATAAATGTTTGTATTACAGTATGACTATAAATTTTTGTATTACAGTATGACTATATAAATGTTGGTATTACAGTATGACTAAATTTTTGTATTACAGTATGACTAAATTTTTGTATTACAGTATGACTATACATTTTTGTATTACAGTATGACTTTATAAATGTTTGTATTACAGTATGACTATATAGATGTTTGTATTACAGTATGACAATATAAATGTTTGTATTACAGTAAGGGCTGTAAGTTTATAGTGGTGCCTTCCTACAGAGATGTCCACCACGACTATGTGTATCCCCAGCCTCCATTTGATCCAAAGAACTTTAAGCAAACAGTAAGTCAACATGTATTTCAGCATTTGTCTTGTTCACTATTTGGACCATATTTTTATCAAAGGGTGAATAATAGCAATGTCTAGGTTTGTTTGAAGATTAAGTACAGTACTGATGCTGACTTAAATTTAGGAACAAGCATTCCAATTCATTCATTCAAACATATTCAATTGATCAATATCAATTAAAAGGATTAGGCTTAATTTCTCACAACTTACTTGGCCCTCAACTGTATTCCATTAATCAATATTAATTACAAAACTAGAACTGTAAGCCAATTCTAACTAATTCCACCCACTCCTATTTAAACCAGAACTGTAGGCTAAAGGCTAACTATAGCAAAGCATTGCAAAGTAATACATAGTCTTCCACCAGTAATTATTTCTTTATTTACTGAGCTGTACACTTATTTAAGTATATATGTCACTGACATACTTCCTGTACTCCCTCCCTATGCCAAAACATACTTGTGTACCAAATCTTGTTAGCCCAGATGAACCAGTTTTGCTGAAATCATCCTAGTAGTTAAGGAAGAGTTGCCAGGACAAAGATTTTTAACGAAGGGCCATAACTCCTTAAAAAAGGTTGAAATGAAACAATATTACCCTGATGCACAACATCAGGGGGTAATTACCATATATATATATATGTAAACTTTCATTGAAATCGGCCCAGTAGTTTATGAGGCAGACAAAGTTTTTTCACAACCAAGGGTCGGAATGAAAAAATGATACCTAGATGCACAACATCAGTTCGTAGTTTATATCATATTTGAAAATTTTCATTGAAATTTGCCCCTTAGTTTTGGGGTACATGTACTGCATGCGCGGACAATTATTTTTTGAAGAAAGGGACATAACTTTGTAAAATAAAAAGGGGGGGGGGGGGGGGTAGAATGAAAAAATAATACCTGGATGCACAACTTCGGGTGGTATCCCTACTGCAGTACTTCGGACCAATATCTTTTTTCTCTCAGTACTTTTATTTTGGAGCACTTTAAGCCTCTCAGCCTGCCTCCTTTCTTTAGTCTTGGCACATCTGTCTACCCACAAAATCACCAGCTTCTTTACATTTACCACAGTACAGATGTTGGTCTTTGTGATGTCACTACTATGTCTAAAAGTCAGCTGTGCATGAAAGCCCTTTGCCTTCATGCCTTACCATTTTGAAGATGCCAGTTAGCCTGCATGTCACCTTGTTTACTGGGTCATGATCTTAAAGACTGATGCAAGTCAGCCACGGCTTGCCTTTTACCTCTTCCCTTGACATTTCCTTCCTTCTCCAGGGTGTTGGCCAGTTCTGTCAGCACATAATCATGCTTTGATGTGTCGTAAGTACTATCAAGTCAGCAAATGATCTTTGCTCATTGCTTTGCACACAAAAGTACATGATAGGTCTTGAAACCATCTCATCTGATTTTACTGCCGTGATGAACCGAGCCATACTGTAGACATGTACACTGATATTTATTTCCTTTTCCTTAACTCTTGTCATTCCTAACCTCGATGTACAATTGGAGTGGCAACATCAATAGCGAAATCAGTCATAACTAGCCACATCATGTATTTCCATGATAGCCTAGTCATAATATTGCATCTTGCTGTCTCACTCTAGCTGTTCTTGTATCTTTGAAATTGCAGAGTGTCGTAACAAGGCACCTATACTTCTGTGGTTTGAACTTTTCATGTTGACATTAATCAATGTTTTTTGTACTACTGCAGGTACTAGGAAGTTTGGCCACTTGATGGACTACCCTAAGATTTTATAAATAGATGTGCAAGTTTAAGTGATATTTTGGTAGTTCATGCTGCACTGATGGGTCCTCTGATTCTGTTATAATTAGTTAATTTTGATTATCAACAGGTGCTTTCCTTACCCTTCAACCAATTTCAAGACCATAATTTGTTTGTGTTATGTTGTTCATTGCAGTTGTCAAAGAACCTACACTTCATGCCAGATCCATGTACAGTGTGTGTCAACAACGTTGTGTTTGGTGTCACCTCCACAGACGTCCTCATGCAGCTCGGAGCTGAGGAAATCTCATGGTAGGTCATCTGGAGATCATACAGGTCATCTGGAGATCATGCATGTCTTAGTTATTTGATGATTTTAACATTTATAGAAATTTAACATTCCCAATTAAAGTTGGAACAGGAAAATAATAATACATGACTGTAAATTATTTGCTTAAACAAGTTTAGTCCGAGAAAGATATTTAAAGCAATGCTTGAGGAGTTTGAAATTGATAACTTAGAAATCATTGTGATTTTTTCAGTTGTAGATTTGGATTGATTTTAAAATCCATAATTCTTAAATATTTGTGAAGTACATGTATGCGTAAGATGACCGACTATTCCATATGTTTATATCTGGTATTGCAGCAACATCCCTGGGTCTACTGATCGTCTAGGGCGACTAACACAGCACCTTCTTACCCAGAGAAACTATTACCCCCTGTTTCCTCCTGCAGACGAAGTCAACATTGACTACAAATACTTTGAGGACAAAGGAAGGATCCCAGTTACTCCCCATGTACTCATTGTACCATCTGATCTTAAACAATTTGTCAAGGTGACTTCACTTTCTTCTTTGTTGTTTGACCTGAAAATATATATCTAAACGACTCGATGTCTCTAATTGTGATATTCGTTATTAGTTAATCTTTAACAGTTTGTCAAGGTAATTTTCAACTTATACATAGTACCTTCTTAATGTAAAGGCGACACCCCTCTTTATCATCGAAAGAATTTTTCCTGTGGCCATGTTGGGGCCAAAATTATTTCCCAAAGCTTTTAAAATTTCCAAATCTCAATTTTCTTAGGGGGAATTCTCAGCCTATATTTAGACAACAATTTTACATTAACATCTACAATGAATTAATCGTATACAAATAAGTATGTTTAAGTCTTTAAGCTGATGCTTTTGAAAAACAAAATCAGTATTTGGTAGGATTCTGAAAATTTCCTATTTGGTAAGTGACTGCTCTATTGGCCTATGTATACAAATAAAAACACTATATCTGAAATACAAGCTGATTTTAGTGAGTTTGAGAAACTGAGGAACTAAGGTGTACATTGTCCAAGCGGGTTCTCCCATCAGTGACATGACAGTATATTATAAAACTCCTTTTTTTTTTCAGGACATTCAAGGATGTTGTTGTATAAACCCAGGACGACTCGCCAAGGGACAGTGTGGGGGGACATACTGCCGGCTCGTGATACACACAGACCAGCTATCACAGAGTACCAACTCCTCCTCAGTCATACCTCATCTCTCAGTCCAAGTCCTCCGAGTCTGATACACACACAGACCAGCTATCACAGAGTACCAGCTCCTCCTCAGTCATACCAATCTCTCAGTACAAGCGAGTCTGATACACACACAGACCAGCTATCACAGAGTACCAACTCCGAGTCTGATACACTCACAGACCAGCTGTCACAGAGTACCAACTCCTCCTCAGTCATATCTCATCTCTCAATACTAGTCCTTTGAGTCTGATACATACACAGACCAGCTATCACAGAGTACCAGCTCCTCCTAGTCTGATACACTCACAATCCAGCTATCACAGAGTACCAGCTCCTCCTAGTCTGATACACTCACAATCCAGCTATCACAGAGTACCATCTCCTCCTAGTCTGATACACTCACAGACCAGCTATCACAGAGTACCCACTCCTCCTCAGTCAGATACACTCACAGACCAGCTATCACAGAGGACCAACTCCTCCTCAGTCAGATACACTCACAGACCCGCTATCACAGAGTACCAACTCCTCCTCAGTCAGATACCCTCACAGACCAGCTGTCACAGAGTACCAACTCCTCCTCAGTCATATCTCATCTCTCAATACTAGTCCTTTGAGTCCGATACATACACAGACCAGCTATCACAGAGTACCAGCTCCTCCGAGTCTGTTACACACACAGACCAGCTATCACAGAGTACCAACTCCTCCTCAGTCATATCTCATCTCCCAGTACAAGTCCTCTGAGTCTGATACACACATAGACCAGCTATCACAGAGTACCAGCTCCTCCGAGTCTGTTACACACACAGACCAGCTATCACAGAGTACCAACTCCTACTCATTCATACCAATCTCTCAGTACAAGTCCTTCGAGACTGATACATACAAAGACCAGCTATCACAGAGTACCAACTCCTCCTCAGTCATATCTTATCTCCCAGTACAAGTCCTCTGAGTCTGATACACACACAGACCAGCTATCACAGAGTACCAGCTACTCCTAGTCTGATACACTCACAATCCAGCTATCACAGAGTACCATCTCCTCCTAGTCTGATACACTCACAGACCAGCTATCACAGAGTACCATCTCCTCCTCATTCATACCAATCTCTCAGTACAAGCCCTTCGAGTCTGATACATACAAAGACCAGCTATAACAGAGTACCAACTCCTCCTCAGTCATATCTCATCTCCCAGTACAAGTCCTCTGAGTCTGATACACACATAGACCAGCTATCACAGAGTACCAGCTCCTCCGAGTCTGTTACACACACAGACCAGCTATCACAGAGTACCAACTCCTCCGCAGTCATAACTCATCTCCCAGTACAAGTCCTCTGAGCCTGATACACACACAGACCAGCTATCACAGAGTACCAGCTCCGCCGAGTCTGTTACACACACAGACCAGCTATCACAGAGTACCAACTCCTCCTCACCTCCTCAGTCATATCTCATCTCTCAATACTAGTCCTTTGAGTCTGATACATACACAGACCAGCTATCACAGAGTACCAGCTCCTCCTAGTCAGATACACTCACAGACCAGCTATCCCAGAGTACCAACTCCTCCTCAGTCAGATACACTCACAGACCAGATATCACAGAGTACCAGCTCCTCCTCAGTCAGATACACTCACAGACCAGCTATCACAGGGTACCAACTCCTCCTCAGTCAGATACACTCACAGACCCGCTATCACAGAGTACCAACTCCTCCTCAGTCAGATACACTCACAGACCATCTATCACAGAGTACCAACCCCTCCTCAGTCAGATACACTCACAGACCAGCTATCACAGAGTACCATCTCCTCCTCATTCATACCAATCTCTCAGTACAAGTCCTTCGAGTCTGATACATACAAAGACCAGCTATCACAGAGTACCAACTCCTCCTCAGTCATATCTCATCTCCCAGTACAAGTCCTCTGAGTCTGATACACACACAGACCAGCTATCACAGAGTACCAGCTCCTCCGAGTCTGTTACACACACAGACCAGCTATCACAGAGTACCAACTCCTCCGAGTCGGTTGCACACACAGACCAGCTATCACAGAGTACCAACTCCTCCGAGTCTGTTACACTCACAGACCAGCTATCACAGAGTACCAACTCAGAAGAAAACTTCAGTCTTGTGTGTTTTCTTTTGTGTGCATCTTTGAAATGCATATTAAAAGACCTTGGTGAAACTTTATTTTATGAAGATTTTTCTGATACAGAACGTGCAATTCTGACTTTTTTTTCCTGACAATTTTGAAATTTGAGGTTGTAATAATGTCACTGTATATTATGTATATTTTACACCAATGGATGTGTATGAAATTGGGAAAAAAAATAAAGAATATGTATCAAATTCTATATTCTTTGTAGATTTGTAAAACATCATTATTAGTAATAGTTAGTTCACCTGGCCCTAATGACTACTGGTAAGGTGAGCTTATACCATGGCATTCCTTGTTCATTTGTCGACAGTCTCTTTAAAATAATTTCTGAATCACTGAACAGAACCTCACCAAATTAAACTGGAATTATACTAAAGTGGATGAATTAAAAACTACAGTTTTTATTGGGCCAGGAAGGGGTAATTTTGCCTTATTGCTTTTACTGATTTTAAACATATACATCTGTATCTTTAAGAAAGATGTCGCTCTAGAATACATGTATAACATTGTTTTGAACTTGGTCATAGTGTAAAAAGTTCAGAAACATAGAAAATATAAAGTAATGCAAGGGAAGGGGTACCAGAATTTCCAAATTATTTCACTTTTCATCTAAGACCAGTTTGACTACTAAAGCCATTTTGAGTTTGTTACAGAAATCCTCGACAGATACATGTAGGTTTCCTTAGTCCTTAGTTGTGTATCTGTAATTTTGAGACTAATCAAAAGAAAAACATGTTTTATTTTTGACAGTTAAGTTTTGTTATTAATTCTGAAAACATGCTGGAGTGGGGTTTTTAAGCCATATCTAGGCGACTCTTGACTTGGTTCTTAGTTATGCATGTTTCATTTTCAGCTTGATTAGAAGATGGCAGACAGCTTAGCTTTGATTGCTGAAGTTTGTAAGAACTTTTTCCCAAACTGTAAATTAGATATCATTCTCAAATGTCATAAATAGGCTCTAACTTCTCCCTAGTCGTGCATATACATTTGTATTTCATTTTGAGGTTTTGAACTGCTTGATCCAAAGAAAAATATATTGGTGTGTCCTCATGTAAAATGAATGATGTACAGGAAATAATCAAAGTCTTTACAGAATTATACCACATTAACATTGGTGTACAGCTCTTGCTAAATACTGATTCATTACTTTATAAAACTGAGGAAAACAATGTTAGAAAAGATAAAGTTCTACAGCTGAAACCATCGCAAGTTAACTGGATTGAAGTAATTAACCTTGACCTTTGACTAAATAATATGATGAAACAGAAACCAGACAAGGAAGTAATTTTTAATTTTCTGGATGTTCAGTGGGATGGCCAGAATGAGTTGGTTTACACCTCAAACTCTTACTAAGTTGATAAGATAAGTTATGGAGTGGAAAGCATCTGTGAATCGGATTTAACCTTTTATAATGGTTTGAAAAAATACAGGTGCCTATAGTTCTACAACTGATAGTATTGGTAAAGATGATGAGATATGGGACATGCCTGCAGAACTACATTTCATGGCTGTTTCTGACTTTAAATTCCTACATTAAAACTAGTGCTTTTGATTGAAAAACTATAAGTTTTGTTCAATTATTACACATTTGTTCACCTGTGGTAAATTATACTTCATTGATATTCTATATGGTATATATCCTGATCCAATAAAACAAGATGGATGCCATGATTATTGGAGACCTTTGACCTGAGCTGGGTTAGAAATTCTGTTCTGATGGTCTGATTTTGTCCATGCTTGGTTAAGTTAGGTTAAATTTTGTTTAACGTCCTATTAACAGCTAAGGTCATTTAAGGACGTGCCTCCATGTGTGTAGTGTATGTGTGCTTGCGTTTGTATGCAGAAGACTGGGTATGTTGCTGTGCTTGCCTCCTTGTTATAGTGCGGATCTGATGCCGACTTTATAGTGCCATCTCACTGAAATGCCATGCCAAAGGCACCCAGCACAGCATTCCGCCTGGTCACATTATACTGACCACGAGTGAACCAGTTGTTGTCAATCCCCGAATTGCTGAACGTTTAGCAGGAAAAAACAACTACCATTTTTAAGGACTTTGGTATGTCCCGGCCTGGGGACAACCCATTGCCTTTCTCATCTGGGCGAACGCTCAACATTCAAGCCAAAGGTGAGGTGTTGCCAAGCAATGCGCTAGGAAATAAAAGGTTGAAAGAAAGATCCCAAATATTGCAATTGGCGCTGCAGATTTATTTTAGTCGCTTTTGTAGAGAAATAGAGAACACCAAAGCAAATCCCCAATTCTGTAGGGGATTCCCAAATTAGATGCCTCATACGCTACAAGCAGGTGTATTCTTTTCCAGACCCCCACCTGCAGGGGTGTCCATACTTGGTTGTAACTGGTACTTGTCGGATTAAATATGTATGTAATGCTTTATTACCAATACATGCATTGCATGGTGATTATGTGTTTGTGTACAGAAAAGATTTTAAAAAACAATTAGAAACATGTTCAAGCTAAAAAGCATAAGCCCTTTCATTTTCATCTTTAGATGCTTTACAAATAATTACAATGGTGACTTTTAAATGTGTATAAAGTTGGACTGTTTTGCTTCGGTTTCAATGATTTTATGAAAATGTACATGAATGTGTTTGTTGTTTTTTCCCCTATAATATCAGATATCTATTTCTATGGACACTGAAAATTCTACACAATTTTAGTGCAATTATAGATATATTAGGCACACAATTAGATTCACCACTAGAAATTACCTGTCAGAAAACAATCAAAACTACTGGTTTTTAGCCATTTTTTCCATAGTGTGCCGTCCATCGTCCCGTCCGTCTGGCGTCAACATTTTACTTTAAGGATGTACACCTCTGAGAAGTCAAAAACTTCCTGTATTAAACTTTTTAAAAAATTCCTGTATTAAACTTTTTTTCTTATATTGATTTTTGGAAAAAGGAGATAATAGAAAATGCAAAAAAAAATACATGCCCGTGTATTCTTTTTCGTGCTATGATTGGTCAAAGATACCAATTTAATACAATATGTGATTTTAGGTGAATTTTCAGGTTTTGACCATTTGCAGAACAAATTCATACAATTTCTTCCAAGTGTGTTATCAGATATGTATGAATGTTTGTAGAATTGATAAAAATATTATTTTCTTTTAAATTATGGAAGTAAAATTTCTTAATCTTATTCATTTTTCTCAGAAATGTGATTTTAGTTACCCCTACCTCTTTTATTTTAATGAAAAAATACATTTTCTCACCAATTTTTGCAGATTAAACGCTTGATATAAAAACTTCCTGTATTAAACTTTTTTTAGTATTCAATGAATCAAAAGGAAATGTGTTTCTCTTTCTAAAACAGCCACAAAAATGGGGGGGTCAAGTGCTTCTTTTTTTGTCCCATATTTATTTGTGTTATTTTTCACCTTTTTCGGAGTCAAAAATCAAAAGTGCTTCAGTTATCCTAATATGTAAAAAAAAATCCAATATATAACTTTCCACTTTTTTGCATATTATTTTAATCATATTGAACATTATAAAGTTGTACAGCAAAATTGAACCTGCTACAATTAAAAATTGTGACACAATGACAATTTAAGCGATCAATCTTGTGTCAAAAAAGGTGATATTTTGGCCCTTTGCGAAGCGCAAGAAATTCACATAATACACTTTTCAAAATGGCCACCAAATTGGTCATTTTTTTCAAATTCTTGTAAAAAATGTTCTACACACAACAGACATCTAGTTTTTTGACATGTTTTTCAGATGTGTGTTTGCTATTAAACCTATCATAATTTGTTAAATATTACAAAAACCCTTTACACCAGATCAAAACGAGACTTGAACGTGACTGAAACCTCAGAAGAGTACATCCTTAATCAACTTCAGAATAACCAAGATTCCTAAGGTGATGGTATTTTGGCCAGTAGCATGTTGGAATGAATTACCTTAGCCCCTTTTCAAGGTTATAGGGGTTACATATGTTAAAATCTTTGAACAAGTAATTTTGATTCAAAGGCCTAGCATAATGATATTTCGCCCATAACATGCTTAAATGAAGTGCTACCTAGTTTTTTCAAATGGATGACTTTATCAAAAAGCTGGATCAGCTTACGTCGACGTCGACACTACGTGACCTTGACTTATAATCACATTGGGTCAAATATTTAAAAACTTCTTCTGAATAACCAAAAGGCCCTGGTGAGGATATTTGGCCAGTAACATGTAGGGATGAAGGGCTATCAAATTTGTTCAAATGAATGACCTTGACTTATATTATATTCAAGGTCACAGGGGTCAATTATATTAAAACAACTTATGAAATTTTGGCAGTGACATGCTGACATAACGGGCTACAAAGTTTGTTAAAATCAATGACCTTGACTTATATCAAGGTCACAGGGGTCAGAAATGTTTTAATTTAAACAACATCTGAATGACAATAATGCCCAGAATGTCGGTATTTGGCCAGTAGACTGCTTTGATGAAAGGTAATAAAGTTATCAAAATGAATTACCTTGACCTATTCCGTCTTTGCGTATTGCAGAGTTATCTTCTCTTGGGGGCAGGGATTGATTGTTAAGTCATTGGTTTGTGTGAGAAAGTTACGTCGTTTTCTCAACAATTGATGACGTTACTCTCACAAAAAAGTGTCGTAACAATCAATACCTGCTCCCAAGAGAAGATAACTCTGCAATACGCAAAGACGGAATATCCATTGGCACATGGGTCAAATATATTTTAAACCTTTAAATATCTTCTTCTGAATAACCAAATGCCAAAAATGTTGATATTTGACCAGTTAAAACATGTTTTGATGAAGGGCTAGCAACTTTTGTCAAATGTGTATATACATACAACTTTAAATGACCTTAATATCAATATACAAAAGGTCTAAGTCCTACTTATGGTGGTTATATTTGGCAAGTAGCATGCTGAGAATTAAAGGGCTATAAAGTTTTTTCGCTGTAATGACCTTGTTTGACTTTCGGAGTCACGGAGTTAAAATGTGTTAGTCATAAATACTGATATTTTGCACGTAGCTTAATTTTTGTCCATTTTAAATGCGATGCAGGCCCGTTGGGCGTCTTGCTATATATTAATATATAATTTCGGGGTTAAGGGATAACGGGGTGGAACGCCTTAAAATATATTAACATCCGGTCGACGTGAGAGTTATCGTCCTTGCATATGTTGACATTTGCATGTACCGTGAACTGTAAAACATGAAAAAGTGAGCTAAATATCTGTTTTCTGTCTGATGATGTAAGTAATGAGCACCGAATTTAATGGATATAATGTTATATATTTCTTCTTAGTGCTCGTGTTTGGGTTTTATAAACTAGCAGGCTAAGTGTAGCACTACTGTAGCATTCTTGGCGACACCAAAAACTTGATAAACAATAGACGGCAGACATTAGACACCAGTGCGTATATGATGTATATAGTGTATTCTGTACTGTAGGTAATGTACACATAATATGAGATTTTGTGTGTCCTGAAATTATGGATATATCGGCAGTATTTGATTATTATAAAGATTGCTTAAATATTGTTTGATGTATAGATAACATTCCGTTTCTAGGCTGCCTAAGTACATGTGCATCTGAACATTAAGAATTAATTGAAAACAAAATTCAGACCATTACTTCAAATAGGTTTGAGAAGGGTGTTTTTTTAACTCAAATACAAAGGACAGCAGTACTAGTGCTATTAACACTTTGACACTCTGAATGAGAGACCTATGTTTAGTGCTCTTTTGTAAGATAGTTTATGGTCTTTAGTATCAACATTAACAACAGGAGAGGAAAGACATGGCCAGACCAGGATTCAAACCTTCAATCTCCAAACTCTATATTGGTACTTTAACAAATTAAATTACCAGGTAACCAGAGATTGACCTAGTTCCTATTAACTCCATTGACAACCATGTAGACTGAGGAAATGTAATGATCCAAATTCCCCCAAAAAATCCTTTAAAACAGAAAGTTTGAACAGTAATTCTTCTCAAAACCTTAAAAGAATAGATTTCCCTGACAATCTTTGTTAACTTAAGACCAAAGACATTTAGACATGCATCAATCTAAAATGAAGTGGTACTCAAATTATGTTTTCCAGCATGCATACAGTCATACAGAAAGATCATCGCATATAATATGCCTAGATTCATCCCCAATATCCAGGGGTTATGCTCACTTTCGCTCTCTGTACCCCTGTAATATGTCATAGTAAAATTAAGGCTCATTGTACGCCACCCTGTGGATGAAACGAGAAGACTAGTTTGATCCTTTGATGTACATCAAAAGAATCTCGCGGTGGTATAACTGTAAAAGTGACTTGCTTCGAAGTCTGGTGTCGCTCCTCTGTAATATTCAAAGGACAGGTATCAGCCTAGTGATTGGTCAGGTTTTTTTACCTGACACCAATCAAATAGCTAGCAGTGTGCCTTCAATTTTCCCATGACATATTCCAGGGGTGTAGAGAGCGAAAGTGAGCATATAACCCCTGGATATGGAGGATGGCCCAGATTATGCCAAAGATCAAAATTGAGCTTACTAGGTAGTTTAAATATGAATCCTCAACCAGTTTCATAATTGATATTTCACCTGGAAACCTTCATCTCTAGGTGATGACAACGTCGGTGTATGAACTACCTACATGCCTTTTTTAAATTGACCCACAAAAACTTAAGTGTCCTCCTTGATTCCATATATTTATATTCTTACAGGGCCACTGTATCATCATAAACGGTATGGGAAATGATGCAGGTCTGTCTCTGTTCCAACTTCCTAACCTCAATAACTCAAGTTCCTGTTGCCACTCAAACTTTATACACGGCATGCTTCCTTACAAAGTGCTTGTTAGGGATTGCTTGTTAGGTGTCACGGTTACTGTTACCATAGTTATAATATTGGTTTCTGCAAAACAAAGCTCAAGTGGGATAATGTTTAACACTTACTTATTGACTGGAAGTGTTTCATAAAGATTCATATGTCTGTAATTTAAAGGTCTATAGGTCGCTGTTACAATGAATAGAGATTATTTTCTGCACAAAATAGAAAATTAGTTTCCACACAGTAATTCTAGTGAGCAGATAGTACTGAAACATAACTGTTTACATATAGATAAGGCTTGCTTGGGATTGAAGTCAGATGACTGTCAATTAGGATAAATAGAAAATCTTCATCAGTAATATAGTTAATTTCAATATTGTAATCCATCACAACAATCAATGGGGCATTGCTATTGTGCAGCCATACTTGATCATAAAGTGTGTTATACTGTGAGTGAGGACATCAATTCTTATGCTGCACCTTAACTAGCATAAATGTGAGGTATTAATATTGTGTCTGTCATGGTGTGCTATATCTCTATACATAATATAAGATATGACTGTCGTCTGTAGATTGTTTGTATATTTTGTTTTTTTCCCTATTTTTCCTTTTCCTGTGTTGTAGGTAAGACATGCCTGATGTCTCTGAGTGAGAACTTTGCACCAGGCAGTCCAGACTCCTGGCTGTCCGAGCATGAGAGTGTAGACTACAATGTCTTCTACGGTAACATGAACTCCGTGATGTTCCATAATGATGTGCATAGTTGTCAGTTCCTCAAGGAGATGAAGGTGCTGTATGATGATGGCCAGTTGACGGATGTGACCTTAAGTGTGGATGGCCATAAACTGCCCGCCCACCGTGTGGTGCTGGCAGCCGCTAGTCCATACTTCAAAGCTATGTTCACACTGGACCTGAACGAGAGCAGACAAGATGTGGTGGAACTGTTCGAGGTCGACTTTGAATCAGTAAGCCAGGTTGTGTCCTATGCTTACACAGGAACCCTGGAAATTTGTCAGCAAAATGTTCAAAACCTGCTGACGGCAGCTTCATTGTTTCAGGTAATACCTGTCCAAAAGGCATGTGCGAGGTTCCTAGAGACACAGTTAGACAACAGTAACTGTGTCGGCATTTACTGCTTCGCCCAGGCTCATAGCTGCCTCTCTCTCCAAGTCAAAGCTCGAGAGCATATCGAAAAGAACTTCATGGATGTTTTTCAGTACGAGGAATTTTTACGGCTTCCCAAGGATAAAATTATGGAAATTGTTGCCAGTGATGAACTTAATGTTGACAAAGAAGATATTGTCTTTGAAGCTATATTAGCATGGGTTGAAGCTAAGGAGGAGGAACGAACAGTGTTAATGGGACAGTTAATGCCACATGTTCGATTTGGTCTCATTTCTTTACGTTTTATGCAAGAAAGAGTGTTGAAAAGCAATTTAATTCTGAAAGACCAGAGTTGTGTTTCTCTACTACAAGACCTGAAGGAGTTTGAAAGCAGTCCTCATTCTTACCAGGGGGAGAACACATTCAGCTTGTCGTTACGTTCTGGTATGATCAAACCAGAGCACTGCATGTTACTGCTGGGAGGAACAGAGAACCGCCGACCTTACATCAACTGTTACAACCCCCTGACAAGGGAGTCTTTTTTCATGGATGACTTCCCTGTGTCTAGGAGATATGGAGATTTTGATGTGGAGAGTCTTGCTGGTGTTGTTACCGACAAAAACCTCCTGTTTGCTGGGGGTGGGAACTATATTTACCACTCTGACAGCTGTGAGCACTTTGACTCGGATGATTCTTTAGATGAATTTGAGGAAAGGGTTGTGAGTAAGGATTTTTNGGTATAACTGTAAAAGTGACTTGCTTCGAAGTCTGGTGTCGCTCCTCTGTAATATTCAAAAGACAGGTATCAGCCTAGTGATTGGTCAGGTTTTTTTACCTGACACCAATCAAATAGCTAGCAGTGTGCCTTCAATTTTCCCATGACATATTCCAGGGGTGTAGAGAGCGAAAGTGAGCATATAACCCCTGGATATGGAGGATGGCCCAGATTATGCCAAAGATCAAAATTGAGCTTACTAGGTAGTTTAAATATGAATCCTCAACCAGTTTCATAATTGATATTTCACCTGGAAACCTTCATCTCTAGGTGATGACAACGTCGGTGTATGAACTACCTACATGCCTTTTTTAAATTGACCCACAAAAACTTAAGTGTCCTCCTTGATTCCATATATTTATATTCTTACAGGGCCACTGTATCATCATAAACGGTATGGGAAATGATGCAGGTCTGTCTCTGTTCCAACTTCCTAACCTCAATAACTCAAGTTCCTGTTGCCACTCAAACTTTATACACGGCATGCTTCCTTACAAAGTGCTTGTTAGGGATTGCTTGTTAGGTGTCACGGTTACTGTTACCATAGTTATAATATTGGTTTCTGCAAAACAAAGCTCAAGTGGGATAATGTTTAACACTTACTTATTGACTGGAAGTGTTTCATAAAGATTCATATGTCTGTAATTTAAAGGTCTATAGGTCGCTGTTACAATGAATAGGGATTATTTTCTGCACAAAATAGAAAATTAGTTTCCACACAGTAATTCTAGTGAGCAGATAGTACTGAAACATAACTGTTTACATATAGATAAGGCTTGCTTGGGATTGAAGTCAGATGACTGTCAATTAGGATAAATAGAAAATCTTCATCAGTAATATAGTTAATTTCAATATTGTAATCCATCACAACAATCAATGGGGCATTGCTATTGTGCAGCCATACTTGATCATAAAGTGTGTTATACTGTGAGTGAGGACATCAATTCTTATGCTGCACCTTAACTAGCATAAATGTGAGGTATTAATATTGTGTCTGTCATGGTGTGCTATATCTCTATACATAATATAAGATATGACTGTCGTCTGTAGATTGTTTGTATATTTTGTTTTTTTCCCTATTTTTCCTTTTCCTGTGTTGTAGGTAAGACATGCCTGATGTCTCTGAGTGAGAACTTTGCACCAGGCAGTCCAGACTCCTGGCTGTCCGAGCATGAGAGTGTAGACTACAATGTCTTCTACGGTAACATGAACTCCGTGATGTTCCATAATGATGTGCATAGTTGTCAGTTCCTCAAGGAGATGAAGGTGCTGTATGATGATGGCCAGTTGACGGATGTGACCTTAAGTGTGGATGGCCATAAACTGCCCGCCCACCGTGTGGTGCTGGCAGCCGCTAGTCCATACTTCAAAGCTATGTTCACACTGGACCTGAACGAGAGCAGACAAGATGTGGTGGAACTGTTCGAGGTCGACTTTGAATCAGTAAGCCAGGTTGTGTCCTATGCTTACACAGGAACCCTGGAAATTTGTCAGCAAAATGTTCAAAACCTGCTGACGGCAGCTTCATTGTTTCAGGTAATACCTGTCCAAAAGGCATGTGCGAGGTTCCTAGAGACACAGTTAGACAACAGTAACTGTGTCGGCATTTACTGCTTCGCCCAGGCTCATAGCTGCCTCTCTCTCCAAGTCAAAGCTCGAGAGCATATCGAAAAGAACTTCATGGATGTTTTTCAGTACGAGGAATTTTTACGGCTTCCCAAGGATAAAATTATGGAAATTGTTGCCAGTGATGAACTTAATGTTGACAAAGAAGATATTGTCTTTGAAGCTATATTAGCATGGGTTGAAGCTAAGGAGGAGGAACGAACAGTGTTAATGGGACAGTTAATGCCACATGTTCGATTTGGTCTCATTTCTTTACGTTTTATGCAAGAAAGAGTGTTGAAAAGCAATTTAATTCTGAAAGACCAGAGTTGTGTTTCTCTACTACAAGACCTGAAGGAGTTTGAAAGCAGTCCTCATTCTTACCAGGGGGAGAACACATTCAGCTTGTCGTTACGTTCTGGTATGATCAAACCAGAGCACTGCATGTTACTGCTGGGAGGAACAGAGAACCGCCGACCTTACATCAACTGTTACAACCCCCTGACAAGGGAGTCTTTTTTCATGGATGACTTCCCTGTGTCTAGGAGATATGGAGATTTTGATGTGGAGAGTCTTGCTGGTGTTGTTACCGACAAAAACCTCCTGTTTGCTGGGGGTGGGAACTATATTTACCACTCTGACAGCTGTGAGCACTTTGACTCGGATGATTCTTTAGATGAATTTGAGGAAAGGGTTGTGAGTAAGGATTTTTATCGCTATGACAATGATCACAACAAGTGGGTTGCCTTGGCACCCATGTTATTCCCAAAATCAAACTTTTCTCTGGCTTCTTTGGGTGGAAAGGTATACTGTTTTGGGGGTTTGACAGAGAATCAACATCCCACTGAAATCATTGAAGTGTATGACATTGACAAGAATCGATGGAGTTACCAGGGCATGCTTCCAACGTCACTGGTGGATCTGTCCTGTGTTGTCCATGATGAGCACATCTTTCTTCTGGGAGGACGTACAGGTGTTGGTGCCCATAACCTCGTTGTCATGTATCACCCTGTCAAAGGCCAGTGGATCTCCAGACCGGGAATGCTTACTCCCAGGTTCAATTTTGGTGCATGTGTGGTTGATGAAGAAATCTACATAGCTGGTGGTCAGATCTATTCCCAAAGTTCTCACACTATCAACAGGCAAGCTCTCAAGTCTGTCGAAATATTCAGTATGACAAACAACCAGTGGCGTCCAGGCCCTGAACTGCCAGAGGCAATATACAATGTGGGACTTGTTGTTGTAAACATGGCATTGTATGCGTGTGGCACTACAGAGAGTTCACGGCTAACGCAACCAACATATCGCAACATCGTGTGTCGACTCGACTTCAGTCGGGGACAGTGGGACATTATAGAGCAGACTCTTTGTGACAGCAGGAACTACAGCTGTATTGCTGCTAAGCTCCATACCAGGAAGCTTTCACAGGTGTTCCGTCCCGACGTAGACACATAGCCTTGAGATTAATCCTCAGTCACATTACCATGGTAACATACCTGATGTTACAAAGCCTCAACCATGATCACCAGTCACATTATCAGGCCTACACTTGCTGTATATAACCTCCTGCATCATTCAAGACTCATTATGAGAGGTGTCATTCATGACTTTAAACTGAAAAAAATACCTGATACAAATAGCTTCCGTTTCCCTTTGTTATTGTTTGTGTAAGTTATATAACCATGTACATTACTTGTTTTTCCATTCATCACAAGGGGGAACACTGCATCACTATATATTTCAGAGATGCCATAGCAATACCCCCAGGTTACCCTTAACTACAGTACGTTTCCTGGGCAGATTGGTCTGTGGTTAGATAAAGTTTTCCCCACAAAGATGACAAACAAACTCAGCATGGATGTAATGTATGGTTATAAAAGTGAAATAGATTTCGTCTTGTACCTGTAGCAGATTTGTTTTAAATTTTAAGTACAATTTGGTAAAGTATATGTATATGACATGAATACATACTGAGGTATTCTACTTTTTTGGCTCCTATGACAAGCTAGACTCCACATATTCAGGTGCGTAGCTGCCTATACCCTGGTACGCAGGTGCATCCACCAATTTTTTAAACAGAAACACAAAACAAAGTCAGTGTTAATTTGTTGTAACCCACTTGTCGCCATACCAAAGACATGCCCTTGACCGCTCCTAAATGAATCCAGTCCAAATAGGGGCTAGCTACACTCCTGTTATTACAGGAAAGGTCTGAAGCTAATGGCATAACCTTAGTAAGGGGAAGGAACTCTTGAATTCTTTGTAGTGTTTTGCTAAAAGTTTTATTTAATCAATCCACTATTAACTCATGGGTGCTCATCACTGCTGTGAATAAAAAATTATAGTGCTAGTTTGATACCATATTTGATATACTTTATATATACTGGTGATACTAATGTTTATATTTAAAGAGGTTGGAACAGCTAAACTACACGAGAATAGTGTATATTTTTATGAATTCATAAAGTATTTTTGTTATGATACATACAAGGAATGTGAACACTTTTTTAACTTGCAGGGTAAAATTGAAGGTTTTCAAAACATTCCTTTATTCACAGCATATTAATCTCATGAATTTGTTGTGATTGATCTGGCGGTAACACTCTTACAGGACTTGTTACAATGTTTGTTGTATGTACAAAGTCTTATCCCCCCCCCCCATTATATTACAATTTCAACTATTGTAAAGATTGATCTGAAAGGTTGCAGATGTGGCTTCTACTTCAATTTGATACCTTCATCTTTAGTATAGTCGTTATGCTTCATCTATATACAATATTAGACGAGGCTGGATTACTACGAGGCTAGCAGATTGGCGAAGGCCGAATTATAGAGGCTAGCAGTTTAGAGGAGGCCGCTTACGACAAGGCTAGAATGACATACATAATGTATATATGCTTGTCTAGTTCAAAATGATTTTTTTTATAAATGTAATTGAAATATGTTGAATGTCGATGTAAATTGCATGGTCTGTTGTTAATTTGTAGTTCAATATATAAATCAAGGTATATATTTTATATCTGCTGACAAACGATTGATATTGTTTCCAAGTGACCTGGTAATCCTCCACTTTTGTATATTGTATGCAATCATTTTGTATAAAAAATCAATGGAATTTACATCCAAGCACACTAAACTTCATTGTGGTCAGGATTTTCCATCTCACTAAAGGAAATTGATGCATTTTTATTTCAGATTTTCTTCTAACATGTATTTTATATTTGTGACCAGATTTTCTTTTTAAAAAATGAAACATTTTGAATGCAATACATTCTCTTGTATCTTTATGCCCTTTGCCCCAAATATTTTTATACTTATATGTAATACACATTCCACGATAATGTCTCATTTGTGATAAAATAAAACAATTTTATTAAAGCTCTTTGTTTTCTCACTTGTGATAAAGACAAAAGGTATTAATTATCTTGTTGACACCAAAGTATGGACAACAGATAGTAAGACACCCGGACACTTGCCATACTATAATATCTGGGTAGATCGAAAGTAAACAAGGTTTGGTATAAGTTCCAAATTTAACATATTGGCAGCAAATAAAGAGCATAATACAACAAACAGTGTTGAATGTACATTTAATTTCATGATGGTACAGTTGACAAGAAATGTTATAGTGAAAATTTTTAAGACCAGATAAATTCTATGCAATTTTAATACATACATTTACACTTCCAACGCATGTTTGTTCACCACTAACATGATGCAAGTTATATATATTATGTAGATCCCATTGTAAAAGTAAATTCCCATAAAATTATTAACGGTATATAACACTATAAACATTTTTACAATGGAAAATCATTACCTATATACATTGTACATGTAACAAGTGACACTCCAAATCTATGTACACAAGACATTGTACCAGCAACATCAGCCCAAAACACGACGTATATCAATATCAATGTCCCCCTAGCACACCAAAGCGCTCTCCTAATTACATTAAAAGTTCTCAAACATCTATATGTATCTATACATACTGCATGTTTTAAGTTTATGTGCATTAGGTTTCTCTCAAAGTTTTAAATTTCAATAAAATCTCCAAATACACATTTGTATGCCTGATTCAGTGGTAATACCTGACGGAATATCATCTGTTAGTATCTTACCTAGAATAAAGTGCTCATACCTAGCTATTGAATTTATTAAATTCTTTAATATTTTTTTATGTAATTTAATAAAAATTACAGGATTTTATTTTATTAAACCTTTATTTCCCCTGGACTCTAAACCCAGGTACAGGAAGCATTCAAATTTGTTAGTTCATACATATTAATATCAAAACTAAATACATCTGACAATTATGTTACTGTCCCTGCAATACCTCTAGCATTTGAGATAAGGAAGTGTTCCTTCTCTTCTGTTTGGTAATGCAAGTCCATCCATTACTGTTACCTGGAATTGTTGCGATTGGGATGTGATGTGACAATCTATGGCCGAGCTAGACACACAGATTAAGGTACTGGTGAGAAGCTATGGTAGCACCTTGATATCACAGATATGGTTAAAACTCGCTTGTTCTCATACATTCTGTTGACATTGTGGCCTTGAAATGAGAATATATATATGGTCTGATCATCCTTTCATGATATTTGTTTTCTAGACCCAAGATAGATTTTCTGTAGTAACACTTGTAGAACATGTTTAACCCAAATAGGTTTTGTTTACAGATGGTTCCACCTGAGTTATCAAAATCATCCAAACATTCTTTCAAATACAACATGTCTGTATAACATCAACATATTATAGCCAGGTCAATATGAAATAATTCTCTCGTGAGATGTAGATATGTATCACTTGTTTTGCCAGTGATCTGGCAGTGAACTCCATCTTACGCCTGGAATCATGTCCATGTGTAATCCTTAGACGTCTGAACCCAGGTACATGCAGGAGTAAGTGACCATATCATTCTAAACTCACTAAGAAGGCTTTAGACAGCAATGTTGATGAGGAGGAGGATCAGGCCCCGGTGTATAGGGACAGGAAGTAGATATAGAGGAGGAACACTGGGTACAGAAGGAGAGGCCGCTTGTGTTGGAGTTCTTGTACACAAAGCAACGTCCCAGCACTATACGCCGCCCACACTACTCCACACAGCTGTAAAAACAAACAGATGCATTATACAGTAACATGTAGGCAAAAACACCAATCACATCACACAGCAACATGCCAGCACTATAGCCCCCCTACACACACCACACACACATTACTCCACACCCTCCTCCACACAGCCGTAAAAACAAAAATATGTATTGCATTTACACACCACACAGCAACATTCCAGCACTATACCCCCCCTACACACACCACACACACACTACTCCACACACTCCTCCACACAGCCGTAAAAACAAAAATATGTATTGGATATACACACCACACAGCAACATTCCAGCACTATACCCCCCGTACACACACCACACACACATTACCCCCCACACTACTCCACACAGCTGTAAAAACAAACAGATGCATTATCCAGTACCATGTAGGCAAAAACACCAATCACATCACACAGCAACATGCCAGCACTATAGCCCCCCTACACACACCACACACACATTACTCCACACCCTCCTCCACACAGCCGTAAAAACAAAAATATGTATTGGATATACACACCACACAGCACCATGCCAGCACTATACCACCCCTACACACACAACACACACATTACTCCACACATCTGTAAAAACAAACAGATGCATTATACAGTAACATGTAGGCAAAAACACCAATCACATCACACAGCAACATGCCAGCACTATACCCCCCCTACACACACCACACACACATTACTCCACACACTACTCCACACAGCCGTAAAAACAAATTGATGTAATGTCATACAGTAACATGTTGTTTGTAAAAATGAAATGACAATGTTGTACAATCTAAAGATAATTATCAAACTTCAAACAGAGAAACATGCAAGGTAAAGGTGCTTCATGATATTGTAAAACTGAAGATCCAGATGGAGGCCGTCCAATTCTCTCTCTGATACATACCTTTATTAATAGGCCAAGATAGTGGAGAGATCTAAATAGAGGAAGGATGGATGCTGTGATGACCAGTGGTAGTACGGAGTAGCCAATCACGCCCAGACACTGCGAGTAGCTCACCTGTTATATACAATAGGGCTACAGGTATAAAGGGTACTAGCATGATGTCAAACCAATAAATACACACAATATGATTACAGGCAACAACTTTCCAGTGTTCATTCATGCCTACTTGAAGTGATCGATGGCAAAAACTCTTAAATGTTCAAACATATCCACTTCCAAATTTTTCATATCTTTGATTATAAAATTGTTGATACATGTTGATTTTAAAATTGTTCATAGGTAGCAGTCTACAGTAGAAATGGCCCGACTCTGAAAAACAAGGCACATGTCGAGGAAATGTAAACTTAGCGGATTTACCCTACACAACACATATATACATGTATATATATTTGTAGACTGCATTACATTTACAATACATATAAAGAACTGAGAAATGTATAAACCTCTTATTTCTATGTATGTCACTTGTGTGTAAACCATGGTTACCACATCAAAAATTACCAAAAAATGCCAAAAATTGCTATTTTTGACCCAAAATTTGACCTCCGCAACTAGTAATTTTTTTCCTAAGTTCTATATGAAATTAAAGATTACCAACTTGGTTGCAGAATAATCTGGGTCCCAGTAAAGTTGTAAAACTTGATTTTTTGCAATTTTGCGTCGTGTGCTGTTGTCAAAATTTTACCTCCTGTAAAGCTAGCTTTTCATGTGTAGGCACCCTTTCGGAATATGGCCAACATTTTGATCTCGAACCAAAAACTTTTTTTTTTTACAAATGTGAAGCTCACATAGCCCACTTCATCATGCTTATATCAATTTTAGTACATTTTTTTTTTTTTTTTTACATATCATTCTACAGGGGTTAGCCATTTAACAAAAATATCACCCATGGCCACAACCCTCTACTGTAGACTGCTACCATACACATTAACATGAATAAGTACAAAATAATTTACTGTGATATTAAAAACAATACTTCATTCATTATTTGTCTAAGGACAACCACAATTGCTTTTGTTGAAATGGTATCACTAGGGATCATATACACTTACATCACTCCCAGGTATTTTAGCTAATAAAAATATGATGAGGAAACAAAATATCCTTATGCACTCACTTCACCCCCAAGTATCCTGGCTAATGAAAATATGATGAGGGGACCAAATATCCTTATACACTTACTCCCCCTCAAAGTATCCTGGCTAATAAAAATATGATGAGGAAACCAAATATCCTTATACACTAACTTCACCCCTAAGTATCCTGGGTAATAATATTATGATGAGGGAACCAAATATCCTTATACACTTATAATTACCTCACCCCCAAGCATCCTGGCTAATAAAAATATGATGAGGGAACCAAATATCCTTATACGCTTATTTATTTCACTGCCAATCATCCTGGCTAATGAAAATATGATGAGGGGACCAAATATCCTTATACACTTACTTCACCTCAAAGTATCCTGGCTAATAAAAATATGATGAGGAAACCAAATATCCTTATACACTGACTTCACCCCTAAGTATCCTGGGTAATAATATTATGATGAGGGAACTAAATATCCTTATACACTTATAATTACCTCACCCCCAAGCATCCTGGCTAATAAAAATATGATGAGGGAACCAAATATCCTTATACACTTATTTATTTCACTGCCAAGCATCCTGGCTAATCAAAATATGATGAGGGAACCAAATATCCTTATACATTTATTTATTTCACTGCCAAGCATCCTGGCTAATAAAAATATGATGAGGGAACCAAATATCCTTATACACTTACTTCACCTCCAAGCATCCTGGCTAATAAAAATATGATGAGGGAACCAAATATCCAAATGGTGATGATCCATGATACCACCTGTAAAACAAAAAATATACTTATAATTAAACTAGTCAAATGGTGGAGTGTTTATGTATGTGGTTGAACAAGTCAAATGGTGGAGTGTTCATGTATGTAGTTGAACAAGTCAAATGGTGGAGTGTTAATGTATGTGGTTGAACAAGTCAAATAGTGGAGTGTTCATGTATGTGGTTGATCAAGTCAAATGGTGGAGTGTTCATGTATTGGTTGAACAAGTCAAATGGGGGAGTGTTCATGTATGTGGTTGAACAAGTCAAATAGTGGAGTTCATGCATGTGGTTGAACAAGTCAAATGGTGGAGCGGTCATGTAATGGTTGAACAAGTCAAATGGGGGAGTGTTCATGTATGTGGTTGAACAAGTCAAATGGTGGAGTGTTCATGTAATGGTTGAACAAGTCAAATAGTTGAGTTCATGCATGTGGTTGAACAAGTCAAATGGTGGAGTGTTCATGTATGTGGTTGAACAAGTCAAATGATGGAGTGTTCATGTTAGAAACAAGAATATGCAGCAATGGAAGCTATGACTCTGGTCACTTTGTCAAGCTAGTCATTGCTCAACAAAGGAATTGGTCAATATTGAAACGTAGCGACACGTTTTAATTAAACTTTAATACATACAAAATTACATTGTGTGAAAGTAACACCTTGATTGTACTGAAATAAACATTTATAAATCAGATGATCAACTCAACAAAAAGTGCGAAGACCTCACCCTGAATTGTCCATACAGTGATACCAGTGAGTACAGGAGAATGACAACCAGTGGTCCCCAGAAGTCGGGGCTTTCTCTCACTATGTGTCGGTTAAACCCAAGCTGAGGCAGAGGAAACAGCACACACCGCAGTTTATAATATATGTCTTTCAGATCAATGTCAAGAGCCTCTCTATCAAAAAAAATATTAATTTTATTTACATATGATATATACATCCTCTATAGAACACGACTGTAGTTGATATCTGTCACATATAACAGCTTTAATTTCTTGTCTTGTTACCCAGAATGTTATTATGTAGGCCAGCATTACATACTACTGTACAAGTTGATACAATGTGCATATGGTTTTCTGGTTTTACATTCTAAACGCATTGATAAACAATGAAAAAACATGCATCAACATTTATTGGTGACATTTTGATACAAGTTGATATATATTTTTATCATGACAGTGTTAGGTTTCTAAATCAAGACATGAATATCTGCATCTAAGACCTAAGTTATGAGCTATACATGTTCACAGCTTCATGGCAGAGGCAGTCCCATGACTTACAACAATGGCTGTTTATCCTCTTCATCAAGATCCTCCTCTTCAAGTAGCCAGGAAAATCCTTTTTTGTCCAAAAACTGTGATGCAACTCCTCGAGGCCGCACTCCATAGGCAGAATCTGATGGTGTTAACTCTGCAGCAACATCCATAGTACCCTCAACTCTGTTAGCCCCTAAAGTGAGTAACACATATTTCATTAGCATTTAAAATAAAGTAAACAAAAATGTGTCAGGAATATCTATTCTGACACAACTATGCAAGGATCATTTAGCTGTAGATGTTCCTATAGTATTGACCTATTCTCTCAAATAAATCACAGGAAGAGCAAACTTTAGCATCGTTTTTTGCTGTAAATAATCTTCACAGTGTGCTATTTTCGGAATACAGACGTTTTGGTACTTTATCATTTTGGTAACAAGATGTTTCATTACTTATAAATAGAAGACGTGTTGGTACTTCTCAAAGTTCGTTTCCATATATTAAACTTTATTTTCATTACATATATTAAACATTATTTTCAGTACTTAAACTAATGATTCAACTTTGTACTTTGTTTGCTTTTTGTGTCCTGTGTGTTGCTGATTTTATTTTTCAAAATTCTTTAATATTTTCCATCTTTACAAAAATAACCTAAACATCCTTTTCTAAGACTTAGTTACAATGTACCTAAACGTCTAGGATTCTTATATTTTTCATGTTTGACATGAAAGTCCCATCATGCAGTTATTAACATTAATGTAGAGTTTATGTCAGTTTGCATACACTTGTATGTCACATGATGCTCATTGATGGCAACATTAAGCTTTTCTCAGTTTTTCTTTAACACAATAACAGTAATGGTAGAATCTGTTCATGGAAATCTGGATCTTGTCTCAGGTGCTGGATACACAAATGCAGATATATAACAACATCAATGTCATCATGTATGGTCTGAGGCCAAAACAATTACCTGTGTTTCCAATATCATCATCAGAAAAAATAGGGTTGGTAATTTAACAGGAAAGAGTGTGCTTCCACAAGGGATCGGACCTGTTTTAAGAGTATTTTATTTAACAATCCAACATACAAACAATTCAAGAAAACGGGAAAACCAGGTGTTGGTTACTGATCGGGCTAACGGATATCCGTGCTAGTTACCAGGGCCCACTTGTATAAAACATCTCAACTCTTGAAATTTCCTCAAGTCTAAGATTTCCGATAGACAATACATTGATGGAGATTTTCCTTAACTTTGAGATGTTTTATACCCATGGTACAGTAGTGCAAAATTTGAACAAATCTCAAAACTATTAGTTATGTCATGGTTTACCAAGATGTGGCGATTGTTGTACAAATTGAAACTCGTCACTTGAAGGAGTGTACACAGCAGGTTCATTTGACTTATAATCACTTGATTCAAGTGGCTGCGACTTGAAGTCACCCATCGTTAAAGAATAATCATTTGATGATGTGGATCTCGATGTGTCCATGGACGCCATTTTGGCTAAAACTAAATTTAGAGCGATACTTTCGTACAAAAATGTGACACTTTACCCCGAAAGTTATTTTAAAAGAATGTATAGAGTGTATTATTCTTAAAATTAACTATTACATTAAATTAATCAGAAAACCTTAATTTATACCGTATATGTATGAAGTATTGCTCCACAAAATATATTCGGAACCGACACGAAGACAAGTTAACGTTACTGTACTGTAGAGAGATACATGTAACTTAGACCAGTATACTGGCAGTAGGTTACGGAAGAGAACGTTTTTTTGTTTCAATAAAAAATTAAATAGACAATAAAATGTAATTCTATGAAAAGCACCAACAAAACCCCAACAAATCTTGATTACAAAATGGTACAAAAGTGGACGCTAAATCAGACAGCTGGCAACAATTTAAGTCCGATGCCCAGCCGAAACCCCTTAGGCTAAGCCTATAGTCCGGTATTTTTGTTTAGTAAGTCACTTAGATACCAACACTAGTCCAGTCTGTCTCACTGTCAGTACGTCACTTAGTCCAGTCGGTCTGTCAGTCAAGTCACTTAGACACAAACACTAGTCTAGTATGCATATGTCTGTCAGTAAGTTACAGATACAAACACTAGTCCAGTTAGTCTGTCAGTAAGTCACTTAGGTAAAAACACTAGTCTAGTCTGTCAGTCAGCAAGTCACACATATAGGTACAAACACTAGTCCAGTCGGTCTGTCAGTAAGTCATTTAGGTACAAACACTAGTCTAGTCTGTCTGTCAGTAAGACACTTAGGTACAAACACTAGTCCAGGCGGTCTGTCAGTAAGTCACTTAGGTACAAGCACTAGTCTAGTCTGTCTGTCAGTAAGTCTCTTAGGTACAAACACTAGTCTAGTCTGTCAGTCAGTAAGTCACAGGTACAAACACTAGTCCAGGCGGTTTTACAGTAAGTCACAGGTCCAAACACTAGTCCAGTCGGTCTGTCAGTAAGTCGCTTAGGTACAAACACTAGTCTAGTCTGTCTGTCAGTAAGGCACTTAGGTACAAACACTAGTCCAGTCTGTCTGTCAGTAAGTCACTTAGGTACAAACACTAGTCCAGTCTGTCTGTCAGTATGTCATTTAGGTACAAACACTAGTCTAGTCTGTCTGTCAGTAAGACACTTAGGTACAAACACTAGTCCAGTCGGTCTGACAGTAAGTCACTTAGGTACAAACACTAGTATAGTCTGTCTGTCAATCAGTAAGTCACTTAGGTACAAACACTAGTCCAGGCGGTGAGTCAGTAAGTCACAGGTACAAACACTAGTCTAGTCGGTCTGTCAGTAAGTCACTTAGGTACAAGCACTAGTCTAGTCTGTCTGTCAGTAAGTCTCTTAGGTACAAACACTAGTCCAGTCTGTCTGTCAGTAAGTCATTTAGGTACAAACACTAGTCTAGTCTGTCTTTCAGTAAGTCACTTAGGTACAAACACTAGTCCAGTCTGTCTGTCAGTAAGTCATTTAGGTACAAACACTAGTCTAGTCTGTCTGTCAGTAAGTCACCTAGGTACAAACACTAGTCCAGGCGGTGTGTCAGTAAGTCACAGGTCCAAACACTAGTCCAGTCGGTCTGTCAGTAAGTCGCTTAGGTACAAACACTAGTCTAGTCTGTCAGTAAGTAAGTCACTTAGGTACAACCACTAGTCTAGTCTGTCAGTCAGTAAGTCTCTTAGGTACAAACCATAGTCTAGTATGTCTGTCAGTAAGTCACAGGTACACACACTAGTCTAGTCGGTCTGTCAGTAAGTCACTTAGGTACAAGCACTAGTCTAGTCTGTCTGTCAGTAAGTCTCTTAGGTACAAACACTAGTCTAGTCTGTCAGCCAGTAAGTCACACTTATAGGTTCAAACACCAGTCTAGTCTGTCTGTCAGTAAGTCACTTAGGAACAAACACTAGTCCAGTCTGTCTGTCAGTAAGTCACTTAGGTACAAGCACTAGTCTAGTCTGTCTGTCAGTAAGTCTCTTAGGTACAAACACTAGTCTAGTCTGTCAGTAAGTAAGTCACTTAGGTACAACCACTAGTCTAGTCTGTCAGTCAGTAAGTCTCTTAGGTACAAACCATAGTCTAGTATGTCTGTCAGTAAGTCACAGGTACAAACACTAGTCTAGTCTGTCTGTCAGTAAGTCACTTAGGTACAAACACTAGTCCAGGCGGTGTGTCAGTAAGTCACAGGTACAAACACTAGTCCAGTCGGTCTGTCAGTAAGTCACTTAGGTACAAACACTAGTCTAGTCTGTCAGTCAGTAAGTCACTTAGGTACAAACACTAGTCCAGTCGGTCTGTCAGTAAGTCACTTAGGTACAAACACTAGTCTAGTCTGTCTGTCAGTAAGTCACTTAGGTACAAACACTAGTCTAGTCTGTCAGTCAGCTAGTCACACTTATAGGTTCAAACACCAGTCCAGTCGGTCTGTCAGTAAGTCACTTAGGTACAAACACCAGTCCAGTCTGTCTGTCAGTCAGTAAGTCACTTAGGTACAATCTTTGACTTATACTTTTCCCTCTAATTTACTGTCGTGCAAAATCGATTGAAATTTACAATACTATTTACAATACTATACAATACTATTGATTTTATTCTTTCTGAACGACTTAAATAACGTGGAAAGCACTTTTTAACGAGTACAAGCGAGTCTACTATTCAAACAGTAGCTGTATCAGTCCTCTCTGAGCATTATCGTAAAACAGTAAATGTCTGTTTTCCGTTCCAAGCTGGTGACGAAAATCATCACGCTAATAGATTATATATAAAATTCATTTAACAGAAGACAAGTTTTCAAGAACGTCGATGCTTTGTGGAACCGTTATGTCCACGGGAAATCCAGGAAACCAGTCGCCGTACTCAATTACTGCGTGTGGTTTTTTTCTCTCAATTCCAGTCTTCACATCGTTAACACGTCAATTGAGTTCTCGAGAGATGCCTGAACCTAAAGGGTGACGGATGTAAAGTCATGGTAACGGGCAGATAACGCATACAGTGTGTTGTAAATTTACGTACAATTATTGTCTTTATCGACTTAAATACGTAAAAAATGGGATGACAAACAATTATTACGTGACAACTTACTAAGCTAATCCTGAGATTGGATTTCAGCATTGTTCTCATGTAGATCGTCAACAGTGACCACAACGTCACGTTAAATAACATCTGCGAAGAAAACATCAACTGTGAAAACATAACCAGTGAAAAATAATCAACAGTTAAAACAACGACAGTGTAAACAACATCAGTGCAAGGCACCAACAGTGAAAACATTATAACAGTGAAAATATAATCAACAATTAAAACAACGACAGTGTAAACATCTGTAATTACTGCATCAACAGTGAAAACGTTATAACAGTGAAAATATAATCAACAATTAAAACAACAACAGTGTAAACATCTGTAATTACTGCATCAACAGTGAAAACATTATAACAGGGAAAATATAATCAACAATTAAAGCAATGTCAGTGTAAACATCTGTAATTACTCCATCAACAGTGAAAACATTATAACAGGGAAAATATAATCAACAATTAAAGCAATGTCAGTGTAAACATCTGTAATGACTGCATCAACAGTGAAAATATTATAGCAGTGAAAATATAATCAACAATTAAAACAACGACAGTGTAAACATCTGTAATAACTGCATCAACAGTGAAAACATCATAACAGTGAAAATATAATCAACAATTAAAACAACAACAGTTTAAACATCTGTTATTACTGCATCAACAGTGAAAACATTATAACAGGGAAAATATAATCAACAATTAAAACAACGTCAGTGTAAACATCTGTAATTACTGCATCAACAGTGAAAATATTATAACAGTGAAAATATAATCAACAATTAAAACAACGTCAGTGTAAACATCTATAATTACTGCATCAACAGTGAAAACATTATAACAGTGTAAATATAATCAACAATTAAAACAACGTCAGTGTAAACATCTGTAATTACTGCATCAACATTGGTTACATTATAACATTGAAAATATAATCAACAATTAAAACAACGACAGTGTAAACATCTGTAATTACTGCATCAACAGTGAAAATATTATAACAGTGAAAATATAATCAACAATTAAAACAACGTCAGTGTAAACATCTGTAATTACTGCATCAACAGTGAAAACATTATAACTGTGAAAATATAATCAGCAATTAAAACAACGACAGTGTAAACAACTGTAATTACTGCATCAACAGTGAAAACATTATAACAGAGAAAATATAATCAACAATTAAAACAACGACGGTGTGAACAACATCTGTGAAAGGAATCAACAGTGGAAACATTATACCAGTGAAAATATAATCAACAATTAAAACAACGACAGTGCAAACAACATCTGTAATTATTGCATCAACAGTGAAAAAATATACCAGTGAAAAGTACCATGAAAACATCATGAACTGAGTGAAAAAGCGTCAAAAGTGAAAAAGATCAACAATTAAAACAACAGCAACAGTAAAAACAACAGCAACAGTAAAAACAACAGCAACAGTATATGCAGTGTAAAACATCAGCAACAGTAACAACAACAGCAACAGTATATGCAGTGTAAAACAACAGCAACAGTAAAAACATCAGCAACAGTAAAAACAACAGCAACAGTAACAACAACAGCAACAGTATATGCAGTGTAAAACATCAGCAACAGTAACAACATCAGCAACAGTAAAAACAACAGCAACAGTAAAAATAAGAACAACAGTATATGCAGTGTAAAACATCAGCAACAGTAAAAACAACAGCAACAGTAACAACAACAGCAACAGTATATGCAGTGTAAAACAACAGCAACAGTAAAAACATCAGCAACAGTAAAAACAACAGCAACAGTAACAACAACAGCAACAGTATATGCAGTGTAAAACATCAGCAACAGTAACAACATCAGCAACAGTAAAAACAACAGCAACAGTAAAAAACAACAACAACAGTATATACAGTGTAAAACATCAGCAGAGAAAACCTATAATCACTGAATACGCATCAACAGTGACAACAGTATCAGCGGTGAAAAATATCCATATTTAATCAAAGTTCAACGTTAAGTGGATATAAGTACAGCCTTAACTCCCCACTTCTACTTTACACAGTGTCTATATGTAGCAGTTAGATTCTCAGGTGAATTGTTGGGCACAGTTCGGGAGACATATCGATGACACTCGATGGTAATCCAGCGTCTGTCCCATGCCGTCTGCTACTCGTCATTCCGATTGACGTCATCTGATCTGACGGTAAGTACTGTAATGGCGTACTTTACACGGGAAACGTGAATAGACCAAACGATCAATTAAACGGCCACTAATGGGCGCCACACCCGTATCAAACCATCCAGTTAGGTGATGATATAACGGATATTTCGGAAGATCACGATAGTAACCACGTAGTAATTTGGCGAGAGATGATAAGATAGGATGTTGGATGCTTTGTTCAAAATAAGAGATTCAATAATGATATAAAACGGGACAGCAAACCCTTGCGGTGAGTATGCCTAGATCTTCGCTGTAAACGTTTGGCGTGCTGAGCTCGACCTATCTACATCCTTCCCTCGTGTTTCTATGTAACATATAATGATTATAAAAGCCGACATACACGTCAACAATCGTTAAAGATATTCTGAAATTATTATGTGGTAATGACAAACATACGAATAATAAGGTTGCTTCAATCACATTTCACGCTTTTGTTTGTTGCTTTTCCAATCCATACAAGATTTCAATTAGACGTATTTAAAAAAAAACGAGCTTAAATCAGAAATGCTTGAAAATGAAAGAATTTGTAATTCACTAGAGTCCATAAATAGATGAACAAGAGCACTCCAAGCGGAAGCATGATACGCCCGTCAGACCCTCGGAAGGGCATTGCTATATTAGAAGCAAGTAGTGACATGTGATGTAAATGTTTTTACTGCAACCGTTTTGTTGGTAACTGTGACCTTGCCATTATTGACTATGTTTATGGCGCTAGCTATTTTATTTTTCAGAATAACACTTTCGTGGTCAATGTTGCTATTACTAAAACTAGAACAATGGTTTTGAGGAAGGAGTCTTAAATAAATAATTAAAAGGTTGATGCCCTTATTTGGCAATGAAAAAGGGGCATAACTCTGCCGAATAGCGTTTAAATGTCACGAATTAAGAACTATTCAAAGTATTCAGGTAATGAAAAAACCAAGTAGTTTAACTAAAATCGGGGAACACTTGTTAAGTTTAAGTCGACAGATAATGTCCTTATTTATGCAATGAAAGAAGCATAGCCCCGCAATGAAAAAGTGACAAAACTCTGCCGAATAGCAGTTAAATATCCTATCCGATGCATTCAGGTAATGAAACATCCCACCAAGTTTGACAAAAATTGAGAACAATTGTTTGAGTTATCGCGTAAACAAGCAAAAATTAACGGCAAAAATGATGAACAGCTTTGCTATGTCAAGTGTGATATGCCAAAATGCGGAAGGTTGAAAGTCATCAGAAAAAACGTGTAATATATGTCGAAAGTTAATGCTTCTAGCATTAACGTACAACATTTGAAAGGAATTTATTTAAAATAAAAATGTTTACTACACAATGCCCTTATTTGGCAACAAAAACTTGTTGGAGCTATATTGGTATGCAATATGTAAACTAGGTTTCATTAAGTTATGTTCGTAAATGAAGGCAGGGGAGCGATGACAAGGAAAAGTTAACGGACGGACGGACATCGGACATCGGACATCAGACAAGGCAGCCCATACCATAATACGACTCGTCGGACGACGGGCGTATACAAAACTTGTTAACTTACAAACTCCAAAAGGATCAGAAATCGATAACTGACGGCTAACACAAACACCACATCACCTACCGCTGTAAGATAAACACATTACCATAATTGTGAGTCGTTTTATGTGCAAAATACATGCAACCCTGTCCTTACCTTTGTCAATACGTTGAACAGTCGGGATAATTGTAACTAGCCCAGTTTTGAACGGTTGTTGTTTTATTGAAGGTACTTTACTTTAAGTATATTTTTTTTTTTATATAGGACAGCATTATTGGCGTGAAGGTTTCATGTCGCTCCAGGATACCCAAAGTGACTTGGCACAACAATCGCCCGGTTAATTTCAACACTGACAAACGCAGAACACTTCGTATCACCGTCCCATAATTCAAGTAGTGATACCTCAATCTGCATTCAAATAATAGTTTTTACTTTACAGACAGGATGACAAATGACTCTGCAGGAATAGCCGGAAGTACGTTACTGTGGTTTGCCAACGAGAGAGAGGTAGAAATTTACTTGCCCGCGATGCTTTTTGCTGGCTCCATGATGGTGCTCGGACTGGTAGGCAATGGGTTTGTGTTCTATGCTTACGGCTATCGGTTCAAGAAGACGTGTGCTAATGTATACATATACTGGTTGTCTGTGTTTGACCTCGTGTGCTGTGTGGTCAGCATTCCTTTTGAGATATTTCAGATCCGTTTTCCTCTGATGTATGGAGACGTCATCCCGTGTAAACTCATCCGGACGGTAGCCATGGTGGCGTATGTGTCGGAAGGTCTTCTGTTGTTATGTATATCCCTGGATCGGTACTACAAGATATGTCACCCAATGAGGACCTTTCTGATTCATTCTCCACACAGGAATATCTTCTACACCTTCATTCTGGCGCTCTGTATTTCTTGGCCGACCGCCTTTGTCTATGGAACCATGACAATCAAGATGGCGGCGCCGGGGATCGTAGCAACAACATGTTCCATTGATGATTCGCTTGGCGAATTGTTCCCTGGATTGTACTATGGTTTCCTCCTCTTTATCGTCGTCGGGGGATTCTTTCTGCTCCTGTTCGTCTATATACGCATTGTACGGGTCGTCTACCACTGGTCTAGACACAATCTGGGGGAGTCTACAAGAGTTCTTGCGAAGGATAGAGTGAATGCACACAGCAATTCGTCTAAAATAAACAGAAACCAGAATACTGGCGAGGTGTTTATGACTGTGAGATCAATCAATTGTTCAGAACGACACTCACAACAAATGGCAAACTTTGTGGAAACCAATAGTCCGAAACGCTTAATAAATGTGGATCATGATCAAACCATAGAAGAACACGGAACTACCAGTAACAATTTGACCGAGTGTGAATCCTCGACGTCACCGGAAGAAATGTCAGGAGGGAACAATGAGCAGCCAAAGCAGCTAGATTTAAAAAGGCACGCAAATATCTCAAAAACTACCTTTATATTCATAGTAGTAACTGCTAGTTTCGTATTCAGTTATGTCCCTTATCTCGCCACCGAGATTATCCTCAAGTGTAACATAGTGGACTTCCGGAAGCAGAGCATCCGCGTTCAGCAGTTGATAGAGGTTGCCGTGAAGACTTATTGCATAAACAACGCTTCCAATCCTATCATATACAGCATCTTTAACCGAGACTTCCGAAAGGAATGTTGTCGTCTCTTCTGCCGCCAAAGGGGACCAGTTCGCTATATGTTGTCGGTGCAAAGGCGACCTGTGTGCAACACCGGAAGTGTGCCAATAGCAAGTGATAGTTAGGACGCGAAGCTTTGATAAAACAATGCGATAAGAGCTGTCTAAAAAGTATTTACATATATAAATCGCTTCCGTTTTGTTGGAGGACATAATGATCTGACTTTGTGGCTGGGAACGAAGCAGATTATGTTTTGCATATACAACTAGTTACCATAGTTGAAAACTTGTAAGTTCGGTTAACATTCGTTCCATCTACTATTGTCACAGAATGTACTTGTTTAAAATCGAACACTTAACAGCCAATCACAATACTTACTGTTGTTTCTGACCCTATTATACGTCCCCTCCATCATTTTGGTCAGTTTCTCGTTGATTGTGACGGGTGCTTATGATGGTGCCACCCTTTTTAAGCTTTTGGTAAGACATTTGTCAGAATAACAAGAACCGTGATGTGTGGTGCTCCAGTTACGACATTTCAGAGTACTGTATTGTAATTGTTTGTAGTCCGTGGGTGGCGACATGTATTATGGTGACTACGAATGCGTATGCATTATGGTGACTTTGACCCAATATGTTCTGTTCGTCACTTCCGTCCACGGTATAGTGAGTTCGGCATTTTTTGACCCAATGTTCTGTTTGTAAAGTCCTTCCACGGTATTATGTTACGTTTGTGACGTACTTCCACGGTATAATGTTCCGTTTGTGACGTCCTTCCACGGTATAATGATCTGTTTGTGACGTCCTTCCACGGTATAATGTTCTGTTTGTGCGGTCCTTCCACGGTATAATGTTCCGTTTGTGACGTCCTTCCACGGAATAATGTTCTGTTTGTGACGTACTTCCACGGTAGAATGTTCTGTTTGTGACGTACTTCCACGGTAGAATGTTCTGTTTGTGACGTACTTCCACGGTATAATGTTCCGTCTGTGACGTCCTTCCACGGTAAAATGTTCCATTTGTGACGTCCGTCCACGGTATAATGTTCCGATTGTGACGTCCTTCCACGGTTTAATGTTCCGTTTGTGACCTTCTTCCACGGTATAATGTTACGTTTGTGACGTCCTTTCTCGGTATAATGTTCCGTTTGTAACGTCCTTCCACGGAATAATGGTCTGTTTGTGACGTCCTTCAAAGGTATAATGTTCCGTTTGTTACCTCCTTCCCCGGTTTAATGATTGTTCGTCACTTTCGTCCACGGTATAGTGAGTTCGGCATTTTTTTACCCAATGTTCTGTTTGTAACCTCCTTCCACGTTATAATTTTCTGTTTGTAACGTCCTTCCACGGTATAAAGAGTTCGGCATTTTTTAACCCAATGTTCCGTTTGTGACGTCGTTCCACGGTATAATGAGTTCTGCATTTTTTAACTCAATGTTCCGTTTGTGACGTCGTTCCACGGTATAATGAGTTCTGCATTTTTTAACTCAATGTTCCGTTTGTGACGTCCATCCGCGGTATAATGAGTTCGGCATTTGGTATAATGTTCTGTTTGTGCCGTCCTTCCACGGTATAATTTTCTGTTTGTGACGTCCTTCCAGGGTATACTGTTCCATTTGTGACGTCCGTCCACGGAATAATGTTCCGTTTGTGACCTTCTTCCACGGTATAATGTTCGGTTTGTGACGTCCTTCCACCGTATAATGTTCCGTTTGTGCGGTCCTTCCACGGTATAATGGTATAATGATGTGTTTGTGACGTTCTTCCACGGTATAATGTTACGTTTGTGACGTCCTTTCTCGGTATAATGTTCCGTTTGTCACGTCCTTCCACGGTATAATGTACCGTTTGTGCCGTCCTTCCACGTTATAATGTTCCGTTTGTGAGGTCCTTCCACGGTATAATGAGTTCGGCCTTTTTTAACCCAATGTTCCGTTTGTGACGTTCTTCCACGGTATAATGTTCGGTTTGTGACGTCCTTCCACTTCCGTTTGTGACGTCCTTGAAAGGTATAATGTTCCGTTTGTCACGTCCTTCCACGGTATAAGGGTCTGTTTGTGACGTCCTTCTGCGGTATAATGATCTGTTTATGACGTCCTTCCACGGTATTATGTTCCGTTTGTGACGTCTTTCCACGGTATAATGATCTGCTTGTGACGTCCTTCCACGGAATAATGGTCTGTTTGTGACGTCCTCCCACGGTATAATGTTCTGTCTGTATGGTAATAGTTTGTAGTCCGTGGGTGGCGACATGTATTATGGTGACTATGAATGCGTATGCATTACGGTGACTTTGACCCAATATGTTCTGTTCGTCACTTCCGTCCACGGAATAGTGAGTTCGGCATTTTTTGACCTAATGTTCTGTTTGTAACGTCCTTCCACGGTATATTGTTCCGTTTGTGCCCTCCCTCCACGGTATAATGTACCGTTTGTGCCGTCCTTCCACGTTATAATGTTCTTTTTGTGCGGTCCTTCCACGTTATAATGTTCCGTTTGTGCCGTCCTTCCACGTTATAATGTTCTTTTTGTGCGGTCCTTCCACGGTATAATGGTATAATGATGTGTTTGTGACGTTCTTCCACGGTATAATGTTCTTTTTGTGCGGTCCTTCCACGGTATAATGATATGTTTGTGACCTCCTTCCACGGTTTAATGAGTTCGGCATTTTTCGACCCAATGTTCCGTTTGTGACGTTCTTCCACGGTATAATGTTACGTTTGTGACGTCCTTCCAGGGTATACTGTTCCATTTGTGACGTCCGTCCACGGTATAATGTTCCGGTTGTGACGTCCTTCCACGGAATAATGTTCCGTTTGTGACCTTCTTCCACGGTATAATGTTACGTTTGTGACGTCCTTTCTCGGTATAATGTTCCGTTTGTTACCTCCTTCCACGGTTTAATGAGTTCGGCATTTTTTAATCCAATGTTCCGTTTGTGACGTCCATCCGCGGTATAATGAGTTCGGCAGTTTTCGACCCAATGTTCCGTTTGTGACGTTCTTCCACGGTATAATGTTCTGGTTGTGACGTCCTTCCACGGAATAATGTTCCGTTTTCGACGTCCTTCCACGGAATAATGTTCTGTTTGTGACTTCCTTCCACGGTATAATGAGTTCTGCATTTTTTAACTCAATGTTCCGTTTGTGACGTCCTTCCGCGGTATAATGTTCTGTTTGGGACGTCCTTCCACGGTATAATGGTCAGTCTGTGACGTCCTTCCATGGTTTAATGTTTCGTTTGTGACGTCCTTCCAGGGTATACTGTTCCATTTGTGACGTCCATCCACGGTATAATGATCTGGTTATGACGTCCTTCCACGGTATAAAGAGTTCGGCATTTTTTAACCCAATGTTCCGTTTGTGACGTTCTTCCACGGTATAATGTTCAGTTTGTGACGTCCTTCCATGGGTATAGTGAGTTCGGCATTTTTTGACCCAATGTTCCGTTTGTGACGTTCTTCCACGGTATAATGTTACGTTTGTGACGTCCTTTCTCGGTATAATGTTCCGTTTGTTACCTCCTTCCCCGGTTTAATGATTGTTCGTCACTTTCGTCCACGGTATAGTGAGTTCGGCATTTTTTGACCCAATGTTCTGTTTGTTACGTCCTTCCACGGTATAAAGAGTTCGGCATTTTTTAACCCAATGTTCCGTTTGTGACGTCTTTCCACGGTATAATGAGATCGGCATTTTTTAACCCAATGTTCCGTCTGTGACGTCCTTCCACGGTTTAATGTTCTGTTTGTGACTTCCTTCCACGGCATAATGTTCCGTTTGTGACTTCCTTCCACGGTATAATGGTCCATTTGTGACGTCCGTCCACGGTATAATGTTCCGTCTGTGACGTCCTTCCACGGTATAATGTTCTGTTTGTGACGTCCTTCCACGGTATAATGGTCTGTTTGTGACGTCCTTCCATGGTTTAATGTTCCGTTTGTGACCTCCTTCCACGGTATAATGTTCCGTTTGTGACCTCCCTCCACGGTATAATGTTCCGTTTGTGACGTCCTTCCACGGTATAATGTTCCGTTTGTGACGTCCTTCCACGGTATAATGATCTGTTTGTGACGTCCTTCCACGGTATAATGTTCTGTTTGTGACGTCCTTCCACGGTTTAATGAGTTCGGCATTTTTGACCAAATGTTCTGTTATAAATATAAAAAAATTATTTATTTAACAACAATTATGAAACATGTTATTTCAACTTATATAAATCACTCTTGTTGGCTTGGATGTTAGCGCGCGAAGGGTTTATATGTGGAAGGAAACCGGAGTACCCGGAGAAAACCCACGTGTTCGGGCAGGTGACCATACCATTTCACGTCCGATCGGGGAATCGAACCCCGGCTATCCACTGCATCACCCGCCACCAGTTCTGTTTTTGACGACCTTCCACTGTATATTGATTTCGGATTTTTTTTACCCAACGATCTGTTTGTGACGCCCTTCTACATTTTAACAAGTTTTGGTATTTTGGGGCTTAATGTTTTCTCTGTTACCTCCCTCTTTCAATTGATCATGACTTCGGCAATTTTAAACCAAATGTTTGGCGAAGACGCCCTTCCTTAGTATATCAATATTCGGCTTTTTTTCTGGTCCAATACGTCTTTCTAATGAGTTCGGCCATTTTAATACACAATGTTCTGTGTATGATGTCCTTCCACCGTATGACGAGTTCCGATTTTGTGTGCCCATGCAATCTTCTGTGTACACGTGACGTCCTTCCACGGTAAAATGATATAGGACTCTGCATCGCCTGTGTACGTGCCATTGGTTGGAATATTAACTTTCTAAATCAGCTTTCCAATTAGTCGCTGGTGTACTCGATATATGTAGTGTATAGTATACAACCCGACAGTCTGCCTTAGCTTAGAGTGGTGCTGGTGAAAAACTTATGATGTCCCAGAGGCAGGGATTGTCCGTGAAATAACATGAAAACACAAGAAAAAAATGTGTAGGAAAAGATCTTATAAAACGTGTCATCAGCTTTTTATTAGCGAGTCCAGAACATTTTATGGTAAAACATGTTTTGTTTGGTTCCTTTTTATGTAAATGACTTTCAGGGGCGTGGTTCAGATCTCCCTCCCACATGTACAGTCTGTATACTGTAGAACACGAAATGTTTGTTGTTTCTTTCCTTCGTGGTTTGAAGCCATTCGTGGATATTTTATATGAACAAACAGTAGTCACGTGTATCATTCAAATTTGTTCTATTTATTTTCATGGTTCAATAGCAACCACGAAAACCACGAATGTTTATACAAAACGAACAGTTCATGTTATACAATATATATAACATGTATACATGTACATAATACATATGGGGCAAAGAAGTAATTCCAACAGTGTGGACAAGTTTAGGTTGTCAAATTTTCGGAGCGATCCGCTCCTTTTTCAAGACGCAGTGAAACAGAACAGTTACGTATATACATGTGCATATATACGGTGCTTAATTGGGGTGGGGTGGGGTGGGGGATAAACGTGGCTCTGGATCTGGTCTGGATGTAACACAGACTTAGAATAAAATAATTCCGCGGTGCTATTTTTTTTGTAAAATGTGTCCAGCTGAAATCATAATGATCTCATCCTAGATTGAAATTTGGAGTCCGACATCCAAGAGATCAAATTACCAAGACTACTTTTCCCTTTATTTTTCTGTTGACTGTTAAAGAATCTAGAGATGTAGGCAACATTACTAAAAAAAGATTGACGAGGAAAACATATTTTATGTTTATTATGTTTAACACGGAATTAGATCCAAGTCCGTACGTGGTTTAATAAAATATATCATATAAGAAAATCATTCGTGTTTTGAACAAAATATCGATTATAGAACAAATCTATGTAGAACAATATAATGTATAGAACAAAAAATAGAATGAAGAACAAAGTAGCTGATATCTAACGTAGGATATTAGTAAATTTTACACCGGATATATTCTATACGTTGAACAAAGTACATCTGCATGATTGAAACAGAATATCTGATTTCACAATAAGGAAACTAGGAATGAATAAAGTGTATGGGTCGTGGAGGCGAGTTTTCCCTCCTTGTTCAATATTTAATATGACAATAAATCGAGGGAATAAAAAGCTACCACACGATGACACGACCGCGGCTTTTTGTCAACATGACCACGTGACCATCTCCTAGGTGCCCTCATTTGCATAAAGTTGTTTAGACATGGCGGACGGTGTCGCAGTATACGGTTGAAAGCATATCGAGTTGGTGACATTACCGGTGAAAAGTGCTGGACAAACATGGCTGATACGGGAGGATACAACTTGGATCTTGACAACCAGAAACGCAATGTGTTCGTCACGCAACTCAACGAAAGGTAAGGTTCCGTGAGGACGCTGTGAATACCACGCAATGATAACAGGTGTTTGAATTATAGATGTAGTCAATTACAGGTGTGCATGATAATGGTGTTCGTCACGCACGGGGAGATTCTACCGCTAGATTTCCGTAAACCGTGGCAAGACTGGAATGAAGAGTACATATTTGGTTGATACATTACAGTTTTGACAATTGGTAATAGGTAATCAAAGTGCATTTTAATCAAGAATTAACACCCACCAGCTCTTACTGTTGACAGACCAAAGCAATATAGTTATTTATTCATTTGTATTGATTAGATGTTAACATGCAACATATGTTCCATTCCTCTGTTTAATAAACTCTCTATTACCCGGTAAGATTTATTTAAAATCTTTGGTGTATATGATTAATTACGTACTGTAATCAACCGCATGTACAGTATAACCCCATTATACTGCCACCTTCCGTCAATTGACATATTGGCAGTAATACAAATTTGGCAGTACAACGAGTTCCCACGTTAATTGACAAGTGATCTATGTATCCATGTACATTTACATATGTTTGTTCAGGCGCACATATATGCCACATCTAAACAATGAAAATTCCAACATACATATGCAATTATTATTGTACATAAACATTTTGATACAATAAATAGTTTGCAAATTTAAATTAGCAATAGTAACTGTACGATCATTATGTTGCATGCGAGTAATAAACGTTTGTTGTACTGTAGAGTAGGCCTACCGTTCCGACCAGATTGTCAGTTTCAAGTGCCTTACATATTCACTTACCAAAAAAGTCATCAAGGTTTGTCTGCTTTGCGGTATTATTGACGATATTTATAATTGTCTGTTGCAAGTACAAGCATTTTGGGATGTCAGATTCTGAACTGAAGTTTGAATGTTCAAGAAATTTGATCACAGTCTCGATACCTTGCTTCATCACCAAATCGTTTCAATTTTGTATGTACCTACATAATAAGGTAATTTGATAGTACCGAGATTGGATACATTTAACAGTAGTAACTAGTGATGTCAAAGTTTTTGGGATAAGATGAAAAAAATGAATATAAAAAACACTGCCACAGGTTAAAACAACTTCTTAAATATCTATGGCCATTAATTAGTCCATAATGTGTATTTGTCCCCAGATAAACGATTACCTGTCATCAGCCTCATCAGCGAAATCATCATTACTGCTTCTGTACAGGCACAATTACATTTATTTGATAAATTACTGATTTTCAAGACATGTTCTATTGATTTTGCTTATAATTTTGTCATCATTTTAAAATGCTATTTTGTATTTCCCGATTTTTATTTTATTTTTAAATTCTAGCAGTTAATTATTTGTTGTTCTCATGGAATTAATACTTTTTGTGACTTTGATAAAGAGTTATATTATCCTATAAATCCCCATCACTTTGCAGTTCAGACTGTAGATATATACTGTACACTGGGAATGTTGATCCAGTTGAACTGTTGCCCTCCACGGGTAAAATCCTCATCCTCCAAGATTTAATTTTGCCCTTAACGTGTTGTTCTATTAAATTTTTAAACACTGTATGGAATTAGATATATCAGCATTTTTCTTTGATCAAATACATTTTCTGTACAGAATTAGATATATCAGCATTTTTCATGATCAAATAAATTTTCTGTACAGAATTAGATATATCAGCATTTTTCTTTGATCAAATAAATTTTCTGTACAGAATTAGATATATCAGCATCTTTCGTTGATAATTTTTCTTAGGTTGGTAAGTTTGAACTGTAGAAAAGTTATATATAACAAGTAGGAAGTGTTGATGACTAGTAGGGTACATACTTACATACCTGGTCACCTTCATCAGACAAATCAACAGTGAATTTGTTTTCTTCTTTGGTTTCCTTACCTTTTCCGTGTTCACTAAGTTGGACCCTAAATCGCCTACCAGTTTCTCCGATATAGGGGCATCACAGGTCCTGCATCCAATTTTTTACACACATTCTGCTACAATTTCTTTTGGTGTTCTATCCTTAGAGTGTACAGGGATATTTTGAAGAGTCTTGACAGGCTTCATGGCGACTGGAATTCGCATAGCAGCCAGATGACATGAGCCCATTTTAATATTAATGTTATCCAAATGAAAGAAGGGTACAAGAAAAAAGGTTTGATCACAAAGATGAATCAAAGGAAATTAATGTTTTATTTATATTGCAGAGATGATGAGGATGAGATCACAGCGTTCCCCGTCGTCAAGGAGTCTGGTGACAAACTCATTGAGACGGGGATCAACACACTCCAGAAAACTCTGCTACTCAAGAAACAGGTGGAGGTAGAGGCAGTGGACATGGAGCTGTACGCCAAGCGCCAAGAGTTCAAACACAAAATGGAGCAGTGTGCCCAGCGTCAGATAGACATTCAGAAGCGGCAGCAACAGGTATTGGAGTTTGCACCGTGTACTTGTATAGGAGTCCCTGTAGTTTTACCCCTGTGTCAGTACTTTTAAGTATAGGGGGAGATCCCTGTCTATGACCGATTGACCATTGACGTAAAATGGTAAAAATATATATATGTATATGTAGTTTAAAATGAGTTTCCCACAGCTATTTATCAAAATTATCTCTTGGCTGCAATTGATATGTATTCTTTAACAATATCGGAACGAGAGAATTCTTTGAACTATTTACTTTCGTTGTAGTACAAAACGATCTATTGTCCTATGTAGCACTACTACATTATTAATCAGCACACAAAGTATATTTAATTAAATTATATTTTCCTTCATGATGACACTTCCACTCCGGTACTTTGTGGACATCAAGTTCCTGTAGATTCTATTTCTGACTTGTAAACAATTTTAGAGAGTGTATCGCCCAAATTAATGTAATTAATGTACTACCGTACCAGGTAATAATAAAATAAGACATTCTATTATGTATCTAATTAGGAGGCAATTTTGTGTTAGCTTGCTATGTGAAACAGTGGACCAGCTGGTATACATCAGTTTACTACAATACATTTGATTATTAAGATACCGTGTGACAGTCATGTTCAATGCTTAACACATTAATTACACCATTGTGTTTGGCAGATTCCCAAAGTAAACTGACAGAGAATCAAACACATGCATGTTGATAGCAGGTTTAGATAATGTTGGTTATGTGTTGTGCTGTAGTTCTGTAAGGTTTCATTAAAGGTATTATGCCACTTGAACAACCTGAAGATTTGGCAGCAATTAGTTTTGAGTGCATTTTTACTGTGCATATGAATTTACTTAAGTGCAGTTTAATTTTATTTCAGTATTTGTATGTTTCCATATTTTTTTTTTTTAAAAATCATATGAACTTTTAAATGCAATGTTAAAATGAGAGAACTTGTCTGTTAAATATTTTCAAAAGACTAGACATATTTAAATGAAAATTGCACAACGGCAATAGGGTTTAGACTTGAGAATCAAATGTTGTGTAAAGGAAGAATGAAGTCCCCAGGAGGCAGGGCATAAAATGGGGTAATTTGGGATTTCGAGTATTTCTAACCCTACTCCTCCTAAATATTTGATCATATTTCAACCAAATTTACTTTAAGGCATTCTTAGGACCGGGGAAACAAATGTTGCACAAAGGAAGGGTAATGCTCCACCGAATTAGTGAGAGACAGATTAAATTTCCTAGTCAGAGATACTGGCCCTCTGGGTCTCCATCTGTTGTATTACATTGTAGTCAGGTTCTGCTGTATTATATTGTGTCCTGTGCTGTTGTATAACATTGTATCCTGTGCTGTTGTATTACATTGTATCCTGTGCTGTTATATTACATTGTATCCTATGCTGTTATATTACATTATATCCTATGCTGTTATATTACATTGTGTCCTGTGCTGTTGTATTACATTGTATCCTGTGCTGTTGTATTACATTGTATCCTGTGCTGTTATATTACATTGTATTCTATGCTGTTATATTACATTGTATCCTATGCTGTTATATTACATTGTATCCTATGCTGCTGTATCACATTGTATTCTGTGCTGTTGTGTTAAATCATAGCCAGGTTATGTATTGCATTGTAACCTGGATCCGTTGTTTTACATTATAGCCTGGTTCTGTTGTATAACATTGAAACCATGATGTGTTGTATTACATTATAGCCTGGTTCTGTTGTATTGCATTTTGTATCCTGGATCTGTTGCATTACATTGTAGTCAGGATCTGTTTTATTACAATGTAGCCTTGATCTGTTGCATTACATTGTAGTCAGAATCTGTTGTATTACAATGTAGCCTTGATCTGTTGTATTACATTGTAATTAGGATCTGTTGTATAACATTGTAGTCAAAATCTGTTGTATTACATCGTAGCCTGGTCCTGTATAACATTGTAGCCAGGATCTATTGTAGTACATTGTAGCCTGATTCTGTTGTATTACATTGTAGCCTGGTTATGTTTTATTGTATTGTAGTCAGGATCTGTTGTATTATATTGTAGCTTGGTTATGTTTTATTGTATTGTAGTCAGGATCTGTTGTATTACATTGTAGCCTGGTTATGTTGTATTGTATTGTAGTCAGGATCTGTTGTATTATACTGTAGCCTACTTCTGTTGTATTACATTGTAGCCTGGTTCTGTTGTATTGTAGTCAGGATCTGTGGTATTTTACTGTAGCCTGCTTCTGTTGTATTACATTGTAGCCTGGTTCTGTTGTTTTACATTGTAGCCTGGATCTGTTGTATTACATTATGTGTTGAAATGGTTATCAGGTCTCCCAATGTTACATGTTGTAAAACGTTTTTACTTTTTTAATGTTGATGTTACTTTTTTTTCAGATGAAAGATGAGTTTACCAATTGTGAGAAATACATTAAAGACTATGAAGCAAAGCGGAGGAGAGCCATTCAGAAGTATCAGACAGAGCTGAAACTCAAGGAACAGAAAACCAAGGAGCATGAAATGCTATTACAACAAATGGAAGATTTAAAGAATAGGTATCTCAAACCCTTTTATAAGTTAACGTTTCTTTTTTATGTTTTGTCATTTATTTGATGCATTTGAGATAAGAGGAAATTAAGAATTAATATAACATTGTAATGTTGGAAAATATTAATTTTTGTAGGAGAATGTCAGGATTTTTTGTTACAGGATAATAAAGATTGTGTTAGCTTAGGATATCTTACACATAATATAAAGATATTCTATGATTTTGTTCAACTACATGTATTGGATTGAATATCATTCAAATCATCCTCTTTGTCATTTAATTTTTTTTTAATTTAGATTTTTCAGGATTGAACATTTACTTTCTGTAACAGAATGCAATTGTTCGTTACATCATTGAATATTATTTTTTAAAGATCATTGTCATACTTTTTCCTTTTAATGATCTTGAGAGTGAAGTAAATTCTATGACACTGGTAGATATTAATGTTTTGGTATTTTTGTTTCAGACAAAAGCATTTCGAGCGATCTGTGACGAGATACAAGAAATTTTCAGATTTTTTGATGAGAGTTATAGACATAATGCCAGAAGGTAAGCATACTCTGTATCATACAGATAGTCCCGGTTAATCTATTAAACTTGAACATGTTTGACTACTGTTGCGTTTTGAAAGGATGTCCATCAAATATATTGAATAAAAGGATATTTTCGCCGCAGTTTAACTTTTGCTTTTTTCCGTCTCCCCAATGAGGTCAAACTTATCACGATAGTGAATATTAGATCACAACATAAAATATGTAGAACATTGTAAATATATGTGAAGGGTGAATCTAGCACTAGGCAAACATAGATTTTACTGACCAGTATTTGACGGGGGAATCTTACCCGCTGTACGATATTTAGAAAAGAAGTTCGGTCTCCTGTTAATTCAGCAGGTGTAGAAGCTGAATCTAAGTAAAACCAAAAGGTGTCATGTGTTATTTGACCTTTTATTTTTGAAGATTACATTCCTACCACTGACGACAAGGTGAAAGGCCTGATGATGAGACATCGGACATTAAGCGAGTCCAGCAATGCTCTCATCGATAAACTTGAGTCTACTGGTGATGAGGTAGGTCATCATGCTGTCCTGAGTGTAAAACTTTTATGGATAGGCTGAAATATGCTAGGTCACCATGTATACATGTTGGCCTGAGTGTAAAGCTTTCATAGATAGGCTAAAGTATACTAGGTCACCATGGATACATGTTGTTCTGAGTGTAAAGCTTTTATGGATAGGCTGAAATATGCTAGGTCACCATGGATACATGTTGGCCTGAATGTAAAGCTTTCATATGTAAATATGTAACCCTGGATAAATAAAAGATATTATTATTATTATTATTATTATTTCATAGATAGGCTAAAGTATACTGGTCACCATGGATACATGTTGTCCTGAGTGTAAAGCTTTCATGGATAGGCTGAAGTATGCTAGGTCACCATGGATACATGTTGTCCTGAGTGTAAAGCTTTCATAGATAGGCTGAAGTATGTAAGGTCACCATGGATACATGTTGTCCTGAGTGTAAAGCTTTCATAGATAGGCTAAAGTATGCTAGGTCACCATTGATACATGTTGTCCTCAGTGTAAAGCTTTCATGGATAGGCTGAAGTATGCTAGGTCACCATGGATACATGTTGTCCTGAGGGTAAAGCTTTCATGGATAGGCTGAAGTATGCTATGTCACCATGGATACATGTTGTCCTGAGTGTAAAGCTTTCAAAGATAGGCTAAAGTATACTGGTCACCATGGATACATGTTGTCCTGAGTGTAAAGCTTTCATAGATAGACTGAAGAATGCTACGTCGCCATGGATTCATGTTGTCCTGAGTGTAAAGCTTTCATGGATAGTCTGAAGTATGCTAGGTCACCATGGATACATGTTGTCCTCAGTGTAAAGCTTTCATGGATAGGCCGAAGTATGCTAGGTCACCATGGATACATGTTGTCCTGAGTGTAAAGATTTCATAGATAGACTGAAGTATGCTAGGTCACCATGGATAGATGTTGTACTGAGGGTAAAGCTTTCATGGATAGGCTGAAGTATGCTAGGTTACCATGGATACATGTTGTCCTGAGTGTAAAGATTTCATAGATAGACTGAAGTATGCTAGGTCACCATGGATAGATGTTGTCCTGAGGGTAAAGCTTTCATGGATAGACTGAAGTATGTTAGGTCACCATGGATACATGCTGTCCTGAGTGTAAAGCTTTCATAGATAGACTGAAGTATGCTAGGTCACCATGGATACATGTTGTCCTCAGTGTAAAGCTTTCATAGATAGGCTAAAGTATGCTAGGTCACCATCGATACATGTTGTCCTCAGTGTAAAGCTTTCATGGATAGGCCGAAGTATGCTAGGTCACCATGGATACATGTTGTCCTCAGTGTAAAGCTTTCATAGATAGGCTAAAGTATGCTAGGTCACCATCGATACATGTTGTCCTCAGTGTAAAGCTTTCATGGATAGGCTGAAGTGTGCTAGGTCACCATGGATACATGTTGTCCTGAGGGTAAAGCTTTCATGGATAGACTGAAGTATGTTAGGTCACCATGGATACGTGTTGTCCTGAGTGTAAAGCTTTCATAGATAGACTGAAGAATGCTACGTCACCATGGATTCATGTTGTCCTGAGTGTAAAGCTTTCATGGATAGACTGAAGAATGCTACGTCACCATGGATTCATGTTGTCCTGAGTGTAAAGCTTTCATGGATAGTCTGAAGTATGCTAGGTCACCATGGATACATGTTGTCCTGAGTGTAAAGCTTTCATAGATAGACTGAAGAATGCTACGTCACCATGGATTCATGTTGTCCTGAGTGTAAAGCTTTCATGGATAGGCTGAAGTATGCTAGGTCACCATGGATAGATGTTGTACTGAGGGTAAAGCTTTCATGGATAGGCTGAAGTATGCTAGGTCACCATGGATACTATCTGTCCTCAATGAAGTTGGTTGGCCAAGCCTTGATACTTGTTCATTAAGAAGTGTGTTTTGAATTGTTTTCAGATGAAAGACCTGAGACAGGAATTGGACAAAATAAAGGGAGAGCACTCAAACATGAAGATGTCAATCAACGGCAAATTGGCTCAACTACAGCACAAACATGAACATCAAGAAGAGAGCAACAAGCAAAGTGAGCAACATTTTGCTGCTAACAAGGGAAATATGAGGTCAAAGGTGAGGCTCTATTTTATTTCTTAATCATTGTTCAGGTATATAACCAAATGAGTTTAAAACAAAAGAGTTACTTGGTTTTTGACAGCGTCATATAGGTGTGTAGATGTGTCTAATTCATCGCTGTTTCTAATTATGACCTAACATTTAAACCACAGAGCATCATATCATTTCACAAAACCCCCCAAAAACACCACTGCAATGTGTGACAGGAGAATTACTGAACTCTTGTTTTTCACTTTTGGTCACAACTAATCATGTGTATCGACTGATCAAGCGTTAATTGGTGTTGTTAGTTACACTGAATCTGTAAGTAACACAGAGCCTTTTTAAGTTACATTGATGTTATGCTGACATTAGTTACAAATTGATGTTACACTGACATTAGTTACATTGATGTTATGCTGACATTATTTACATTGATATTTGTTACTTTGATGTTACACTGACATTAGTTAAATTGATGTTACACGGACATTAGTTACATTGATGTTATGCTGACATTAGTTACATTGATGTTATGCTGACATTAGTTACATTGATGTTACACTGACATTAGTTACATTGATGTTACACTGACATTTGTTACACTGATGTTGTTAAGTAAACACTGACCTTGTTTTAGTTAGGCTAACATTTGTATTTACACTGGTGTTACACTGACATTAGTTACATTGATGTTACACTGACATTAGTTACATTGATGTTACACTGACATTAGTTACACTGGTGTTACACTGACATTAGTTACATTGATGTTACACTGACATTAGTTACATTGATGTTACACTGACATTAGTTACATTGATGTTACACTGACATTAGTTACACTGGTGTTACACTGACATTAGTTACATTGATGTTACACTGACATTAGTTACATTGATGTTACACTGACATTAGTTACATTGATGTTACACTGACATTAGTTACATTGATGTTACACTGACATTAGTTACATTGATGTTACACTGACATTAGTTACATTGATGTTACACTGACATTAGTTACATTGATGTTACACTGACATTAGTTACATTGATGTTACACTGATGTTACACTGACATTTGTTACACTGATGTTGTTAAGTAAACACTAACCTTGTTTTAGTTAGGCTAACATTTGTATTTACACTGGTGTTACACTGACATTAGTTACATTGACATTATACTGACATTAGTTACATTGATGTTACACTGACATTAGTTACATTGATGTTACACTGATGTTACACTAACATTTGTTACATTGACATTATACTGACATTAGTTACATTGACATTATACTGACATTAGTTACATTGACATTATACTGACATTAGTTACATTGATGTTACACTGACATTTGTTACATTGATGTTACACTGACATTAGTTACATTGATGTTACACTGACATTAGTTACATTGATGTTACACTGATGTTACACTGACATTTGTTACACTGATGTTGTTAAGTAAACACTGACCGTGTTTTAGTTAGGCTAACATTTGTATTTACACTGATGATGTATATAACAGAGAACAGAGTTTGGAGTGATCATGATGGCTATAGACAATATAGCAGAGAAGTGCCTTAAAGCCCTCGATCCAACAGTGGAGGGGCTCAATTTGGAGCAGAAACTCAAAAAGATTGGGGTAAGGTTCATTCAAAGAAAAAACATAGAACTTGGATAAATGATTTAATCACTAGCAACGAAAAAAGTTTTATAATTAACCTCATTTCTGATGAAAAAAAGGGATCAGGTTGAAAAAATAGTTAAATAGAATTGAGAGTATACAAGATTATAGTTTGCATCATGATCCGACAGCCTTACAATTGTAGCTGTGTTTTGTATACAGGATCATGTGGTGGAGCGGGAAGACGTGGCCCGCATGGCCACGCCCAGTGACTCAACCACAGTGAAGGAGAGCAGCAGAGGCAACAGTGCAGACCTCCAAAAGTCTAAAGCCAAGAAAAAAGTACAGGTCGTCGTAACTGGTCCTTCTTGATAGAATAAATCCTAGCTTGTTTACTCCTGTTAAAGATGTGGTGCGATTCAAGTTGTTTTATTGGCCAGCCATGTATAAATTACGTAGAATATTATCAGCAAAACAAGGTGTACATATCTTATGGAAGGAGATGTGGTGAGGGCATAACCTGTGTATATCGACACCTTCCTTAGACTGTATCATTGTACCTGCTAATGCTTGCGGTGTTCACGGCGAAACAAGTACCATTAATCATGATTCACGGCAAAACAAGTACCATTAATTATGTTTCATGGCGAAACAAGTACCATTAACCATGATTGAAATTGAATACATACAGCGATACATGTATTGTAATGGATAATACAGCGATACATGTATTGTAATGGATTATACCATGATACATGTATTGTAATGGATAATACCATGATACACGTATTGTAATGGATTATACAATGATACACGTATTGTAAAGGATTATACAATGATACACGTATTGTAATGGATTATACCATGATACATGTATTGTAATGGATTATACCATGATACATGTATTGTAAAGGATTATACAGTGATAGATGTTTTGTAATGGATTATACCATGATACATGTATTGTAATATGGATTAACAACTGCATCGGTTTGTGTTTTGCCAAAGTAAATATCCACAAATAGGTATATGTATGCATCTAAAAAAATCAAAACAATTTTAGCTATGTGAAATTCAAAATCTTTTAAGTAGTAATCCAAAGATAGATCATCTTCAAAAACTGAAATTGTAGAAGTTGTAAGCATGTACTTTGTTTAGCCAGACAATAAATATTGATGTCATATAGAGCTAGTTATAGGTCTCCCTTACAAACGGGAAGGATAGGGTAAGATTAAATTGTGTGTATAAGTTATGATTGTAATTTACGAGAACGACGATACGAAAGGTTGATATGGATGCTATCAGGGTACCACAGCTAGAACTTTTTTTCAGAAAATAGTTGTGGGGTGGGGGTGGGGGCCGGGGCAGGGTGGGGCCGGGCGAGGTGGGGCAGGGTGGGGCGGTGTGGGGTTGGTTTGGAGTAATTACACAATAAATGTACTGATCTCAGGTGATACCTCCGACACCTCTGACACTAAATAATGATTGCTTTTAAACTTTACATTGATGGTGATCACCTTTGAAGGAACATTCCTTTTTGTTTTTGGAGGTGATGGGATCGGAATGTCTAAAAAAGAGAGGGAACTAAAACTGAATAGTTTAAAAGAATTAATTGAGTAAAAGATAGGAAGTGGACAAAAGGGGAGAGTGATACATAAGTAGGAAGTCAGGGAGAAATTTAAAAGTTGTTTGTCTCCCCAGCATTATCTCTGGTGCAGGTAAAAATGATCATACCTGTCACCATGTTACTACACAAGTCCTTTGTTAAACAATTTTGTTAGTATCGTTTGTGTGCGAATAATTATTTGTGTTCACATAATTTTCTACAGAGCAGCTTTCAATGTAATTCAGCGACATACTTTAAAGTAAATGTTTGTAGAAGTTATGACTTCCACAATATTTGCAGCAGTGGTTTAGACATGACATTTTTACATAATGGACTTATCCAGGTCTGATCAGGTTTCAGCACAAATCTTTTTATTGTTTTCATTGTATGTCACAAAAAATTGGAATTGTATATCATAAATCACATTTCACAGAAATTTTGCAAATCAGTACCCAATATATCACTGTTGGAGAATTTATGTAATATATGTAGCAAATGTTGTGTTAGTGTACATGTAAGTTGTAGATTCCTTGGTATGTTTTATCATTGTGAATTAGTAAATCATATTTTCATGAAGATATTAATTGAACATAAGGGGAGACAACTGTCCATCCTCGTTTCATTGCTGTTGATTTAAGTGATAATTGAGTGTTTGTAAAAAATATCAGCTGATGTCAGAAAGTGACTGTTCCCGATTTTGAAGGTTCTACTTGTAGGTGTTATTACGGTTTTCTGGTTTTCTATTCCTCTGAAATAACTTAAGATACCGGCTGTATTACCTTGTGTAAGGAGCTGTAAATCATTAACCTTGCCAAACTACTGTCAAACGAAAACTTGTCATTTACCTTACTGAACGAAATAAATAATCTTGTTTAATTATTAAGTCTTCTTTATCATTTGCAAAAACCAGTTTAACAGATTTATCAAATATAGATCTGTGATTGTACAATCGATAGCATATATACAACAACAGACAGTCTGTGTGTGGAAGGAATGGCATATATGCAACAACAGACAGTCTGCGTGTGGCAGGAATGGCATATATGCAACAACAGACAGTCTGTGCGTGGAAGGAATGGCAGATATACAACAACAGACAATCTGTGTGTGGAATGAAGGGCGTATATACAACAACATACAGTCTGTGTGGGGAAGGAATGGCATAAATACAACAACAGGCAGTCTGGGTGTGGAAGGAATGGCATATATACAACAACAGACAGTCTGTGTGTGGAAGGAATGGCTTTTACTGCATGGTATATTATACAATGACAAAATTACATATCAAATGTCGATGTGTGATCATATATATTTACACTTTGTCAACATATTACACTATTTGTTGGTAAACATACATTAAACATTGATTTACAATAAACATGTAAAAGCTTGTACCGAAAGGAACTAACCATCTGTACGTACCAACAGGAACTAACCACCTGTATGTACCAACAGGGACCAACCACCTGTATGTACCAACATGGACCAACCACCTGTGTGTTTTAACAAGGACTAACCACCTGTATGTACAAACAGGGACCATACACCTGTATGTACCAACAGGGACCAACCACCTGTATGTGCCAACATGGACCAACCACCTGTATGTACCAACAGGGACCATACATCTGTATGTACCAACAGGGACCATACACCTGAGTGTTTTAACAAGGACTAATCCCATGTATGTACAAACAGGACCTAACCCCCTGTACGTACAAACAGGGACCATACATCTGTATGTACAAACAGGGACTATACACCTGTGTCTTAGTGTGTTTTAACAAGGAGTATGTACCAACAGGAACTAACCACCTGTATGTACCAACAGGGACCATACATCTGTATGTACAAACAGGGACCATATATCTGTATGTACAAACAGGGACTATACACCTGTGTTTTAACAAGGACTAACCATCTGTATGAACCAATAGGAACTAACCACCTGTATGTACCAACAGGGACCATACATCTGTATGTACCAACAGGGACCAACCACCTGTATGTACCAACATTGTTCATACATCTGTATGTACAAACAGGGACCATACACCTGTGTGTTCTAACAAGGACTAACCATCTGTATGTACCATCAGGAACTAACCACCTGTACGTACAAACAGGGACCATACATCTGTATGTACCAACAGGGACCATACACCTGTGTGTTTTAACAAGGACTAACCATCTGTATGTACCAACAGGGACCAACCACCTGTATGTACCAACAGGGACCATACATCTGTATATACAAACAGGGACCATATATCTGTATGTGCAAACAGGGACCATACACCTGTGTGTTTTAACAAGGACTAAACAACTGTATGTACCAAAAGGAACTTACAAAGTTGTCTCTACTAATTGCACTTGTTTGTTTATGTACTTTATGTAACAACACAAACCCCTTCACATACAGGCCAGACTTTAGACTGCAGAGTATATCAGCTAACAACCAAGTTAATTCATATTCCTTCAAGAGTTATTGAAACTAAATTGACAAAAAAATCATTATATAAATAAAGAGTACAATTCCTAATTAAAATCAGGTGGGATGATCTCTGACTTAATGGCGATTCTACAGATATATCAATACCTGAACATGGTATTTAACTTTAAAAGAGAGCTGTTTACTTAAAGTTTCCCATACCATCTACAGTAACAGACTGGGGCACACCAACAAGAGTACCACAGACATAAACATACACAGAAATGGGAAAACACGTTCAGTCTGACTGTAACACCCTAACACCAGTGTAGGAACCAACAGATGTCGTGGTATTCAAACACTTTAAAGGAGAAAAAATCCAGGAATTCAGACTTGAACCAAAGAAATAGGTGGACAATGTGTATTATCTGTGATTATTCTAAATTAAATAGAAGGTTGTCTACAACTGCATCAATGACAGTACCATCAAATGTTTCTTTTACAAGGCACTAAATATGGTAACATAATCATTCATGATCTTGTCTGTCATAGGAATAAGCTGAAACTGGACTTCCTTACCCTCTGTGACATCAGACGTTTATTTATAGAGTAATGTATGCAGAAGTTAACAATTAACCTCAAGGGCCTTTAATATTTAACAAGGGGAGGGAAATCCGAATGACTGGAGCATTTTTCAAACTCAATTGTCCAACATGAAATATGAGGTAAATATTAAGTAGGAAGAATGCCTCTTCCACTAATCCATGGTGTTTACCTCATGAAGATATGGCTGCTCATCAGTGGGCCATTTATTGAATTGCATGTTTTGAGCAACTTTAAGATATCATACATTTTTATATTTGTTTTCCGTGTTATTGAATACAAAAACTTCAAACACATTACAGGTTTTAAGTTCCTTTTTCTCACTAATCTTAAAATCAAAACTCTATATTGGTAAAACCTTTCAGAGGCCTTTAGCTTCCTAAACCTCAAACTTTTCAGGTTACACTCTGTTTTATATGCACATAAATGTTCCACACAATTTAAATGTGACCAGTAATCCAAATAAGGCCTCTCATATTGTTGAACGCTTGACTTTCTTAACACTTTTTTGTGAAAATGTTGTAGTTTATGATGGCGCTGATGAAACTGTTTATTCATGAGTAATTGATATAATGTAATAGTTCCTGGAAAGTTTTAACAGAAAAAGAATTATCAACTTGATGATCACTTACCGGGTAGTTTTGAGGTAAATACAATCAAATATTCTCATATACGTACTACGATGTTACATCCAAGAATCTGTTTCACACCATGCCGACCTACACACCAAATAGGTGTACCCTATCTTTTGATATGTTTAATTTCTTATAATGGCCGGCACATTCAAAAATACAATTTGTAATTATCATAAATGAAGAAACATATTTTCAAAGCAACTTTAAAATAAAGGGTGGTAGAATTTCTTACAAAATCAAAACCGGTACAAATACGAGGTCATACAGAACTACAAGTCAAACTGAACAGGGGAACACTTTGGGGATATAGATATATAAATATATATGGCATGTCATGTCTGCAATACAGAAATAATGATCAATATATCTATTTAACTTATTGTGGATTTTTCATTACAGATTTTTTATAATTTCCTTAAAATACAAACATGACTGAAAAACTAAATAAAAATATATTTATATAGTTACAATAAAATGAGACAATTAATCTGTCCTCTAAACAAGTAACAGTGAGGCTGTGAAAACATACACTCCAGGAACCTGCAACACCATCATGTAGGGTCTGAATATCATCCCGAGTACAAGGGTCTGCTAACCATAAGGCTGAGAATCCAAAGGTCTGCTAACAGTCTGCTAACCATTAGGCCTAGAGTCCAAATGTCTGTTAATCATTAGGCCTAGAGTCCAAAGATCTGCTAACCATTAGGCCTAGAGTCCAGAGGTCTGCTATTCATTAGATCCAGAGTCTAAAGGTCTGCTAACCAATAGGCCCCGAGTCCAAAGGTCTGATTACAGTCTGCTTAACCTTAGGCCTAGAGTCCAAAGGTCTGCTAACCATTAGGCCCCGAGTCTAAAGGTCTGCTTAGTAACCCAATCATACAAAGCCTAATTTCTACTTTGCCCTGGTTCCAGTTGTAAGTTGAATGACCATTAGTTCCAGGATTAATATCAATAAGCTGAACGACTAGTTGGAGCAATGCGTTAAGATCTGTACACCAAAAAAAAACTGGCTCTAAAATCACCTTCAAACTCTGGTTGAGATTTTAACCAGTCACAAGTATCCATTGACCACTGCTTTAACTGCTGCAGACCATGCAAAATGTCCATCATGTCTACTCACCAAAACTAAATGGTCACTGTGTCTGATTGTAGATCACAATGGAATCATGTGAAAAAATACAGAAAACAACATATGTTTTAAAATCAAGCTAAGTAAAACATAAAATCTATCAAATACACAAAAACTAGAAAAGAGCAGTGGAATCACATTTCTAAGGAGATCAGTGAAAAACATCTGATAATATAAGGCCTCTCATGTAAAGTCAATAAATATAAAAGTCCATGTGTCCATGTGAGACATGAAGTGGCAGTAACCATAACAACCAGTCCCTCCCCCTCCAGACCTGGCAGTGGCTTCTTCCTCTAATAGTATGATAACAAGTTACCATTACAACCAGTCCCTCCCCCTCCAGACCAGGCAGTGGCTTCTTCCTCTCAGAGTATGAGAACAAGTTACCAAAACAACCAACACCTCCCCCTCCAGACCTGGCAGTGGCTTCTTCCTCACAGCATATGAGAACAAGTTACCATTACAACCAGTCCCTCCCCCTCCAGACCAGGCAGAGGCTTCTTCCTCTCATAGTATGATAACAAGGTACCAAAACAACCAACACCTCCCCCTCCAGACCTGGCAGTGGCTTCTTCCTTTCAGAGTATGAGAACAAGCTACCAAAACAACCAGTCCCCCTCCCCCTCCAGACCTAGCAGTGGCTTCTTCCTCTCAGAGTATGAAACAAATTAACACCTCCTCCTCCAGACCTGGCAGTGGCTTCTTCCTCTAATAGTATGATAACAAGTTACCATTACAACCAGTCCCTCCCCCTCCAGACCAGGCAGTGTCTTCTTCCTCTCAGAGTATGATAACAAGTTACCATAACAACCAGTCCCTCCCCCTCCAGACCAGGCAGTGGTTCTTCCTCTCATAGTATGATAACAAGTTACCATTATAACCAGTCCCTCCCCCTCCAGACCAGGCAGTGGCTTCTTCCTCTCAGAGTATGATAACAAGTTACCATAACAACCAGTCCCTCCCCCTCCAGACCAGGCAGTGGCTTCTTCATTCCAGAGTATGAGAACAAGCTACCAAAACAACCAGTCCCCCTCCCCCTCCAGACCTAGCAGTGGCTTCTTCCTCTCAGAGTATGAAAATAAATTGACACCTCCCCCTCCAGACCTGGCAGTGGCTTCTTCCTAACAGCATATGAAAACAAGTTACAATAACAACCAGTCCCTACCCCTCCAAACCAGGCAGTGGCTTCTTCATCTCAGAGTATGAAAACAAGTTACCATTACAACCAACACATCCCCCTACAGACCTGGCAGTGGCTTCTTCCTCTCAGAGTATGAAACAAATTAACACCTCCTCCTCCAGACCTGGCAGTGGCTTCTTCCTCTCATAGTATGATAACAAGTTACCTTAACAACCAGTCCCTCTCCCTCTAGCAACACTCACCATTGGAAACCTGCAGTAGATTGCACTATATTTACTGGTAATTATATAAATGTAGCCCGACTCTGAAGTTCATGATTCACAATACAGGCTTATATAGACTCCCTAATATTTGTGTGTATGACTTAGTGTTACACCTGATGCTATGGTTTTTACTCTTAATCAATAGCCTTGAGAGGGACTTCTCACACACACAGGTGTGAATGAATATTTTTCTCTCGTATACAGTTTTTACAAATCCAGAAAATGTCAATTCATGTATATAGAGAGAAAAATATCACATTTCCTGCCAACCTCCATGCTTGACACGACAATGTGTGGCAGTCTTCTTTGCTTCATTACAATAAAGCCATTTGAAATTCAATGTAAAATGTACTTACACCACTGCTTAACTGCTTCATCCAGGACATTTCTTCCTGCACACACAGGTATTAAAGAAAACAATGAACCTTGTAAAGAGCTAAGCACTTAAAAAGGATCAATTTAATTTGCATATTTTGGTACTCATTCGAGCCAAATGTTATATTTCAACAGCACCTGTTGTAGGACGAGACAACGCATCACACACGGTCAGCACCAGGAGGGACTTCTAACTCAAAACAACAATCTACAAGTACCAGACCATCTGAGGACCTTCAAAAACCGCTATTTTTACTATAAAATACAGTAACAAATTAAATCACATATAAAAGCATGATTCTAAGTGAAATTATATTTCCTACAATTTCTATAAAAAAAAGGAAGTAACAGGCACAGGTGTTTAAATCTTGCATAGTTCAAAAAAGCACGTGGCAGTTAAATCGAAAATAAGTTATTTCTAGTCTAACTGTCAACTTTATCATGTATTTTGTAAGAAGTTAATATCAACACGATCATGCGTTATACATGTCACACATATCCATGACTGAATTACACATTTTACGTCACTTGTATTTCAGATGAAATAACCTGAATACCTTTGTTACATTCCAAATGGTCTGACCAGAGTTGTTAATGAAAAGGGACCAACTTGATAATCTAATGTTGCCTTCTGTCCAGTTTTGACAAAGCCTTTAAGGCCTGTAGTAACATTTCCAGGTTTACCAGGATTCACCAGTCTGTTCACATACACAAGCTGGCCACTGTAAGCGACTGTCAGTTACACCACAACTAGAACTTGTGTAACACTGATCACATGATCATCACATGACAGCGAAGAGTGTGTGCAACACTGATCACGTGATCATCACATGACAGCAAAGAGTGTGTGTAACGTAACACTATCACATGATCATCACATGACAGCGATGGAGAGTGTGTAAAACTGATCACATGATCATAACATGACAGTGATGGAGTGTGTAACACTATCACTTGATCATCACATGAAAGCGAGGGAGTGTAACACTGATCACATGATCATCACATGACAAGGAACATGTTTCCTTATCACATGACTGTAATTGACTGTTTGTCCAACTAAAGTTATGTCAATAAACACTTTTTTGGGGTAACATTTGGTTTTGTTAAAATAATTGTCATGAAATATTTCATAAATATCAAACTTGTTAGAATATGAATATTTAACCTGAAAAGTGATTACTGGTAGGAACGACCAAGCTGAGATTTGCACACCTGCCCGAGTACTACATCCTCACATGTATTGCTGCAGTATTTTTAACTCTTCACCATTAAAGTCAGTGAGGTGTAACCAGCCTTTCTTTGGCTCCATGCTTTGGTAAACAGACAGTCCTTTATACAAGGCAGCGACTGGCTGAAACAGTATGGGGCTGGCTGACCTGGACTCCCCAAAGTCCTTCCGCAGCATGTCAGAGAGGTAATCAAAGCTTTAATTATATTCTTAAAGTACACAATCAAAATTATGTTCAACCAATTTGGTGATTTTATGTTATGCAGAAGACATGATAAATAAACAACATTGCCAAACTTCAGAACATGCATAATTACTGAAGTCAAAACCAGACACCCCTCTCACAAATCTCCTTGTCTTGTCAGTTTTTCATTAAGAATACAATTAAAGTTTTAATCACCCTCTGAATTTTAGGACAGTATTAAAATTTATAATCTTATGACACTATTTTGTATTTTGAATTCAGATTTATCATTTTATGATACTACTCTGCATTTTGGGTGCAAATAAAATATCAGTGAAAATACATGGTTATATTTATGGTAATATTCAACACACAACTCACAGTGGTCAGGTCATAGCTGACACAGTATAACAGAGCACCATATCACATTTTGACTCGTTTCTTGTCCTTTTAGCACAAAAAATGTTACGTTGTATATGAGGGCTTCAACACCAGGATGGATGAAATGAATCATAAAATGGTTGAATGTGGCACTAAAACAAAATCTATTCAACATGCTGATGGTTTTGATTTCATCACAGATTACAGCATATTTTAATCATCTAACCATTAAGCTGTTTATCTCCCAACAACAGTACCTAAATCCCAGTCAAACCAACTACACACTTCCAGCTCTATTCTAGATTAGCAACTATGCAGTCCGTTTGTGACAAAGGTGTGGGTTTACAGTCGGTACTGGATTATTTGTTGGAGCCTCTATACACCACAGACATCCACGGTCATACTTTTGTTTCTATGTTCTGAGTCAGTAATCTGTTCTGTTGCTGAGACTGTTGCTGTGCCTGTTGCTGTGGTATTTTTTGTTGTTGCTGTATATGCTGCTGTTGCTGGAACTGTTGCTGCTGAAGCTGTAACTCTTTTTGCCGTAACTGTTGTTGCTGATGCTGTAAATACTGTTGTTGTAGATGCAGTTCCTGTTGTTGTTGCTGAAGATGAAGCTGTTGTTGGTGATGCTGTAAATGTTGTTGATGTAGTTGTTGGTGATGTTGTTGCTGTGGTAACACATGTTGTTGTCCTGGTGATTCTATTTTGTGCCAGTGTCCTTTATTTTGGTTTCCGCTGTTTTGTGCCATCATTTTTTGTTGTAGTGCCTCCTGTAAGGCAGGTAACTGTCGCTGTAGTAGGTCATGATGTTCGAGATTCTGGGGTAAGGCTAATTGCATCGGTAACTGAGGGGGCTGCTGTTCCTTTTTACGAATATCCATTGCACGATTCAGAGCCATACGATAACTTTCATAACTCATCACAATTTGTTCCAGTTCTTGTTTGTGTAATCTCATAAGCATGGCGTCATAATGCTCCAGTTGACTGACGGTGAACAAGTCCCACTGAAAAACACAATCACATCACCGGTAGGTCTTACAGTACTATAGTGATTATCATCATAGTCAAGGGGAGGAATACCCTAATATCACATCACAGGGAGGTCTTACAGTACTATAGTGATTATCATCATAGTCTGACGGTGAACAAGTCCCACTGAAAAACACAATCACATCACCGGTAGGTCTTACAGTACTATAGTGATTATCATCATAGTCAAGGGGAGGAATACCCTAATATCACATCACAGGGAGGTCTTACAGTACTATAGTGATTATCATCATAGTCAAGGCGAGGAATACCCTCATATCACATCACAGGTAGGTCTAACAGTACTATAGCGATTATCATCATAGTCAAGGGGAGGAATACTCTCATATCACATCACAGGGAGGTCTTACAGTACTATAGTGATTATCATCATAGTCTGACGGTGAACAAGTCCCACTGAAAAACACAATCACATCACCGGTAGGTCTTACAGTACTATAGTGATTATCATCATTGTCAAGGGGAGGAATACCCTCATATCACATCACAGGTTGGTCTAACAGTACTATAGTGATTATCATCATAGTCAAGGGGAGGAATACCCTAATATCACATCACAGGGAGGTCTTACAGTACTATAGTGATTATCATCATAGTCAAGGGGAGGAATACCCTCATATCACATCACAGGTACATTATGTAGGTCTTACAGTACTATAGTGATTATCATCATAGCCAAGGGGAGGAATACCCTCATATCACATCACAGGTAGGTCTTACAGTACTATAGTGATTAGCATCATAGTCAAGGGGAGAAATACCCTCATATCACATCACAGGTACATTATGTAGGTCTTACAGTACTATAGCGATTATCATCATAGTCAAGGGGAGCAATACCCTCATATCACATCACAGGTACATTATGTAGGTCTTACAGTACTATAGCGATTATCATCATAGTCAAGGGTAGGAATACCCTCATATCACATCACAGGTAGGTCTAACATTACTATAGTGATTATCATCATAGTCAAGGGGAGAAATACCCTCATAGCCCATCACAGGTAGGTCTTACAGTACTATAGTGATTAGCATCATAGTCAAGGGGAGAAATGCCCTCATATCACATCACAGGTACATTATGTAGGTCTTACAGTACTATAGTGATTATCATCATAGTCAAGGGGAGAAATACCCTCATAGCCCATCACAGGTAGGTCTTACAGTACTATAGTGATTATCATCATAGTCAAGGGGAGGAATACCCTCATATCACACCACAGGTAGGTCTTACAGTACTATAGTGATTATCATCATTGTCAAGGGGAGGAATACCCTCATATCACATCACAGGGAGGTCTTACAGTACTATAGTGATTATCATCATAGTCAAGGGGAGGAATACCCTCATATCACATTACAGGTAGGTCTTACAGTACTATAGTGATTATCATCATAGTCAAGGGGAGGAATCCCCTCATATCACATCACAGGTAGGTCTTACAGTACTATATTGATTATCATCATAGTCAAGGGGAGAAATACCCTCATATCACACCACAGGTACATTATGTAGGTCTTACAGTACTATAGCGATTATCATCATAGTCAAGGGGAAGAATACCCTCATATCACATCACAGGGAGGTCTTACAGTACTATAGCGATTATCATCATAGTCAAGGGGAGGAATACCCTCATATCACATCACAGGGAGGTCTTACAGTACTATAGCGATTATCATTCATCAAAGTCAAGAGGAGGGCAGGCATACCCTAATGTTATCATCATAGCGAACAGGTGTTTTTGGTGAGTCATACAGTAGTACATGTATGAGTAAATTTACTTTTACATAAGAAATTTTCATGAAACTATACCTTTATGACAAGAAAACAATATCCAATTGATAAAAAGTTCTGAGTTTATATTTCAGTTTTAGAAAGAGAGTTAAAAAGTCATCCCCATGTTCATTTATGAAAATATTTAAATTGGCTTTTTAAATTGATAATAGACTTTGCTATGCATTTTATGTCTTGTTTTAAATATCAAATTCAGGAAATGCCAACCTTTAACTTGTGGTCATGTTCTGGTGCACCTCTGGAGTAGACACTCAGCCACTGGGGGATTTCTTAAAAACAAGTACAAAGCATGTCAGAACATTTCAAACCAGCTAATCTATATGGGTATAATCAAATAAGTCCAGCAATGGTAAGCCAGGCAAAATCAAGGTCTAAACATCCAAAAAGCTCAAGAGAAATTATTGTTTTATAATAACAAAACTTTGTATTCCAGTTGTTGCGGAACTTCTGTCAGACAGTTGGAATGTATTCTGAGAGATGATCCTTACAAACAAATTCAGTTATGCCTGTAAGACAATAAAGTAAATTTTCTAAGGTATAAATGAGTACCTGTATAATAAGGGAAGGATTCTTGTAAGATAACAGGGTATATGTTTTAGGTATAATAAAGTGTACCTGTATAATAAGTGAAGGATGTTTGTAAAATACCTGGGTATATGTTTTAGCTATAATAAAGTGTACCTGAATAATAAGGGAAGGATGTTTGTAAAATAACTGGGTATATGTTTTAGGTATAATAAAGTGTACCTGTATAAAGATAAGGATTTGCAGGTACCAGCACATTTGTCTGACGAGCTGGTCGGTACTCTATCTGCTGGGGTAGACCGGGTCGTTGAGAGAACTGGAAGGCAAGGTTCAACTGAGGCATGGTCGGGGCACATGGATGCTGGTACTGTGCTATTTTCATAAAGTGACTGAAAAAAACATACAGAAATCATGAAGTGGCTGTTAATACAATAAAGACTTTATAAAGCAAATGTAGTAAAGAATAATTTCAGCAGTTTGAAATCTTAATGTATTTTTACATTATTGCCTTTTGTTACGGGAAAGGTCAGATTGTGCTTCCTTTCGTCTTGAGCTCTGATCCTATTTTCAACTAACACATGTGGAACACACTTGTAGGATATTTATGTGTTACAAATACGAAAGCACCCAATGACCTCTGGTTTGGAAACTACATTTTTCTACATTCCTGACAAGGAACTGCATAAAAACAAACCATAGGATGTAAATCAAACATTAGTTAGCAGTATACAGTAGAGGGTTGTGGCCATGGGTGATATTTTTGTTAAATGGCTTACCCCTGTATAATGATATGTAACAAAAATATAAAAATAAAACTGTACTAAATTTGGTATAAGCATGATGAAGTGGGCCATGTGAGCTTCACATTTGTAAAAAAAAAAAAAAAAGTTTTTGGTTCGAGATCAAAATTTTGGCCATAATCCGAAACATGAAAAGCTAGTTTGACAACTTTACTGGGACCGAGATCATTCTGCAACCAAGTAGGTAATCTTTAATTCCAGACAGAACTTAGGAAAACAATTACTAGTTGCGGAGGTCAAATTTTGGGTCAAAAATAGCAATTTTTGGCATTTTTTGCTATTTTTTTTAGTGGTAACCATGGTTTTCACACAAGTGACATACATAGAAAAAAGAGGTTTATACACTTCTCAGTACTTTATATGTATTGTAAATGTAATGCAGTTTACAAATATATATACATGTATACATGTGTTGTGTAGGGTAAATCTGCTGTGTTTACATTTCCTCGACATGTGCCTTGTTTATCAGAGTCGGGCCATTTCTACTGTATACTGCTACCTTACATTTTGTAGCGGGTTCAGTGGAGTTGTTGCTCATCATTTCTATTTTCATTTGAGTTAATGTTTAGTATAGTGTTGCCTGATGTCCTGAAACATAATGTCATTTCAGTGCCTGGTTCCTCTGGCTTTTACATCAGGTCGGTGAAGACAGATGGTGGCCCTGGCCACTTTAAAGTGCCATTTATTCATTATCTACTTCCAATTCCGTCTTTGCGTATTGCAGAGTTATCTCCTCTTGTGAGCAGGTATTGATTGTTACGTCATTTGTTTGTGAGAGTAACGTCATCAATTATTAAGAAAAAAACGTAATTTTCTCACACAAACCAATGACGAAACAATCAATACCTGCTCACAAGAGAAGATAACTCTGCAATACGCAAAGACGGAATACATAGTCTGACTGTTGGCAGCTGACATTGCCTCATTGAAATAAATAATTACTAATTTACGAACTTGCTGTGAAGGTTTTGCAAACCGATTTAATTTAAAGTAAAACTTCAGTGATTTTGCTGGACCGTCCTGATCAGTGTAAATCAAGCTGGCAATACAATTTCTGATTGATATTTGGTAATGCTATGACACATTGTTACTACAACTACTAGGATATTCTAACTAATCAGAAAATCTGCTATGTATATATTCCATATCCATCACCTATATATGATAAGACTCTGTTAGCATATTCCTGAACAACACAAAGATAACAGCAGGCCCTTAATAAAGAACTAGATTGTACCTTGGTACAGTACTCTTGTAAACAAAACAACTTTTTAAAATATTTTCATAACTTTACTTATGAAACATGTTGTCTTTTACAACCATAATTTCTAGTGAGCAAGGCCTACTTGACATAGTAGACTCCGAACTCCTTGGATTCGATCCTCTCCCAGCCCATCGGCAGACTTTCCTTCTCAAACGGGTGGCTCCAGTGGGTAGTCTGGGTGTTGTGATCAATGTAATACTTCCTTCCCCTCACCGTCCAGTCTATAGACCAGCCAGTTGGTAAGGCCATCTCGTCTTGACCAGCGAACCCACTTGAGGCTGTGAACATTTTAATTGGTTTAAGCTCAACATTTTTAAAGACAGAATCTTGCTTTTGTCGTTAAATTTAACAGGCTATCAACCTTGTGTAAGCTTACCAATCAGAATATGAAAAGAAAGTACAATGCTTTAACCTCCTGACAGGTAATATACCCTGATTTGTTGTAGTGTTAAGCAAACCTCTACCATCTCCTAAACATTACATTGCATATCCAGCTTCTAACTGGTACCTGATCGACTTACCAGAGGATGGGACGGTGGTCTGGATCTCCTTCTGTGCGGAGGCGTGCAGGCTTTGCTTTACAATCTGTCCTCCAGGATTCTGCTGGGCGTAGTGTTTACGTATCTCCTGGTGGTACTGTTGGATCTGGTAGTTCTCATCATACTGATTATGATGGTCATTGCCATAGTTACTGTGATAATGCCCAGACATGTCGTCGTTATTGTCTGAAAGATTTGTAACATGACTTTTATAATTATGATCATATTTCCTTTTGTACATTTGATTGTTCATTACCATATTTTTGGTCTTCATTCAGGTCACTAAAAGTTGATTCTTCAATAAAATACTATCAAAAAGCTTTAAGCTTATTTGAAAAATTGAACCTTGATATTTCATGAAACATGAAAATCTCACCAAGGTTGCTCTAAAACCTGTTAAGACCAAAGTAACATTCTGAGTTAAAGGTTTTTAAATCTTTACAACTTGTATAGTCCAAGCTACATACCTTCTCTGATGGCCCCCAGTCTGCTGGGCTGGGGTTGGGGTTGTTTGACCTCCTGGACCAAGTGCTGGACGGCTGAACCTCCACTCTGATAGCCAGATGACCCAGTGGTCGCACGACTAGATGTTGATCCCTGAGTACTTAGGGAGCTGTTGGACCCTGCATTAGCAGACTGGTAGGGAACACCTCCCGGTTGAGACAGATTAACATTAGGAGTATGGAAGTGTTCCCCACCCTGACTAGACATATGAATGTTCTGTAGTCCGTGAGTGATCGGAGACACTGGTGTCTGTATGGGTTTACTTAGAGACTGTTTCTGTGGCTGTGATTTGTTGATGTGAGTCTGTACCTGACGTTCATAGGAGCTGCTTGTACTGGTGAAGGTCATCTGTGAGGTGGGAAGGACAGAGCGTGACACGGGTGGGCGGATGATGGGTTGCTGAGGAACGTAAAATGCTGGTGTCTTTGAACTCCTTCTCTGGAAGTTTGGCGTTTGTCTTACAGGAGTATGGTAATCTGTAACAACGAAAAAGATTTATTATACAACTACCATGTTTTGTAGCTATAATGGCCATATCATATTTTATATTTAATGTGATGTCAGAACTCAGACAAAATACCATGGACTTACTAGCGACATTGCATTAAAATAAAAACACATTTTGTCACCGTCATGTTGTCAGTATGGTGATGCTAAAGGCCTGGTGATGGTCAACCACAACATGTTTTATGTGAATATTTATATACATTCTGACTTGAATTTACTTCCATTTCATATAAAACAAGTCTAAAATGAGATATGAAATGGAATCTCAAAAGATTCTATATTTATGATGTAAATATCACAAATTCAAAATCACTCTATATACTCCATTACATATGTCATATATGTACTACAGTCACACCATTAATGAATATAGATATAAAAATATTCACGTTAGATATTTTGAAAGAAGTTGTACAAATCTTAATGGCAATGGTATACATTTGTATGACAATTGTCTTTATATGATACTCTGATGGTTAAGGATATTACAAACTAATCGAGTAGACTGTGAACATTTATAATCACAAATACTTGCAACTTATCATGATCAACATGTTCTGAATTCTTTTTTCTACGAAAAATTTAGCATAAAAATTTGAACTCAAGCAATAAATGTATTCATCACTATAGCTATTTACATAACAAAATTTACCTTGAAACATGGTGTTGGTAAGCTCATCAAAGTCAAAATTTTTGTCACTAAAATGGAAATTTATCTTTTTTCTTGAACATGGAATCAAAAAATCTTTTTATTAAAAAGTGTCAAATCCTTGGTAAAATCCATTATATTACAGGGTAGTGAGGTATGAAATTTTGACATGTTGCTGTACATCGCAACTTGTTTAAGCCTTATTAACAATCAAATTAGTCTACACCCTCCATGTGGAATTTTAAGTGTCGGTATAACGCCGCTGCCACTGATGAACGTAGAGTAGATAATGCATGTACAATGCTATAAATAAATCCAGACCAGGACACATATTGTCATGACAATTGTATACACAACATACTTAATGAAATAAAAATAACAATGCATATATTGATGATGAAAGCTCAGTCAAACAGTTGTGGTGTAACAGAGTCATGTCTACAGGAAGTCACATGCAGACAGTAAGACTACCAGTCACCAATGCACCTTTTTCAGTATATATATATATAATACGATACAGGTTTCATTGTTCTTGAATGATGGTATATGAACTTTCAGTCATATTATATGTAAAATAGGCTTTCACTTGGTACAACAAGCCGTAATAAATATACTAAACACTATATCACTGCATATAGTCTAAAATATAACGGGGATTTTTGGGTATATTTTTGACAAACAAAACATTTTCTCCAATAAACTATAATTATTTTATACAACATGTTATATAAACTGCTAACATTCATGCAGTACATGTTATATTTGCATGTACCGCATTGATTTACATATATATTTTTTTCTTTTCTCTCAGAGGGCAAGCCACATGTCAAAATATAACCCTGCATGATGAACATGTCACAATGACATTGCATTTCACATTTGAATGACACATCACCAAAATATCATACAACAGTTATGGGCCTATACATGTCATAATTAGACAAAGCTTGTTGGTCTTCCACTGAAACCCTACTGCTTTAATACAGATATGGGCATCCACTGAAACCCTACTGCTTAAATACAGATATAGGCTTCCACTGAAACCCTACTGCTTAAATACAGATATAGGCTTCCACTGAAACCCTACTGCTTTAATACAGATATAGGCTTCCACTGAAACCCTACTGCTTTAATACAGATACGGGCTTCCACAGAAACCCTACTGCTTAAATACAGATAAATAGGCTTCCACTGAAACCCTACTGCTTTAATACAGATATGGGCTTCCACAGAAACCCTACTGCATTAATACAGATATGGGCTTCCACTGAAACCCTACTGCTTTAATACAGATATGGGCTTCCACAGAAACCCTACTGCTTTAATACAGATATAGGCTTCCACTGAAACCCTACTGCTTAAAATACCGATATAGGCTTCCACTGAAACCCTACTGCTTTAATACAGATATGGGCTTCCACTGAAACCCTACTGCTTTAATACAGATATGGGCTTAATCCACTGAAACCCTACTGCTTTAATACAGATATGGGCTTAATCCACTGAAACACTACTGCTTTAATACAGATATGGGCTTAATCCACTGAAACACTACTGCTTTAATACAGATATGGGCTTCCACTGAAACCCTACTGCTTAAATACAGATATGGGCTTAATCCACTGAAACCCTACTGCTTTAATACAGATATGGGCTTCCACTGAAACCCTACTGCTTTTATACAGATATAGGCTTCCACTGAAACCCTACTGCTTAAATACAGATATGGGCTTAATCCACTGAAATCCTACTGCTAAATTTTTACATGAATGGTATATGAAAAGTATGGCATGATGTTTTCGTTGTTAATTTGTCTTCTCTGATAAAGGTAAACAACTTGTTTAATAATTCACTTTCTATTAATATTATATTGCCAAAATTATGTTGTGCTTTCTATAAGTAAAGAAAAGTTTTTTAATTTATACTATTTTCGACTGCTAATGCATGTTATGTGTTTACCAGTATGTACCTCTAAATGTGCACTAAATTATATCAATTTGCATACTTAAAATAGCAAACATCAAACAATGTCTGTATCCATAACTAATGTAACCGTCAAGGAAAATACTGCCTTGCTGCAGGCATGCTTGCTTTTCTAGTGATGCAGCTGCAGTATAACCCTGGGATGAGCTCATCACTGGTTCAGAAACGTCGAGTGAGGTCAGTGGCTTGATGGATGACCGCACATTACACTAATAATCATACTGAATAATATTTTATATAGTAACGTTAACATGACACTCAAAATACATTATCAAACAGCAGGAAGAAGGATGGCAATATCAATGTTTCTGTACTCCTGTCGTTTTTAATACCAAGATTTTCAGTACTTGTACAATATGTTTCCCTAAAAGTTATTGATCTATATGTATATACAAATACAGATTTTTGGCCCTTTGACAGTTTTAACCTGGCAATTTGTTAATGTTTTGTACTCTGATGCATGTCTATGATCTTATTTATAAGATCTTTCAGCATTTTTCGTTTTTACAAAAATGTACGGAAACATATTCTTCTGTTAACCCTTTCATCCCTATGTAACTTTAGTAGACTTTACCATGCATTGATATGGAGGGGTCCATTTGGTCTACAGTGGTGAAAGGTACTTAAGCTGACACTAATGGTAGCCCCAGTTTCCTCTGGCCCTAGCACCAGACTTAGACATTTTGATAGATAGATGTCTGGTGTGGGGCCAGTCTAGAGCGCACTGCTATATGAAAAGGTGGAATTCTCCAACACCGTTGGGAATCGATACTATGACACAACACATACCTCACATATATCAATTAAAGGTTTATTTATTGATCCAAATCAGCTCTTTTTATTACCAACAGCTGCTAAATTCCGTCAGAAGAGTCCTCGATTTTCAATCGTTCAAAATTTCCCACCTGAGTGAACGACATTTTTGTAGATCATGGGGTGACTTATCAACAAACCGTACTGATCCGAACTGAAAACGAAATATATTATTCTTGTTCAGAAGATTTCTGGACCGTGTCTTATTGTTGATTAGTCACTCCAAGATACCAAATGGTGACGGAGAATTCCTCGTTTTCATAGAGCAGTGCGCTCTGGCCATGGCCCTACACCAGACATATATATGTCAAAATGTCTAAGTCTGGTGTTAGGGCCAGAGGAAACTCTGGCTAATACTAATGGGTACCAAAATGTCTAGTATTACTGTAATCAACAAGTTTATCTATTTATTGTCAAAGATTTAAAGTAGTTGGCTTGTGTGTATTTGTTTACTTATTTATAAAAGCTATGTTAAGTACTATAGAATAATCAATAGTAAGTATGCATTAACAGATATTTTGGGTAGACCAGAGACATATAAAGCCAGTGTATACTCTCTGGGTAGACCCACTGTCTATAAAAAGTAACATTGTCATATACTCACTTCTCAACATAGGTGGAGTGTCTCTTTTGACATATTTCCCAGCAATTCCATCATTTATACCTGATGCAGAATCTTTCTTTTTCGGCAACATTTTGATGGAATTAGTTTAATATGAGCTTTGTAGTTGAAAGACTTCCATCAGCACAGACAATAATTGTCTTCCTGCACTTCGACTACTTGTTGATCTAAAGACCAACTGTTGATCATCGATAATTAAAACTCGCCTCAAATATATAGCAACAAATGTAATATATTCTTTGTTGAATAGGTCAATAGATGGTTGTGTATGCTTAATAATTTATTGATGGGGACATCCTGTTCTTCAGAAAAATCCATGCATTCTGCACATTCTCTGGCAGGTCAAAGAAATTCCAGCATAACGACACCGCCCTGTTCTGAAAATATGATATTAACATTATAAACTCGAACTTTGTGTAATTGTATATAGTGCTATTAATAGCTCTGCTATTTCCAAACGTTTCCATCCTTTAGAATTCATTCCGTGGCACAGATAATGACAAATACAATCAAATTAAGTCTCTTTCCGGAAATGTCTCAAGGTGCTCGCTTTGTGAACTACGTCACTGATTCTTCACCGGAAGTGATGTCATGACGTCTGTATGCGTGTTTTCCTTAGCAACATCACACAGAGCATTGCAGTGTGTAGTTTAGCAACAACAAGCAGACACCTAGACTAAGCACAGCTCTGTTTAGAAGACTGGGAGGGGATCGTTTCCTCATTTTGAAATGAGTAGCGATACACCACAGACACCAGTCAACATGGATGTTAATATTAACCCGAAAGATCAACAATATATCAATGCAAAATCATATCTTCTCACAGCCAGCACAGACACAGGAATCAATTTGTAAGTTGATCACACATGCATGTTTGTCTGTTTCAGTCAAGTCTAATACAAACTCATTGTTGCTAAGATTGTTTATGTTCACATTTGCAAAAAAAAGATTTAAAAAAAGTTGATTTTGATTTCCTTTATCTATGTTTTAATTTAGATATACATTTGTAGGTTAGGTTATAATAATAAATGTCATGTATGTGACCGTTGACAAGCAACTTGTATCTTCTTATATTTGACATGGAAGTTGTTTTGAATATAAGTTAACTTGCTAATCATTTGCAAACCATATAGTCAAATTGTGGAAAGCGCTGTTTGTTGCCAATGACATAAAGTATTAGAGTTGTAAATCTATATATATATCATACAGTAGTACTAGTAACCATTTTCACCTCTTTTCTTATATTTCTTATAATCTGTGTATTCTTTTAGTTTTATACTTTCATCTATGATTTTTATTGCGATCTTTCTTACGTTATGTGGTTTACTAATTGCTATAACTTGTAAGTTGTATGTTCAATATGCCCCTAATTTGGAAATAAATAACATTGACACTACATAAACCATTTATTTCACACTTGGAAGATAAAGCTGTTGTACCACAGAACTGGTCACAACATTTCCCCTACCGGTCATTATATACCATAATATAGCAACGTACTTAATACCTTTATGTATATGTAGAAACCTGTGGGAAATATAAATGTTGACCAGTTTACTGTTCTTGACAGCATTGTAAGATTCAGGTAGCTTTGGACATCCTTCTGCATAACTGTGGTGTTATGTTGACTGAACTGATTTTGCATGTTACTGTACTGAAGTATCCATTGGGGACTGTGAAAAGATGGACAGAAATATTGTAAAATAACACACAGCAAACATTGATGTGTTTACGTCGCATTGGGATATTATTATGTTTTTGAAAATTAATCATCTGTATCTTTCTTTCAGGTTTGACCACTTAAGTTGTGTTCTGACCAAAATTTTAGATGAACGTCCCGGAAATGTAGCTGATGTATTTGAAGATGTCAGTAAAGACACAAAGAAAGCCAAATTCACATCAAAAGTGGACACTGTTCAAGACAAAATAGACCAGTCAACAGAAGTAGCTTTAGCTCATGTACAGAGGAAATTGTTTGCTGTAAGTTTTGCTCTTGTTTGATAAACTTTTATGAAGACAAATATTTTCAGTTTATGTAAAAGATGAATTTCAATCATTGTTTTAGTATTTTCTGGATTTTAGTTGTACATGGTTAATGTTTTTTGGAAGTTGATGTTTTCATTTTGGGAATTTTAAACATTGAAAGACTGACGATACATTGAAAGGAACAGAAGAATAAAGGTCCAATTATTTGATTCTGTAAACATTAAACTATGTGTATAATACTTACTTCAGAAAGGAGATGGAGAAGACCAGGAGCCAGAGCAGGACGAAGAAGTGGAAACTCCACTGCCCAATCTTATGGAGTTGTGCTTTTTCTTCGAACAAGCAGGAATTGGTTTGAATCGAGAGGAAGTGATCAGAATATGGCTTGCTCTTAAAAATCTTGTAGACAGTCACACATTAGCCCATGTAAGATTCTGGGGCAAAATCTTTGGTAGAGAGCAGAACTATTATGTTGCTGAAGTGGAATACAGAGAGGGTGATGAGGAGGAGGAAGAAGAGGAAGAGGTAAAGCTAATTCAGATATTTGGAATAACAAACAGAAAAATAGGAATATTGATATAACTTTTTTTAATTATTATTAAATGAGAAAAGGAATCTTTATTTTTTCTATTTTTTCAGATATGCTTGCATATCAAATACAAACTACACAAACATGATATTTTCTAATTTCATATTCACTTCTATGCTGAGGTGGAAATGAAACTTATTATTGGGTCTGTTTTGCAGCCTGAAGAACAAAATGAAGAAGAGACAGCAGAAAAAGATGATGAGGAGGGAGAGGAAGGTAACTATTGTAAAGTTTAGTGAGTTACAGCTCCTGGATAGGAGTATTTCCCTGATGGACTGTTTCAGAATATTTAAAATCTCACAGTTCATCCTGTGGCAAAAGTTCAAATGTAACAGAAAATGAGAATTAACTTGTGTGTGAAGTTGATGATGGAAAAATACTAGGCAACTCAGTAAGTTTGTTAGGTTATTGATTGTAACTATATTTATCAACTTTTATATTACAGAGGAACAAGAGGAGGATGACACACCAAAGCCAGACTTCAAACCTCCACAAGATATCCCTAAGGAAGATAACAGAACAGGCACTAACAAAAAGACCTACTTTGTTTGCAATGATCGTAAGTTGTGTTGGAATTTTGAGATTAAAAATAAAAAATTCAATGAACTTTACATTAATTTTGTCTTCATTTAATTGTTCTGATGCTGCATATTTTGTTTGAAATTTAATGAATTTGTATCAAAAAGAAACCATCTAAAACATTGTTTTATTGTATTGAATATATTTGTACAAGTGATTTATTTATACTATAGCTGGAAAACCATGGGTCAAGCTTCCCCCAGTCACCCCAGCGCAGATTGCTTCTGGCAGGAATATCAAGAAATTCTTCACTGGTCGCCTCGATGCCCCTGTAAGTTTTAATATAAATGAACTATAAAATGAATATGTTAGAAATCCTTGTTAATGAATTTTAATTGTTTTATTTTATCTTTTCAAACTTCAAAATTTAAGTGTGTTTTTCACATAAAGATATCATTTGTTTTCCATAGGTTGTCAGTTATCCCCCCTTCCCTGGTAATGAGTCTAACTACCTGAGGGGCCAGATTGCACGAATCAGCTCTGGAACCCATGTTTCACCGCTTGGCTTTTACCAGTTTGATGAGGAGGAGGAGGAGGAAGAGGAGGGAGAAGGTGTGTATACTTACATGACACATAATGAAAGTTGTGTATAATCTTTGTATTTAACAAGAACTTTCAAGCAACTTTCACAGTGTAATACTTTTTGCATTCTAACCCCATAGCCTGTTAGGACAGACAAGATTTAAGCTATCCCTTCCCCATTGTCTTATAAACTGGTAAAAATTACAAGTACTCCCGGATTCCCTGTTGTCTAATACACTGGACAAGCATATTATAACTGATTGCTTTGCCTAGGCAAAATAAAATACTGAATAAGTCCAATGAAAACAAATATGATACAGCAATAAGAGAGAAATGTTCATATTCAGTAATAAATTACTTAAAATAAAATAATGAAACCATTCAAACATTCATAGATAGATAGATATTCCAGGAAAATCTTTGAAAGTGATGTCAAGTAGGAAGAGAATAACTGATATCTAAGTGTAGAAAGAAAAAAATGTTTTCATGAATTATGTGTATTTTCTGTACAGCTCGGGATCACTTTGTGACCAACCTTGACTTTGAGGGTCTTCCCCTGCGTGACCTGACTGACTCGTCACTACAACACTGGGTACATCACGTGCAGTACATCCTGCCACAGGGTCGCTGTCAGTGGCACAACCCTGTCCAGAAGAATGAGGAAGACTTTGAAGATGAGGAGGAGGAAGAAGAAAGGGAGGAGCCTGATGAGCCAGAGCCAGAACGAGGACAACCATTGCTAACTCCTCTGTCTGAGGATGCAGAGATTGGAAACCTGCCACCATGGACGGCTAAGCTATCATCCAACCTCATCCCCCAGTATGCTCTGGCTGTTCTCCACTCCAACCTCTGGCCCGGAGCTCATGCCTTTGCCACAGGAAAGTAAGTATCATTTGTAGCTTTGCAAACAACATTTGAAGGTCACATGTCAAGCAATTCTGTCATCCTCAGAGCTGTGTATTTTGTTGAATGTGTCATTGAAGAAAATTTTGATCTGAAATTTGATATTAACACTAGTTTTTTAACGATTATTTTAGGATAAAACTCTCAGGATATTTCAGTTGGTCATGTTATACTAATTCTGTCATTACAGGAAGTTTGAGAATGTGTACCTTGGATTTGGCCACAAGTACAACCAGGACAACTACAGTCCACAGCCGACACCTGGTATCCAGGACGAGTTCCCCAGTGGCCCCGAAATCACAGAGGCTGAGGACCCAACAATCGAGGAAGAGAATGCTCTTAAACATGCACAACAAGAAGCTGCTGAGGCTGCTGAGGAGATGGAGGATGCCGAGGAAGAGGAAGATGAGGATGATTAGATGTCTTTGAGTGAATAGACATTTCATCAAATTATCATTGGACACATCAACATAACAAAAAATTGAATACTTGTTTCATTCCTTTTATAAGCTGTGATAACCAATCTATATTTTGAATACAGAGAATTTTGTTACCAACACATCTGTGGATATTTAGGTTTGGAAAAAAAGTGAAAGATTTGAAAAAGCTGCTGGTCCAACATTGAAGGCCTTACCTATGGAGGGTTAACTGTGCTGTAAATATAACTATCCATGGAGACTCTTTTGTCATGTATAGGTTGTGTATACTATTTATATCAGTTGCAATTTTTGCCATGTTCTCTCAAGGATGTGTGGTGGGTGTTAACGCCCACAGGCAATACTTCCTTTAAGTGCATGCTAATTTACATAATACTGTACAGAAGAATAAATATTATGATAGATTTAATTATTTGTCCTTGATCTCTGTTGTTTTTCTCAGTGTAGGTCACATAAATATAGGATCTTAAATGAGTTTTCATTTCATATGAGATTTTATGAAATGAGCCTTAGGAGTTTTTATATTTGCTAGCCTTGGCGAGCAAAAATTAAAACTTCGAGACGAGTTTCATAAAAGCTCAAATGAAATGAAAACAATTTAAGATACTTTTTATCACATAACTCAGAAAATTTACATTTTGACAGGTTTTAAAGCCAAAATGTAGAGGGCTTAATCAAACGGAGACAGCCATTTTGTTGCGCCATTCACAATTTATGACGTCAAGTCATTGTCCATATTATGACGTCACAATCAATTTCTGCCTGGCACAGCCAATGAAAAAGCCTCCAGGTTATATTACACTAGTGACTTATGTAAAAATATTACATGGGCGAATTCACCGGATAACTGCAGGCCGATTGTGTGATAAACATCAATTTGCCACATGCTGAGAAAAAAGTCAATATGACATTAAAACAATTCAGAGTATTTTTTTTATATACTAAGAGGTTTTGTGGCATGTTGATCACGTTAGACATTCATGATTCAGAGATTGGTTGGAGTTTTATTAACAGGTAGAACACTATGCCAATCAAACGGAAGAAAACAAGTGAACCAGTATATGGCATTGTTTTATTGTTTTATTTCTTTTCCAAACATTCCTGCCTGAAAAAGAGGGGCACTTGAGAAAGCATCCTAATCAGCATTGTTCAGAAACTTATGTACTGGTAGCACTGTGTACAGTAGCGTACAGTGGCCATGGGTGATATTTTTGTACAATGAATAACCCCTGTAATATTACATGTAGCAAAATAAATAAAAAAAAATAAAAAAATGGATTTGGTTTGCGAGTACAGTTCTTGCTATTATTACAAATCTGTGTCTTCACAACAAAAGCTAGCTTTTGAATAGTCTGTTTTTGTACTCAACACATGTGTAAATATTGTGAAAATTCCAACAGATAAAGCTATGCTAAAATGCGAGTACCGGTATCTGTTACTGAATGGTAGACATTTAGACTATGGGTGAGGGCCTAGTAACTTGTAAGAACTTGTGCCCAATCACTTCCACTATTCAGTGTCAATAAAATATGTTTGAATCAAATAGGTATTTAATTTAAGACAGGCGTTAAGAAAAATATCTTACTGCTGGGCGGTAACCATGATTTTCACATGTCAAAAATCTGGGGAAAACACTTCTTGAAAAAAAATCCATTTATACAAAACTAATATTTATACCATAGTTTATAAACATATATATATATAGGTGTGTTGTGCAGGATGATTCGTCTATCCATGTGTATCTCATAAATGCCCTTTATTTTTAGGATCAGGCCATTTCTAATATACACTGTTACCACTTTTACTCAACACACATTTTCCTTCCAGTCAAATACGCCATCAAAAGATTTTCCAGCATCAGGGTTAATATACAATCAAATTTTATACATGAAACTGGCGTCAATCACTGGCTCTGTTGGTAGAGTGTCTGTCTAGTGTTCGAAGGGTTTCAAGTTCAAATCCCAGTCTGGCCATCCATTTTTTCCTCTCCTGTGACATACACATTCTGCAAAAGCGGACAATCAAATCAAATTTTTGTCATGTTCATGTTGGTCGCTCCCGGTCAAAACACATCCTCAAATTTATCCCACAATTCTTTTCTAAATATTTGTCAGTAGTTTGATGTCACCAAGGCGATGGCAACATCAGTGATTGTGACGTCACCAAGGCGAAGGCAACATCAGTGATTGTGACGTCACTAAGGCGATGGCAACATCAGTGATTGTGACGTCACTAAGGCGATGGCAACATCAGTGATTGTGATGTCACCAAGGCAAAGGCGACATCAGTGATTGTGATGTCACCAAGGCGATGGCGACATCAGTGATTGTGATGTCACCAAGGCGATGGCAACATCAGTGATTGTGATGTCACCAAGATGATAGTGACATCAGTGACATATTTTGATTGTGATATAATTTAAGTCCACTACAGCTGTTGTACATTTCAGTTTACAAAATTGAACGAGTTCTGAATCAAAATAAGAAACTGTATACCAGAATATTTTTGCCCTTCGATGGTAAAATGCATATTCACCCAATGATAATTTCACCCTTTACATTAAATAACAATGTATATTATGTTGTTAGCTAATGTTCACTGTAATGATAAATTCACCCTCATTATGGAGGGCATATAAGACAACAAATAAACTGCAGCAAAAAAATCTCGGTACACAGTATGTAAACATTAAACTGCATTTTGTTTAGAGTTATAGTCCTATAATGCTGAACAGGATTGCAGACCAATCAAATCGTGTGTTCGTGTGGGATTAATATCAGTCTACAGCCCCTTTCAAAAGTATAGGACAATGACTGAATATAATTCAGTTTAATACTTATATTTATATTTTTTATTGATCTAGACAACTGGATTTCCTATTCTTGAAATATGAGGTAGAACGTCAATGAATGGAACAGCCAACATGTGGGTACATACTAGCTATCTCCAACGTTATGGTGATGACATAATAATTGTAATGATGTTGTGATGCTCCCTCCAGATTCATGGTCATGCCAGCTGCCATTGGTAGGTTTATATTGTGGCAGTGCAGAACGTAGGTAAATATTGTAGGTTTCTCAAATTTCTATATGTTTGTATGTCAAGTGTAGCAGAACTGTACTGGGTCTATTGCCAGCAAACCAGGGAGCTCCATTGGTGAGAGGGACTGTCCAGCATCTTCTAGATTCTAATCTCAGTCTGGTAATGCATTTTTCCTCTACTGTTACACAAGAAACAAGCCAAGACAATAAAATCTGTTTTATAGTTTTATTAACTAATATTTGTGGTTGTTGTATGTACAAGACTGTCTACCACACAGCAAGTTACCTCCCCTTGTACTCCCCCACAAACAGATGCAGATGTCAATTATAATGAAGTGAAAAATGTATGTAAACATAATGTAAAGAAATGAGCAATATAATGTATGATTATATTATCATTAAACCAAACTATGAATCAAAAAATAAATAAATACTTATGTACAAAATAAATGAATTATTCAACTAGAATATTTCTTGATCATACACTGTATGGGTAGTAAAATTATATCAACAAATCACAACCTCATTTCTTTTCCAAAATTTGATTAAAATAGAATATTTTATCTTAAGATTCTTTCTTATGTTAAGAACAATTACATATCAAATATAGAATACCACAAACTAAGCATGTTCACTAAAAACTTAGCATACAATATACTAATGCAGAATCTTCCACTGGACCAATCTAGCATTAAAATGCAAGTCATTTCCACAAGTGTATATAATGATTGTTACAGTAAACTGAATGTATCTTGATTTTTGGCAAAAGACCTTGTCAAATTACAAAAATACACTTACTTATTTTACAAAAACTTAAAGATATAGAGAGAAACGATCTTCTTACTGAAAACTTATAGCCCCTTTTTAATGGTAGGTACTTTTTCAATCAGTTATGAAAGCAGAGAGAAATTCCACTCTAAAGTTGTAGGTGATTTAGCCCTGTTTTGATAAGGGGAACAACTAGTACATAGAATTGTTTTTGTTTGTTTGTTCTAGTGAACTGTTACAAATACATGTACAAAAGGTATTGACATAAACATTGTATGTTAGGAAAAATCATATAAAACTTGATGAGATATTTAATTTTTGATTATTGCAGTACAATAAGTAAAAGCAAATATACATTGTCAGAGAAGGTGTTGATAAGTCGAGATAACTTAGTCACGGTAATCCTGTTGCCTTATTTGGCGATTAAGTATGTTGATACAAAAGCAATCATACTGTCAAACAGATTCTATTCTAAAACATAAAACTGAATTACTACTCTTCGTTTTGACATAATACATGTTTTAGATATAATCAAACCACAACATGTACACAAATCAAACTATTCTCACCGTGGATTGATAAGATACATCATGTGATTATGACATGGTAAAATCAAGTAAAACACAAACAAGATATCAAATAAAATCGTTTGCTCCAAATATAAATGTCTTATCTAATGTACAATCATTGCAAGATCTATATAACAGGATTTCAAAAATAGTAATAAAACAAATCGAAAATAAAACATTGACTAGAAAAACGAAACAATTTTGGTTTCCTTAATAATGTTCATGAATGCTGAATGTAGGTCTTTGCATAGTGATGAAAAATTACTAATACTGCAAAGATATAGATGTTCAAAATGGTCATCCACAATGCTAAATATATGCACCATGTTGTTGGCTGTTGGCTGTTGTCAGTCATCAGCAGTAAATCTCTCAACCCAACATATATTATTGCAGTTACCTCCCCTTATCTGTATGGCATGAAATTCATCGTAGAACTTTTTATAAAGCACTAAATATGGTAGCCAATAATGTCTTAAAAACAAGTCACACACAAACTCACACCTTTGTTTTGGTCATATTTTTACACACATTTGCCAGCTATCTATGAGCCTGGCAGACCTGTAAACATTAGTCCAGACCTCAATATTCACAGAGCCTGGCAGACCTGTAAACATTAATGCAGACCTCAATATTCACAGACAAGATTCTTGTTCTCCATTTTTTAATTCTACAAGTTAGTTACTGTACAAGATTGCGTTCCTTGCACTTCCTAAATGACTTTCATACATATGTGCCAGTAGTGTAGATGTAGATGTCTTGGATGAACAACACAGAAATGCGATGCATCCTTCACAGAATTTTTAGGATGTCACTGTGTTTACAAATATCTTTGGATACCTCCAAGATTTTAATACCTTGGTAAATGCTGGTTTAAATGAGGTCAACAGAAAAATTCATATGCAGAGCAGATGAATTTTATGGAGTCGCTGAAAAAGAGATTCTTGAGATTCTTAATGACCTACGAGGATTCCTCTTCGTGGTCACTCTCTACTGGGGGCTCTATACCCGTCCGCAGGGTCACCTGCACATTCCTGTTAATGCTGACTGTGGGGAAGAATACGCCGTGGAGGTTGGTGAAGGCGATTGGTCCGTGAGGTTCCTCGTCAACGTAGTAACTAAGCATGTGTTTGTCCAGGTCAAGTAAGATGCCAATCACACTGCCACATTTGATGCCACCCTCTGTTCGGTCATTGTGGCAATCCTGATGCATGAACCAGCTACGACTGTCGTCGATGTACATACCCCAACCTTTGTCATCCTTTCCTGAAACACAAAAACGGAACAGTGAAACATCAATATAGAAACAGCAATACCTGTCATCTTTCCCAGGAACTAATATCACACTAGTAAAATATCGAGTGGTGGCTGTCAAACATGGAACATCTACTTATATCACGACAGTAAAATATCGAGTGGGGGCTGTCAAACATGGGACATGAACTAATATCACACCATTAAAATATCGAGTGGTGACTGTCAAACATGGAACATGAACTAATATCACCCCATTAAAATATCGAGTGGTGGCTGGCAAACATGGGACATGAACTAATATCACACCATTAAAATATCGAGTGGGGGCTGTCAAACATGGGACATGAACTAATATCACACCATTAAAATATCGAGTGGCGGCTGTCAAACATGGGACATGAACTTATATGACGACAGTAAAAGATCGAGTGGTGGCTGTCAAACACTGAACATGAACTAATATCACACCAGTAAAATATTGAGAGGTGGCTGTCAAACATGGCATGTTCTGGGTTTCTATTCTTTAACAGCTTTCTTCATGGAAATTTTAAATAAGTAATTTACCAAGGTAGTTAACATGAAATTAACAATACTTTTTCACAGTGCTAGTTACAAGTATAAATAGGGATTATTTCTAGTTCAGTTAAACTAGATTGAGTAGTTTGCCTTCAGTACACCCTTCTATCCTTTCCTGAAACACAAAAACGGAACAGTGAAACATCAATATAGAAACAGCAATCCCTGTCATCTTTCCCAGGAACTAATATCGCACTAGTAAAATATCGAGTGGTGGCTGTCAGACATGGAACATGAACTTATATCACGACAGTAAAATATCGAGTGGGGGCTGTCAAACATTGAACATGAACTAATATCACACCAGTAAAATATCGAGTGGAGGCTGTCAAACATTGAACATGAACTAATATCACCCCAGTAAAATATCGAGTGGTGGCTGGCAAACATGGGACATGAACTAATATCACACCAGTAAAATATTGAGAGGTGGCTGTCAAACATGGCATGTTCTGGGTTTCTATTCTTTAACAGGTTTCTACAAGGAAATTTTAAATAAGTAATTTACCAAGGTAGTTAACATGAAATTAACAATACTTTTTCACAATGCTAGTTACAAGTATAAATAGGGATTATTTCTAGTTCAGTTAAACTAGATTGAGTAGTTTGCCTTCAGTACACCCTTCTATCCTTTCCTGAAACACAAAAACGGAACAGTGAAACATCAATATAGAAACAGCAATACCTGTCATCTTTCCCAGGAACTAATATCGCACTAGTAAAATATCGAGTGGTGGCTGTCAAACCTGGAACATGAACTAATATCACACCATTAAAATATCGAGTGGCGGCTGTCAAACATGGGACATGAACTTATATGACGACAGTAAAAGATCGAGTGGTGGCTGTCAAACACTGAACATGAACTAATATCACACCAGTAAAATCTTGAGTAGTGGCTGTCAAACATGGAACATGAACTAATATAACACCATTAAAATATCGAGTGGCGGCTGTCAAACATGGGACATGAACTAATATCACACCAGTAAAATCTTGAGTAGTGGCTGTCAAACATGGAACATGAACTAATATAACACCATTAAAATATCGAGTGGCGGCTGTCAAACATGGGACATGAACTAATATCACACCAGTAAAATATTGAGTGGTGGCTGTCAAACATGGCATGTTCTGGGTTTCTATTCTTTAACAGGTTTCTACATGGAAATTTTAAATAAGTAATTTACCAAGGTAGTTAACATGAAATTAACAATACTTTTTCACAGTGCTAGTTACAAGTATAAATAGGGATTATTTCTAGTTCAGTTAAACTAGATTGAGTAGTTTGACTTCAGTACACCCTTCTATTCACTGTACAGAATTTACTTGACTCGACCAGTATTCTGTCTGATGTTATTACAGTACTTTTATTTGCCCAAGAAAACATACATGCATTCTATTTTTGAATCCATTCACTATGCAAATTGGATTCTTAGCAAGAAAGGAAGCTGAATGAACTGAAGTTATTTTAGCATAAAAAAAAAATTCAACACAATAACCCCAAATGGTCTCCAACATAATCCACTCCTGAATGTATAGCTAATGGAGGTGACAATCATGATATTCCAATATCGCACCAATTCAATTCATAACAATTTTATTACAGATAGTGAACAAACATGCTATACTGCCCGATTACATCACAAAAGCCCAGGAATAAGAGTGTTCTACAAACTCCCTTTGTGGCACGGCCTGATTTAAAGCCAGCAGTTTTCTGGATTAGTGCAGTGATGTAGAATGATGTTAATATCACATTGATTACACAGTAAACATTGATCTTTAATGTACATATAATCCAAATGTAATTACAGCGGGTATTGTTTAAGTTTTCAAAACCCAACAAAAAGGCACTCCAGTTAATTAGATTTTGTGCTGAGAGAAGAGTCTGCTCAGACCAGATGTGGCTCCACACTCCAGAGCTTCCCGACATGGTCAATTTAAATAGCATTACTTATCTATACATTTGTAGTCAGATCTCCACAGATAAGTTTTAGGAATTGAAATAAATTCAGGGAAGTTAGAAATAAGTAGACCTGCTAATGAAAACAGAATGGCTCGGTCCAATGTATTGGTTAATGAATGCCATACAAATACCTGGCCTGTATAGCAATACTCTGGCCCTAGGTAGCTTTTATTCACCAGACATCTCTAGTCATTGGAGACAATTAGCCGGTAATCACTGTTACTAAATTCCTGCCCCGCCACCATCCATACATTATAATCCAGCTTAATAAAGTCTGGGGTTTCATATGTTTTTAATAGAATGTTGGCTATCATAGGACCAGAGTTAGTCAGAAGAAATGTAAGACATGACAAATCTCATTATGGATTCTGCCAACAGCGATCAGGACAGAATGCTGGGTATGACATGTACATATCTCTCCACATTTTTTATGGACATGCACCTCAATTTACAAATTTTGTATAATAAATAAAAAATATTACTTAATGTAAAAATTTATACAAATATTTGCCCCAACATCAAATCATAGGAAGGCTTATTATTTAATATTTAGAATGAAATAATGAAACGATCACCCTACAGGGGGTATAATGTTTTGGAGGAGCACAGACATTAAAGTAGGAGCTTGTTATTGAGTGGAAGGAGCTATAAAACATGTGTTAGGAAATTCAACAATTGAGATATATTTACATGAATTCATGATTTTATTTGCTTCCCTTTATGGTTTTCCCATCCTCAAAAATAAATTCTTTTTCTAATCTTCTGAAGTATTTCGATACCCTGAATGAATTGATGCACCCATTGAACATGCCATCAAGTAAGATAAGCCACCTTGTAAGATATCGATGGAGAAGCTGTTTCCTGTGTGCCAGTCATAATGTGTTGTACGAAGCCAATCAAGGTCTTCTCGTTTACTGCACCTCATATTCAAAGGCAGCACCGATAATGTTCACTGACTGGAACACTTCTCCCTGAGGCAGGCTACATTCTGAAAGTGTTGTCACCTCTCCCTGAGACAGGCTATATTCTGACAGTGTTGTCACCTCTCCCTGAGACGGGCTAGATTCTGACAGTGCTATCTTGTCTCCCTGAAGCAGGCTACATTCTGACAGTGTTGTCACATCTCCCTGAGGCAGGCTACATTCTGACAGTGTTATCCTGTCTCCCTGAGGCAGGCAACATTCTGACAGTGTTGTCACCTCTCCCTGAGACAGGCTACATTCTGACAGTTTTGTCACCCCTCCCTGAGACAGGCTACATTCTGACAGTGTTGTCTCCTCTCCCTGAGACAGGCTACATTCTGACAGTGCTATCTTGTCTCCCTGAAGCAGGCTGCATTCTGACAGTGTTGGCACCGCTCCCTGAGACAGGCTACATTCTGACAGTGTTGTCTCCTCTCCCTGAGACAGGCTACATTCTGACAGGGTTGTCACCTCTCCCTGAGACAGGCTACATTCTGACAGTGGGATCCTGTCTCCCTGAGGCAAGCTACATTCTGACAGTGTTATCCAGTCTCCCTGAGGCAGGCTACATTATGACGGTGTTGTCACCTCTCCCTGAGACAGGCTAGATTCTTACAGTGTTATCCTGGCTCCCTGAGGCAGGCTAGATTCTGACAGTGTTATCCTGTCTCCTGACAGTGTTATCCTGTCTCCCTGAGGCAGGCAACATTCTGACAGTGTTGTCGCCTCTCCCTGAGACAGGCTACATTCTGACAGGGTTGTCACCTCTCCCTGAGACAGGCTACATTCTGACAGTGCTATCTTGTCTCCCTGAAGCAGGCTGCATTCTGACAGTGTTGGCACCGCTCCCTGAGACAGGCTACATTCTGACAGTGTTGTCTCCTCTCCCTGAGACAGGCTACATTCTGACAGTGGTATCCTGTCTCCCTGAGGCAAGCTACATTCTGACAGTGTTATCCAGTCTCCCTGAGGCAGGCTACATTATGACAGTGTTGTCACCTCTCCCTGAGACAGGCTACATTCTAACAGTGTTATCCTGTTTCCCTGCCTACATTCTGACAGTGGGATCATGTCTCCCTGAGGCATGTTATATTTGACAGTGGTATCTTGTCTCCATGAGGCAGGTTATTTTTGACCGGGTTTTCTTGTCTCCCTGGGGCAGGTTATATTTGACCGTGTTATCTTGTCTCCAGGAGGCAGGTTATTTTCTGACAGCGTTTTCTTGTCTCCCTGTGGCCGGTTATATTTGACAGGGTTATCTTGTCTCCCTAAGGCAGGTTATATTTTACAGTGGTATCTTGTCTCCATGAGGCAGGTTATTTTTGACAGTGTTATCTTGTCTCCCTGAGGCAGGTTATTTTCTGACAGTGTTTTCTTGTCTCCCTGAGGCAGGTTATATTTGACAGTGTTATCTTGTCTCCATGAGGCAGGTTATTTTCTGACAGTGTTTTCTTGTCTCCCTGTCGCTGTTTAAGTTCTATTACCCTCTCCAATGTCACAGAGTTAGTATGAACCCCACACAGTCAGAGTCAGAAGCCATAGAGGACACTCTTTATAAACTCAATTATATCCTAATTCATTGCAACTTTTACAGCACCGTTTTTTCTGGTACGTTTTTTCATCATAAAATAATGCCCTACACTCTGGATCAAACATCAAAGTACGGGTGATGATGGGAATGTGTGTAATTTGGCTGCATTGCGTCACTGTACTCTCTCACCAATCTGTCCCTCTTACAATGTATACATCCTAAAGATCTGGAGTAAACCACATTAAAATTTCCTAGGATAAAAATCTCCAGAAACTGCTTTTGGACATGTGGTATCCTTTGACATTTGCCTAACAGCCTACAGGAATTCATATACTTTTTTGTGCATTTATCTGCATTTGGATTTTTTTCAAATGTTAACATATCAGGATTCAGCGTAAGGTAATGGTAGGTAATGACAGGCATGTGAGGTAATGGTAGGTAATGACAGGCGTGTAAGGTAACGGTAGGTAATGACAGGCGTGTAAGGTAATGGTAGGTAATGACAGGCGTGTAAGGTAATGGTAGGTAATGACAGGCGTGTAAGGTAATGGTAGGTAATGACAGGCATGTAAGGTAATGGTAGGTAATGACAGGCGTGTAAGGTAACGGTAGGTAATGACAGGCGAGTAAGGTAACGGTAGGTAATGACAGGCGTGTAAGGTAACGGTAGGTAATGACAGGCATGTAAGGTAAAGGTAGGTAATGATAGGCGTTTAAGGTAATGGTAGGTAATGACAGGCGTGTAAGGTAATGGTAGGTAATGACAGGCGTGTAAGGTAATGGTAGGTAATGACAGGCGTGTAAGGTAATGGTAGGTAATGACAGGCATGTAAGGTAATGGTAGGTAATGACAGGCATGTAAGGTAACGGTAGGTAATGACAGGCTAGTAAGGTAATGGTAGGTAATGACAGGCAGTAGGAAAGTTCTATGGCTTCACTTCCATCACTGGTAACACCAAGATTACCATCAACATCTGACAAATCTAGATATACACATTCCAGAAAAAAGTACTAGTCTGATCAACGACAAATAGTCTAAATAAGATGTTTGTGTTATCAAATCCTGATACAGAAGTTAGTGTCAAGGTGGACAGTAATTAGGCCTACATAGCATGGACCATGTTACACGTCACACTTCCTATCTGTCTTCCCTCACTGACTTTGAAATTGTTTGCATTTATACTAGTTAAAGTTACAGGTAAAAATAAATTGGATTTTAAGAAAATTAGTTGATAGATTTTAAACTTTTTATTACATTATCGTTTACTTAATTGAAACTTCAAAAATTGGGATTTGAAAGTGTATATAACCCTATTGAGTTGTAATTGTTTGAAAGTGTTGGCTGATTACAGCAATAGGATATGATGGCTAATTGGTAATTGATAATGAATGCCTCCAAAGTAATGTAGTGTTGCAATTATTCTAACAAACACACTGCTATCATTGGTCCCTGTAGGTGGTTTTCCCACTTGGTTAAATGTGAGTCTCCAAAGGATGCCTTCATTTAGAATTGTTTTTTATTAGATTTCAGAACCTGGAATGAGCCTCGTTAAAACCATGTGTTGGTTTGTATGACGATAATGAGTTCATGGTAACACTGACTTAGTTAACACAGTAGTCATGTTTCTACTTTACATCAGCTTCTGAACATTTCAGAACAATTACAAATAGGAATGAAGGAAGCTCTGTGTAACTGATATGAGGTCAACAAGTGCATGTCTCACAACCTTGCACCCCTAAATTCAGCAAATATGTCAGACTTCAGATTGATCTAGCCCGTTCTATTACTGATAGAAGGTTTTCTGCAGTAAAAGCTTCCTTTATGATAACTACGAGGTAATGAAGGTTATTATTGCCACTGTAACTGATTAACTCCTCCAGTTACAGAATTCATGAATAATTCATAGTGAAGGTCGAAGTGAGCAGTGCTTGCAAGTTAACTTTGTCCCCAGATGTCTATTTCTAATGTCTCAGCCTCTCTCATAGGACCCTTGGGGAACAATGAGATCATCAAACTGTTGCTTTCAAAGTTCACCTAAACTTTTCAATGGCTTTTAGCCAATTTGAAGCTATTTAAGGAAAGTTTCAGAAATACTGGTACCTTGGAAAATCCAGAAAGACAATAATCATTTTTTTTTTTTTAGATTGCAACATATGATCTAGTTCTGATCATCACCTTTAGTTTGTTAAAAATTCTCAGGTTTTATTGATGAATTGTTTCAAAGACTTTTAGATAATGACAATCGGTAGCCATTGTGTAATAAACATACCTAGCATCATTGTTTTGTCAATGTCAAATCGTGCAATGCCAACAGCTGGATCTGTGTGGTTGTCATAGCGATCAATGACAATCTCCCAATAGTGGACACCCTTTGAAAATCCAGTGCTTCCAAGGATGACACGATGGTCAAAACTGTTACAAGTGGCGGTCAAGTTCTTGTTGGAGAAGATGATGTCTTGATGGGACGCTGAAGGGTCAAACTGGAACCAGGCAACTACAAAACACCAAAACAGTGGTACATCATGTTTCTGTGAACAAAGCATTTCAAACAATGCAATTAATAGTTTGATGTACCTCAAGATAAAAAAGACCTCTAAAGATGAATCCTGACCAGCATACATAAACAATATTAACTGTTCGATGACAGTAGACTGATCAGGTTCACTTGTATGGGATATATATCTCAGTTGTAGATACATCACCTACATCGTGTATCATACAATCACTATTACATCGTGATAATAACTTATCAGAGTAATGTAGTTGAGTGGTGAGGAATCCAAGGGAGATAATTGTAAGCATTTATAACATACTCAGAGGGAATCAAGGGAGGTAAATGTAGGCATATATCACATACTCAGGGGGAATCCAAGGGAGATAATTGTAGGCATTTATAACATACTCAGGGGGATTCCAATGGAGATAATTGTAGGCATTTATAACATACTCAAGGGGAATCCAAGGGAGATAATTGCAAGTTATATTTGGCAAGATATTCATCAGTTTGGTATTATAAATATATGCTAAATTGTGAGCTTTTGTCTGATTGTTGTTATTTTAACAGTTGACTACACTGACTCAGCACTTGGTTTCATAACAATTCCTATGTAAACACTGGTCATTTACACTCTTAGCTTGACAAAAGAATAATGTGTTTACAAATACACATTTAAGTTAATAATGTTTGTGTACAAAACCAACTAAGACAATACTTTATATTCATCTGTGTGACAGACATGTACTGTAAGGGTGAGATTTGTCAATGTAGTCTGTGGACACAGCAGACATAAAAAGGACAATGTCACAGGACAATGTCCAGACAGCAAGCTATCCATTATATAATATGTCGTCGACACATCTGGTATAACCATGGATCCATTTTGCTGAGTGTAAAGTACAGAAAAGTGAAAAATGATTCAAATTGACACCTACATTATAGTTTCTAATCCGTTTTTTGCTCCCTTTATATTACCATATGCGGGTAAATTTTCACTACTTTTGAACGTAAACCTTTTTCGACTTATAACAACAGCGATTAATTGTACACCACATACCATGCATACTCCAAAGTTTTAAATTTGTAAAACACTGTCAATGGTCATCACTAAATTTTCATCTGAAAAGCAACAAATTCAAAGGGAATATGTATTGTGATTTTGTTTGCAGGTGACCAATATAGTAAAAGTATCATGAAAGATAAATGCTATACGTATACTTAGCACACCTCCATCCTGGACACTAGGTAGTGTAGGGTTGTGTAACTTACTACTGATACAGTCAGACATCCTGGATACTAGGTAGTGTAGGGTTGTGTAACTTACTTCTGATACAGTCGGACATCCTTGACACTAGGTAGTGTAGGGTTGTGTAACTTACTACTAGTACATACAGACATCCTGGACACTAGGTAGTGTAGGGTTGTGTAACTTACTCCTAGTACAGTCAGACATCCTGGACACTAGGTAGTGTAGGGTTGTTTAACTTACTACTGATACAGTCGGACATCCTGGAAACTAGGTAGTGTAGGGTTGTGTAACTTACTACTTATACAGTCAGACATCCTGGACACTAGGTAGCGTAGGGTTGTGTAACTTCCTCCTAGTACAGTCAGACATCCTGGACACTAGGTAGTGTAGGGTTGTTTAACTTACTACTGATACAGTCGGACATCCTGGACACTTGGTAGTGTAGGGTTGTGTAACTTACTACTAGTACAGTCAGACATTATATTGACATGACTTACAACAGGTTTATGTACCAAGTTTATTATATGTCAAATGATACACCGGGTGTGTGGACTGACATAGACAGTAGCGCCCTTTTAAGTCCACAGAACTCACAGCCAAGTCAGATCTATCTTCTATAGCCTGCTACCCTGTAATCTTGTCTAGAACCTAGCCAAGGAGGAGGGGTTCACCTGAAGTAATAGGAAGGGGATGGGACATGGAAAGTTGATATCTGATACTGCTGGCCCTCCCTAAACCTTGTCAGGGATGCACCAATTTAAATGTGGAGGGAAAGTCTCTGTACAGCTGATTACTGGGCAAGTATATCATTCAATACAGTCTTTCTTGTTGTGACCCCTACAGTATGATGTCACATCCCCTACTTTGTGGCGATGACAACCACACAAAGTGGCAAGATGCCCATCTTGTCAGTAGGGGGGGAAAATGTTCTGCTACCGTGAGAATGTTGCCCAAATTTATACTTGCGAATTCTCCCGATTTTGGACCCTAAAATTGAGCATTTTGCTAAACTATTCCTATAATCTAACATCTGATGATTTCAGCTGAAAGAACAGCTCAAAAGGTGCAATTAAAAAGTGTTGTTTTTCGCTAGAGTGAACATACACACGTTTTATTAATGTTTTTAATTCTGAGCACGCATAATCTCCCCAATGGAAATTTCAGAAAGTTGGCAAGTATGCAAATGATTAGTTGCAATTATCGTTGGCAGGAAAATGAACTTCTATGATTTATTTAAATGACAACAGATATATTATAAACAATGTCCTGCAATCTTTCTGAACATTGCATCATTGTTAATCTTCAAAGTTATCATTTAATTATAGAATACCAAGTCTATAACAATTACTGGTATACTGGAATATAACTTTACAGCAGTCTGTATATTTGGGTATACCATATCTGTTTGTCACTACAGTAAAACTTTGATGTAATGCCCCTCATTCCATTTGCCACCTTATTTACTGCCAACATATTTCAACCCCTTTATTTCTCTCTTATTCTTTAGAATTCCTTTGTACATTTCCCTCCATTATCACCAGATCCTTTTTAATACCAAAATCTCTCAAATGGTGGCAGTATAAGGACGTTAGACTGTAGTTTAACTCGGCTATTAGATGTGTCCACTGTCTCTAGGAATGGTGCCGACTAGTTAATTATCAATGTTTGACTAAATGAAGAAGACATGTAATATAATGAATGTCCCCATACATAACCATGCAAAAATTAATTTGAAACATTCGTAACTACATTTAGTGCCACTTGCAGGTTTTTATCCTGTATAAGTGATACATTTGCGACAATTTGTCAGGAGTGTAAATTGGTATAAAGCCTGTCCTGCTGAGCATAATGGATCACCGTGACAGGCCTGGAAATGAGGAGGGACCTATCCCAGGAACAATGCCTCATCTAGTGGCCTACAAAGTCATCAGCACTAACTACAATGCATGCTGGGTAGGATCTCTCCTCCATTCACTCAGTTTCATCCATCAATGTCAGGGGTTCAAAGGTCATGAAACTTTTGGTTGTTATTTATTATGCATGGAAACACATTCAGAGCAAGTAAAAGTGACAGAATCTTATGATGCATTTCTTATTAACATGGACTATACAGACTTTTTATCTGCTTTGTGATTGAATTTCCAAGATGTACACATGGTTTTGTATACTTAGATCATCTTGCAAAAAACACTGTGACTCAGAATGTAGGTGTTGCAAATCATTGATTAAATAGCGTAAAATGATTTAAGCTGTATGAAAGTCATTGAAAATAAATTGTGACTTACAACCAAAGCTGTGTGAAGGTCACAGAAGTCATTAATGAGCCTTCTTTATCATTAAAACTGTAAAGGTTATTTGTGCGAGCCATTTTGATTGCTTAAATCCATTTAGATGCATTTTACCATTTTTAATGAAACACCATCTCAGGGAATTGACATTAAGGCGTGTGATATTAAGTTACTCTGTTGAGATGGTTGTCAAAAACCTGTGTGTATAATGGGTACGTAGCGATGGAGTAAAACATGCACAACACTCATTAGTACCACAGATTCTCAATCAAATCTTCGGACAGAGAAATGTTAATTTATAAGACAAATAGTGACTGGAGGGATAAAAGTAAAACAGATAGTAAATTTAGGTTTTTCTTAACTATAATCTAATAGAATTCAGACAGAAGTACATGTTTTCATTAATAAATATGTTAATTACTTGTTAAAATTAATCAACTACCAAACAAATCAAATTATCAGCTAATGGTACACTGTTTGGCTAATTAAGCTGATTTCCCATTGGTAGGAGTTCACAGGTCACCAGTACCCTGATGTTATCACAGTGATTGTATCTGGGTAAAACACAATGTCTGGTGCAGGATTTATATCATACGAACACAATGTCTGGTGAGGGATTCACGTCAAAACCTCTAACACCTCCATAATATGGGGGGTGTAAATGGACAATACAGAGAATGGACATCCCTGGTCAGTGACATAAACCAGTAGACTTGTATAGGTCAGGGGAACAAGTTCAGGGTCAGTAGAAAGGATTTCCATCTCTCTGATTGGCTATGTTTTAATTTGTGAGAAGGTCAGGCTTTTAATCTGATAAAAAAGTATATAAGAATTGACGATACCTTCTGCCGTCTGTAGACTGATTGGTTCGCTGTAGTCACTGTCACCGGCATGGTTGCCAGCCTTTACACGAGCAAAGTATGTACTGTTGAAGTGGAGACCGTCCACGGTGCAGATTGTCTCTCTTCCAACATACACCACCTACAAACAGGAAGTTGTAACATTGACAACCAAGTTGTTATTATACAGTAAAACACCATCATGTCAAACTTAGTTGTAGACCCAAACTCAAACGCAGATTTATGTGTATCAACGTGAGTTTTACTAACTTCTTAATGTCAGTTTTATGTTTTAAGCATGATCAGCTGATAAGGAAACAGGCTGAAAAAAATCCACCCTTCCCCCTCAATTTAAAGTCTGAGGAACATCAATGCTGTAATTTAACTTCTTCTTTAACAAAACAAACTTGTAATCTCTCCACAGACAAGTAACAATTCTGGTTCTCAACATGTCACTGTACATGCTTTACATGTCCGACACGTTGCTGTATTTCAGGGAAATATTGGTGCTGGAATTTAGATTGATAACAAAACAAACCACTAAAAGCTTTAACTCAAAATCTGCAAGAACTGTGCAGCAGACCACTTTCTGTACAATGTGCATGATATCTGCATGGAAAACAAGATTTTCTTCTTGTATGAGACTTGAGGCACACATTATGTGGCTAGCATTTTGATCAAAAAGACAGATGTGACATCATAGAAAAGTCTTAACTAAAAGATAACTGTCATTTGGACATTTGCAAAAGTTTTTAGCAAGCAAGATATTTCTTACAATTTCTAAGTAAATGAAATATTTAACATTGTAAGTCTTTATTAACAAGATAGCTTTAACATAGAAAGTCTTAATCAACAAGATTCTTTAACATAGAAAGTCTTAATCAACAAGATGCTTTAACATAGAAGGTCTTCATCAACAAGATGCTTTAACATAGAAAATTCTTAACAAAAAGATAACTGTGATATGGAAATTTATAAAAAGTATTTAGTAAGCAAGATGATGACAATATCACTGTGACATAAAATGTTGAAACTCTTAATCAACAAGCATAACCGTAACGTAGAAACATCTTAATAAACGAGATATTTTTAGCATAGAAAAATGTCCTTACTGATTGCAGTTATTAAACTATCATTTATTATCTTTCTATTCATTTAACATTCACCATAGATTATCTTTCTTGTTATGTGCTCAAATCTTAATAAAAATTGATGTAAAATTCAACCTCATATTATACCATATATAGGAGAGGATGAACACAATAAAAAAATCTATCTTTGAATTGACACATGGGATTCCATTAATTAGTTATCTAGACCTTCCTTATATCACTGTTCCAGGCATATATAGCACTGTAAGCAGCTGTATCCATTGTAAACTAAGATGGCAGGGATGTAGAGCCAGAGAGTGGTAATGTGGGGGCATTGTGGCTGGGTAGAGGTCACAGACAATGGTGGCTTCCTGTTCACCGTCTGTGGATATATCTCAACACCGTCTGTGGATATATCTCAATGGATTTTGATATTGATAAACAGAACCAGTACATCAGCCAGAAGAACAATGAAATGTAATTGGGATATTATCTCATGGCGTGTTTATTAACTTTTGCATCAGACTCTGCCCTTCCATTACAGAGATTCACCAGTTTGACCAAGCAGGAAATTAAGGGCGGTCAACTCCAGCAGTGTTTCGTTACAGGCTACATCTGTCAGGATTGGTCAGAAAAGGTAATGGAGCAAACAATTCTTCCTTGTTCAATATCTAAATCTGTACTGTCTTCAATTATAACAGACATGCAAGAGGAAGCCTGTAATGATGAGAAGCAGTGTATCCCATTATAGACACGGATCAGTCAGACTGGTCTGAACATGTAATGGAGCAAGACAAACCTACTGGCCTCAGTGACACCAAACACAGTGTGGTCCTCCCATTATAGATCTGTACCTTGGTATATACCCCCTCCTCCTATTATAGATCTGTCCCTTGGTATATACCCCTCCTCCCATTATAGATCTGAACCTTGGTATATACCCCCACCTCCCATTACAGATCTGTCCCAGTCCAACAGGATCCCACATTAGTATATACCCCCACCTCCCATTATAGATCTGGACCAGTCTAACAGGATCACACATTAGGATATACCCCCACCTCCCATTATAGATCTGGACCAGTCTAACAGGATCACACATTAGGATATACCCCCACCTCCCATTATAGATCTGGACCAGTCTAACAGGATCACACATTAGGATATACCCCCACCTCCCATTATAGATCTGGACCAGTCTAACAGGATCACACATTAGGATATACCCCCACCTCCCATTATAGATCTGAACCTTGGTATATACCCCCACCTCCCATTATAGATCTGGACCAGTCTAACAGGATCACACATTAGGATATACCCCCACCTCCCATTATAGATCTGAACCTTGGTATATACCCCCACCTCCCATTATAGATGTGTACCTTGGTATATACCCCCTCCTCCTATTATAGATCTGTCCCTTGGTATATACCCCTCCTCCCATTATAGAACTGTACCTTGGTATATACCCCTCCTCCCATTATAGATCTGAACCTTGGTATATACCCCCACCTCCCATTACAGATCTGTCCCAGTCCAACAGGATCCCACATTAGTATATACCCCCACCTCCCATTATAGATGTGTACCTTGGTATATACCCCCTCCTCCAATTATAGATCTGTACCTTGGTATATACCCCAACCTCCCATTATAGATCTGTACCAGTCTAACAGGATCACACATCGGTATACCAGGTATCTCCTTCCAGAATGGTTGTATGTTGAGTTATGAAGACAATGTTGGTCAGTACAATGGGGACAGAACACAAGGGCAGTGTGACACAACAACAGGTCAGCATGACACCACTTTACTGACAATTACCTCCTCCCATTATAGATCTGTACCTTTGTATATACCCCCACCTCCCATTATAGATCTGGACCAGTCTAACAGGATCACACATTAGGATATACCCCCACCTCCCATTATAGATCTGTCCCTCGGTATATACCCCTCCTCCCATTATAGAACTGTACCTTGGTATATACCCCCTCCTCCAATTATAGATCTGTACCTTGGTATATACTACCTCCTCCCATTATAGATCTGTACCTTTGTATATACCCCCACCTCCCATTATAGATGTGTACCTTGGTATATACCCCCTCCTCCAATTATAGATCTGTACCTTGGTATATACTACCTCCTCCCATTATAGATCTGTACCTTTGTATATACCCCCACCTCCCATTATAGATATGTACCTTGGTATATACCCCCACCTCCCATTATAGATCTGTCCCTCGGTATATACCCCTCCTCCCATTATAGAGCTGTACCTTGGGATATACACCCTCGTCCCATTATAGATCTGTACCTTGGTATCTACCCCCTCTTCCCATTATAGATCTGTACCTTGGTATCTACCCCCTCTTCCCATTATAGATCTGTACCTTGGTATCTACCCCCTCTTCCCATTATAGATCTGTACCTTGGTATATTCCCCCTCCTCCCATTATAGATCTGTACCTTGCTATATACCCCCTCTTCCCATTATAGATCTGTACCTTGGTATATTCCCCCTCCTCCCATTATAGATCTGTACCTTGCTATATACCCCCTCTTCCCATTATAGATCTGTACCTTGGTATCTACCCCCTCTTCCCATTATAGATCTGTACCTTGGTATATCCCCCTCCTCCCATTATAGATCTGTCCCTTGGTATATACCCCCTCCTCCCATTTTAGATCTGTACCTTGGTATATACCCCCTGCTCCCATTATAGATCTGTACCTTGGTATCTACCCCCTCTTCCCATTATAGATCTGTACCTTGGTATCTACCCCCTCTTCCCATTATAGATCTGTACCTTGGTATCTACCCCCTCTTCCCATTATAGATCTGTACCTTGGTATCTACCCCCTCTTCCCATTATAGATCTGTACCTTGGTATATCCCCCTCCTCCCATTATAGATCTGTCCCTTGGTATATACCCCTCCTCCCATTATAGAACTGTACCTTGGTATATACCCCCTCCTCCCGTTATAGATCTGTACCTTGGTATATACCACCACCTCCCATTATAGATCTGTACCAGGCTAACAGGATCACACATTAGTATATACCCCCTCCTCCCATTATAGATCTGTCCCTTGGTATATACCCCTCCTCCCATTATAGAACTGTACCTTGGTATATACCCCCTCCTCCTATTATAGATCTGTCCCTTGGTATATACCCCCTCCTCCCATTTTAGATCTGTACCTTGGTATATACCCCCACCTCCCATTATAGATGTGTACCTTGGTATATACCCCCTCCTCCTATTATAGATCTGTCCCTTGGTATATACCCCCACCTCCCATTACAGATCTGTCCCAGTCCAACAGGATCCCACATTAGTATATACCCCCACCTCCCATTATAGATATGTACCTTGGTATATACCCCCACCTCCCATTATAGATCTGTACCAGTACAACAGTATCACACATTGGTATACCAGGTATCTCCTTCCAGAATGATTGTATGTTGAGTTATGAAGACAATGTTGGTCAGTACAATGGGGACAGAACACAAGGTCAGTGTGACACAACAACAGGTCAGCATGACACCACTTTACTGACAATTACTTTATAATAGGAGACTTAATTCCAAGACTTAAAGGATGCAGTAGAGAGTTTCTTGGAATCCCATGTCACAAGGAATTGAAATCTCTCAAAGGTCAGCATGCTCTTGTTTCTGTCAGACATTCGACAGCAAAGAAAGGATCATAATCAGGTCATTATCAGGTTTGATACAGACTGAAAGACTCAGCAGGCATTGTGTTGCAACAGGTACAGACAGAGAGACTAAGCTTGTCATCAGGTGTTGTGTACAGATTCAACATATCATGTAAGACATATATGGTTTAAATGTTGTGTGGAGAAGACTATTAGACATCACTGTCAGGAAGTCAGTCTTTGGTGTACAAGTGTTTACGAGTTTGTGGTATTTCTATAGAGAAACACAGTCTATGTAGGTTTTGGTGCAAATCTCATTTAGCACAAACTATATATCTTTTGAATTTCCAAAAAGCATCTTTAAGTGCAAATCAGTTAGCTTAATTAAGTTCACTGCTCAATTTAGGAGTTCTAAAATGCCCATACCAGCACTTAATCTACAATGGTAGGGTTTTCAGGATTTGGATTTTGTAAGTTATGGCAGAGTATCACAGCAAGGCTAAAGTTGTCCATATGTCTTTTTCAAACTGATTAAAGTAAAACACACACTTGATTTGAAAAAGACAACTTCACTATCAGCAGCAAACCATTTAATCCTGAGCAATTTCTAAATTAATGAAGGAATCCTGTTAATTAAATTGTCAAGCCTAGAACATATTCAAGGCCGTCCCATTTTTTTGCATTCAACGACCAACTTAATAACACTGTCCACACACACAACGAGCATGTTGCTAGCTTAGCCAATATGGTTGGGCTCCAAGACAATCTTCTAGGAAAATTTGATGCACCATTCTCACAGAGAAATTCAATTGAACGACAAAGTCTGATCCAACCAATGTCATTATAGGGAACCGTGTGTAGATTAGTCTAACTAACAGCCAAATCTCATCATATTTTGCACTGTCTGCTGACAGGTTTTATCAAAATGTATGTAAGAGGTTATGGCTAATGGAGGGCACCGAAGTGAAAATGAATGTCTGATGGTTTTAAATGACAACAATGACAAACACCATCTTGTTACGTTGACAGCCTTCACTGTGTTTTGGGGGCGTTTCCCTCCAATTACATCAAGTTATCCTGCAGAATTCGGTTACAAAACTATTCCAATAATTTTAGCCTAGCTGCCTCATCTTGCTCAATGAGAAGGTAGATGGCACAAAAATAACCTGGGATTCATCTCCAATGTCAAGTCTGTGACCTTGGCAGCGACCAAGAGGCACTGCAGATTGCTAACACTTTCTTGGCGTCAAACACACCACCAGGGCACCAAAGCAAATGTGTAGTCGCCCCATATAAATGGAAATTCGCTACACACAAATGGAAAGCCAATAAATAAAAACATAGACAACAACATTATGTAACACTGCTGGATTTCCTATTGACAATATCTTTTTAAAGTTGAAACACTCCAATCCAAAAAAAGATTTGCAAACACAGACAATTCCATTAAATTGTTTTGGCTTTTCTGTAGTCCTTTAGCGATGTTAGATAGCAGCAGACAATCTCAATTTCACACCGACTTTAAAACAAACTTTAAAAGCATTAAAATTACTTCACATCTCAGAAGGCTTATACAAATGTATTCCATGTAGTAACTTACCGGGTTAATTGTTTTTACAAGCTGAAATTTACAGATATCTCAAATGAAGTACCACAATACTGTAGCTTATCCATCCAACCAGCATTAGAATACATATATTAAATAACAGCTACCTAATCAGTGCATTATTATATAGATCCAGACAAAGCTGGTATTATAGATTTCATTATACAATTTATCTTGTGTACAAATGACATATAGAAGAACCATTTTTAGTTGATGGGATGAGACCACAGCCGTTTGCCTGTCTAGCCAGGTACAGTATAGGTATTACTAAACTTGAACATACTACAGATACCCTTTAATCCCAGTCCACACAACTCACCAGTCACCAAGCAAAGACCACCCCACATCCACCCCACCAGTCTCCAAGCAAAGACCACCCCACATCCACCCCACCAGTCTCCAAGCAAAGACCACCCCACATCCACCCCACCAGTCACCAAGCAAAGTGCACCCCACATCCACCCCACCAGTCAAAGTACCCCCCACATCCACCCCACCAGTCAAAGTACACCCCACATCCCCCCCACCAGTCACCAAGCAAAGACCACCCCACCTCCACCCCCACCAGTCAAAGACCCCCCCACATCCACCCCACCAGTCAAAGTACACCCCACATCCACCCCACCCGTCAAAGTACACCCCACATCCACCCCACCAGGCAAAGTACACCCCACATCCACCCCACCAGTCACCAAGCGAAGACCACCCCACATCCACCCCACCAGTCAAAGACCACCCCACATCCCCCCCACCAGTCAAAGACCACCCCACCAGTCAAAAACCACCCCACATCCACCCCACCAGTCAAAGACCACCCCACATCCCCCCCACCAGTCACCAAGCAAAGTGCACCCCACATCCACCCCACCAGTCAAAGTACCCCCCACATCCACCCCACCAGTCAAAGTACACCCCACCTCCACCCCACCAGTCAAAGTACACCCCACATTCACCCCACCAGTCAAAGTACACCCCACCTCCACCCCACCAGTCAAAGTACACCCCACATCCCCCCCACCAGTCACCAAGCAAAGTGCACCCCACATCCACCCCACCAGTCAAAGTACCCCCCACATCCACCCCACCAGTCAAAGTACACCCCACATCCCCCCCACCAGTCACCAAGCAAAGTGCACCCCACATCCACCCCACCAGTCAAAGTACACCCCACCTCCACCCCACCAGTCAAAGTACACCCCACATCCACCCCACCAGTCACCAAGCAAAGTGCACCCCACACAAACCCCTACCAATGTTGTATGTACTGTACATATTATGTATTTGAAAGTCTCCCTATGTGAGTAAACCCACACCCCTTAAGCTGGACTTTCATAGTCAGGTTTCCTTCATTCTTTCAGTCATAACTCCTTAGCAACACTTGAACAACGTGACTAATTCCCCTCTGATGTCCCTCAATAACATACCCTGAAGTCTCTACAAATTCCCCCCTGGTGTCCCTCTATAACATACCCTGAGTCTCTACTAATTCCACAATCTGGTGTCCCTCTATAACATACTCTGAAGTCTCTACAAATTCCCCCCTGGTATCCCTCTATAACATACCATGAAGTCTCTACTAATCACCCCTGGTGTCCCTCAATAACATACCCTGAAGTCTCTACTAATCACCCCTGGTGTCCCTCTATAACATACCATGAAGTCTACTAATCACCCCTGGCGTCCCTCTATAACATACCCTGAAGTCTCCCCCATTGCCATCATCCAGTTCCAGGGAGTAGTTCTCTACAACATTGCCGATGTGTGGTTGCCAGGCGATGGTCACACTGTTGTTCTCTGCACTACAGCTCCCCGGGAGGATCATAGGTTTGTTTGGAGCTGAAAAACACATGTATCAATGGTGACATTACAATGGACACACAACAGTACACACCACCTCCTACTGTCAACTTGGCACTTGTTTATAATTCCAGTAATAATAACTCAATGATAAATAGTTTCAATCACTTTCCTATTAACTTCTGCTAGTGTTGATAATGAATTCCTTCCTCAAAATTACATGAGCTCAAAGAATTTCTGTTTCTTTCTGACATGAAAAATCTCTTTTTTTCTCCCTCCTATGATAATGGATAAACCCAGTCTGGGATTCTGTATTTTAGAAGATTTCATCAATTCTTCAGAAATGAACAGCTGTTGGAAACATTATATTTTATAGCAAAAACTGTTCCAGCTAAAAAACATTTTAATTATGGGAAATTTGATTTTGTTATTACAATGTCAAAAGCCCATACGAATTATACCTTTTCTGTATACTAAGATTGCTACAAAAATAAATATCTCTTTTACCCAATGGTCTAGTACAAATAACTCTTTATATTCTTGATATTTAAAAAAAAAAATCTAGGTTCCTGATAATTTGGCACAAAGAACCCTTCTATATTCCTGGCATTTTGGTACTAATAACCCTGATAATAACCCTGTTATTTTCCAAATAATTTTGGTACTAATAACCCTTCTAGGTTCCTGACAATTTAATACACACCTCACATGTTCATCATGATTCGGCATAAACCCTTCTAGGTTTCTGACAACTTGGTTCATGACCTCCATTTCTCCCACAATTTGGTACAAATAACCCTTCATTGTTCCGGACATTTTAGCAACTATCAACCCTTATAGGTTCTTAGTAATTCAGCACATATGACTTGACAATGTTCATGACAATTTGGACATTTTTGTAATGAGACAAAACATCACATGAAATGAAAATGTGCCTAGGAGGAGCTCCGCCATCATAAACAGACAGGGTACAGTAATTACACGTCCCTGACTGTTTGAAAGCCTCTACACTATCAATGTAAGATATGACAACCCTGACTAAAATAACGCCTGGAACTCTCCTGTCTTAAAGGACAGGATGTCTCAAGTACTTCATTATTACGGTCGTCATGACAATGAACAGCTTTCCAAAAATACTTGATTTACACACAATGGCTTAAAGCAAATAAAATAGATATTAACATTCCTAATTTGTGTCCTTAGATGCAGTTCTGATCAATTTACTTCTGGTATCATAAAACGTGTGATTAAACCCTTCAATTTAAGGTGCAGACACAACTTGCTGGTTGAGTGAAGCCAGAGAGTGGGGAAAAGCTGACAGGGTAACTCAAAGACTTTATGGCTTTCTATTAGCAATTAAAGGCATACCACAATGGCAAGCTGCTGGCAGGTGCAAACATTTAGAAGGAAACTATGATTTCTTTAAGGAAATAATGTAAAACATGTAGCACGTGCTTTTTTAAAATTGATAACAAAATGTGAATCGTTTCATGTCTCTAGGAGGATAACACCATAGATTCTATCATACGTAGGTAAACATCAAATCACAGCTCAGATTTATCACAGGTGCAACACCATTACTACTAAAGATTAGGCAACACTTTCTCCAGGAATGAAATTGGTGATCTTCAATACAACATGGTCTATGTACTCTGTATCTAAGTGTCTATGTACTCTGTATCTAAGTGATATAAAATACAGAACTTTGTTAGCTGAGCATGCCCGTGCATTGTTCGATCATCAAGTAATTGCAATACTGTGGTAATGTAACACTCCACATCTTCTATCAAGTCTGAACATTAAAAAAAAATACCAATATCTTGTTTAATATGTGTTTTCCATATTTTCTTGAAAAATTCTACATGCTTCATGCAAACAATGGAACACGGCTGCATGCATCACATATTTCATTTAATGAAATAATCTTACTGAATTTTCACTTTATTTAAAAAAAAAAAAAAAAAAGTTAGTACCAGGTTATCTTTGTATTTTTTTATAACACCAACAAATGGCTACAGAATTTTTAGGAGAAAAAGACCAATATTATAATACAGTTGTATGCAGTTCCTATTGTGTCCCTATCACTCGCTATCCTGCCGTCTGCTCTTTGCCTGGCTGAAGACGTCTCAAGCCTTTGAAGGTATGTAAATATTAATCAATGGAAGCCTATTTCCCACCAAAAATGGTTGAGTGTGACTTCAGTGATCACTCCTGTGGCCTTTTCCCCAATTTCCTCTTGTATCCTGATTGCTAGTAACCAAATTTGTAGTGTTTTCTCCGGGAGACAAAATGAATGCTTGTTCTGCAGTGTGTGGTGCTTGGTGGCGTTCTTTAGAGTTTGCTGACATTTGTATACAGGAGTTTCTGACAAATTGCTATGAGTAGATGATAGTGAATGAAGTGTTAGAAGTGTTGGAAGTGTTGGAAGGATCAGAGCGTTTAGCCAGGCACCAATGTAATGTTCACATACCCAGGGCCATACGCACTAACAACACTATAAGGAGAAGTGTTTTTTTAATTTCAAAATGTTTTGAAAATAAACCCCATATGTTTTCTTGAAATTTTGATTACTTTATCTGGATATTTACATCACTCTTAGTAAAACTAAAATAAATACATTGGATATTTACATCACTCTTAGTAAAACTAAAATAAATACATTGGATATTTACAACCCTCGGTAGTAAAATTATTTCATCTGGACATTTACATCACTCTGTAGTAAAATGATTTTATCCGGATATTTACATCACTCTGTAGTAAAACTAAAATAAATACATCGGATATTTACAACACTCGGTAGTAAAATTATTTTATCTGGACATTTACATCACTCTGTAGTAAAATGATTTTATCTGGATATTTACATCACTCTGTAGTAAAACTAAATTAAATACATTGGATATTTACATCACTCTGTAGTAAAACTAAAATAAATACATTGGATATTTACAACACTCGGTAGTAAAATTATTTTATCTGGACATTTACATCACTCTGTAGTAAAATGATTTTATCTGGATATTTACATCACTCTGTAGTAAAACTAAAATAAATACAAGTTTTCACCATTGACACCACTTCCTTAATTTTATGTCTTTTTTCCTTGTTAACCCAAAACATGTTACATATGGTCTCATAGTCTTTCAGAAAATGACAATATGCTTGAGATGCTCTGTACACTCAGCAACAGTAAGCCGCTGTGATGTCTGCTGAAGATTTTTTTTGTCTCAATAAAGCAAAGAAATCAATCAGAAAAGCAATAAAAGGCTAAAGTGTGTGTTCTGATCTACTAACACTTATAGACACAGCGGCGGTGATGAACAAGTGTTGGAAGCTTTAAATCTGCCTAGAAATAAGACTGTTTTATGTCCGTTACAAGTCAGCACCCGTGGCTCTGTAATTATAGTGCTGTACTCCTTTACCATATTGACTGTTAAAAGGAAGGACTTTTAAATAAGGAAGATTACTTTTAATGGTTTTTAATGGTATTCATTTACTTCCTGATTACACATGTATCTATATCACTACAATTCATTATGTTAAACTGATTATTTCCCCACTTTTGTTCTGACTTTCCTGTCCAGGGAATTACCTCCCCTATCAGTCATGTGTTAGTCAACATCCCTGCAGACTACCTCCCTCAGCAGTTTCAAATGGTGCAGACTAACTCCCTTGGCAATATACCTTAACCTCCTCAACAAGTACGACAGGAAACAAACCTGATCTCAGTAACTAGAAAAACTATGCTCCTCCAGCCCATATATATATATAACTCCTTTAAAGTTACATATATATTTACGCAACTACGTCATGGTTACACATTTAAATATATATTAAGCTACTTTTGCACAGACTCAGTAACAATACAATTACAACTATATAACTAACGTAATATCAAAATGCTCCTAATTAGTAGGACATCCACACAGCCGAGTGTAGTGATGGAGTGGTTTCCTGTAGGATACATTGACTTAGACTTACAGAAATCCCTGACCCTATGGTAACACAAGGTTAGGACCTAAAACTAAATCAGGTCATGTGATAAGGATCATGATTAGCTATTTGTGAACAATTGTACAGCATATAAAATTGTAAATAAGAAAATTAATGATCCATCTGGTCATCTTATTTAAAGACTTTGGTGAAACAAAAAATAAAAAAAATAAAAGTAAGTTGCTCTGTAGTTAATCTTGACATAAATATGGACAAAAGACAGCCAAGTGACATGACAACAGGTAAATAAACTAACAACCAGAGAAATGGTTTGGAGTCAGATCCAGAGGTCATAGGTAAAAAAAAGCAGAAAAACTAAACATACAAAAAGCCTGGAAGTTGGTGTGATTTACGAGGGGTTTAAAGACTTATACATCCCTCCACCTGACATAACCATTCTACCATTACTGACAGTAGGACCATAACTCATCAGCTCAACAGCCTTCACGCTAGACTCAACAGCCTTCACGCTAGACTCAACAGCCTTCACACAAGGCTAAAAGATACCTGTTACGGAGTCTTTTTATAGTCCGAACACATGTAGGAAAACGTTTACAACAAATAACTTTTATTATTTACCATGTTACAATGTTGATTAATTAATTCAAATAAAATCACAAAAATAGAAATTCTAGATATAACATATTATACATCAGTATCTCTTAAAATGCTCAACAGAGAATTACAATCTTGACTTTAATTATAGATAAAACAAGGTGAGCTGATGAGGTTATCAGACTTTGAATGAAATTAATGTTCACTGTAATAATACAAAATAAGAAAGGCACCGTGGATTCAGACCATGTGATCTATCAGTCCTGTCTTAATGTCAGCTGACAACACACAGGGTACGGAGTGATCGCCCAGTCCTGTCTTAATGTCAGCTGACAACACTCAGGGTATGGAGTGATCACCCAGTCCTGTCTCAATGTCAGCTGACAACACACAGGGTATGGAGCGATCACCCAGTCCTGTCTTAATGTCAGCTCACGACACACAGGGAATGGAGTGATCACCCTGTCCTAATATCAGCTGACAACACACAGGGGATGGAGTGATCACCCAGTCCTAATATCAGCTGACGACACACAGGGGATGGAGTGATCACCCAGTCCTAATATCAGCTGACGACACACAGGGTATGGAGTGATCACCCAATCCTAATGTAAGCTGACAACACACAGGGTATGGAGTGATCTCCCAGTCCTGTCTTAATGTCAGCTGACAACACTCAGGGTATGGAGTGATCACCCAGTCCTGTCTTAATGTCCGCTGACGACACACAGGGTATGGAGTGATCACCCAGTCCTGTCTTAATGTCAGCTGACAACACACAGGGTACGTAGTGATCACCGAGTCCTGTCTTAATGTCAGCTGACAACACACAGGGTATGGAGTGATCACCCAGTCCTGTCTTAATGTCAGCTGACGACACACAGGGTATGGAGTGATCACCCAGTCCTAATGTAAGCTGACAACACACAGGGTATGGAGTGATCACCCTGTCCTAATATCAGCTGACGACATACAGGGTATGGAGTGATCACCCAGTCCTAATATCAGCTGACGACACACAGAGAATAGAGTGATCACCCAGTCCTAATGTCAGCTGACGACACACAGAGTTAGTAGGGAAGCTTGACACAGGCAGCACATTCCTCATTTTATCAACATCAGGATAATTTGACTAATCTTGTATATTTTTAATAGTCTGTATTGACCCTTTCACCTGTAGATCCACAGTGGACTGTCCAGGTGATTGATATGGACATGTCCAATGAGACTTATAGGGTTACAACGGTCATACCAATCATCCTTTAGATCAATTATCTTCAGCAGGTCTAACAAATTATTATAGCTGATCGGAAATTCTGAGCAAGTTTCAGAATAAGCATAAGCCTTTCCCCATGTTTAATACGGACTCCCCTACAGGACATTACGACTGAAACAATGATCACACATATAATGAATGACAACAGTGGAAGTTTAACCAAAAGGAAAAAAATGAAATAAAAAGGCTTTTTTTTTTTACAACAAACATACATTTATGGCATTGCAGACAACACAGAATGAACACAAAAGGATGGCTAAAAACAATCAAACTAGAAACGTGTTTAAGAATAGTGTAAGCATGCCTAGAAATGACTTACCAACAACACCCTCTAATGACAGAACGAAAAACAAAGATGACACTGTAATGTGATTGTCAGATAATTCCACCAATATTATATTTCTGTGAAAATTTGTAAATCAAAAATTTAGATAAATTCTTCAAACACCAGCAATTGTGGTAAGCTGGCCTGATGCTACAACACTTTAAGTTTAAATCATCTCCCAATAGGACTTTTTGAAGTTGGTGATGCTTTCTGTTTTCTTTTGGTTTCTCTGGATTTCGGACTGATTGATAAGCCAATGATAATGTAAATAGACCTTATCAAAAATATTCTGATTTCAGACTTTAAAACTATAAAATTAAGTCCATTAATTGTCACATCGCTGTTAGTGAGAGGTTCTTTAGGTATCAATCTAATTAAAATTATATCTTCACATCGCTCCCGTTTACTGATATGTCGCGTTGAAGATCTAACAACATCCCGTAGAGGGTCATGTTCAGGCGACCTTTGCATTAACCAATCAGATGAGAGCTTACGCATTTCTGTAAGTGATGATGTAATGATTTCGGAACACACTTGCTATGATAAAAGACCGAGAGGTGTCAAATGAGCATCGAAAATGGCGGCGCCCATGACACCACGCCGTGTCTATCTACAAGACAACGTTTGTACAATTTGTGGATTTTGCTTTGAAATAAGAGAGACTTCCTCTTCTGGTGATGTTGTCGTTAAAAAGTTTAACAACCTGAAACTAAAATTAACCAATGACAGGCTTCGCAATATTCAAACTATCACTGGACCAGACGAAAAAGTGGATTTTGGGCTACGAGGTGTCTGCATTAAATGCTACAGGTCCTGCTTTCTGATTGGTTGAAAGAAAGAGTTATGTCGTGTTTTGATTGGCTTGTTATAAATACGATAATGCATTCATGTTGACCTCTGACGTGACCCTCTATGGGATGTTGTTAGATCTTCAACACGACATATCAGTAAACGGGAGCGATGTGAAGATATAATTTTAATTAGATTGTTTAGGTATTGGTCACCTACAGGAAGGATGGTCAAGCCACTGTGACAGTTTTTTTATGGGTGTTTGTTTCATTATATCTGAAGTAGTTGTACACATTTTCATGGGTGCCTGGTTCATACATCTTCACAAGTAACACACATTTTTGTGTGAGCGACTGGTACAAACTAGTTATAACATTTCCACAGTACTTATAATCATGATTAGACTGTACCCAGTGTATATTATTATACAATATATAATGGTCAGATAAAAACTTAACCTACTCTATCTTCTGTTCTATTGTCGGAGACATTTTCAGTGCCAGCAAATAATAACTATGGAAATATTAGGTAAACAGTACAGACGGCTATTACGCGTGTTATTCATGAGGTGAATGTACCATGCATTACAATCATCAGCCATCACTCCAGCCTCATTTCCATCCCTCCGCTAATGATGTTATGTCTTCTCATAGGAAACTAATTATCACATTGAGCCACTATTGAAAATTTTCGTTTTTTACGTTAATAGATTAACTAGACCATCACTGAATGAATCATCCTTCCATAAGACTGTGTCTATCAGCTTATAGACATCAATTAGTGGTGTAAATATTCACCACATAACTTACCAGGGAAAGGTGGACACTCGCTACAAGTGTTCATCTTATTACAGCTGTGTTTTATAAAGAGCCAAACACACACTAGCACTCAATGCCATGACAAAAAATTTCGTGTTATCTCTGCTTCATATAAATCTTAGTACAAAATGTTTGAAATGGAATTTGTTTTGCACAGAAAATACAGAAGTTATCTTGCATGGCTTCAAGTCCGATATAAAACCTTTTCTGAATATCAAATAACTTCTACCTGGAAGCAAATAAGAGATAAATAGACAAGCTCGGAAATGTCAACGACAATTTGACCTCAGAACATCCGGCTGCCCCAGACTATTCCTCCCAAATAAAGCTGGACCCAGAGGCAAGTTTGTTTATCATTAGTTAAGTAACTGTAGCACATATATAGCCGCCACTGGCAAAGATAGGTGATTATCTAAATTTAACAGGTACAATGGATTCAGGTAACATTCTGTTAAGTCGCTGCCTCCATCAAAAGACACTCTGATAATATCTTCTTCTGTTTCTTGAATATCATTAACTTACACATTAGATACAAAAGCTTTCTCTTATTAAAAGATAAAATGGCTACCTTTCATCTGGAAGAAGTTCATAGTTTGTATGGCATGTAGAACAGACTTGTTGTCCAGTGTGAGCTCAAACTCGGGAGAAATTCTAGGGACAAACTCCATTTCCTTGTTAAAGTTTTGGTCGGCGACAGACACCCTGCTCAGTAAGCCATTGGACACCTGAAATACACAATACAACCATACATTACTGACAGAAAGGATGTGTAGTGGGTTACTACATATAATGCATCTTTATGGACATCAGGGCTAAAATGTCTGTGGGCAACACCTACTGACAAGGATCAGGTGTTGGGTGTAGACATCACCATCAGCGACCACACTAATTATACACCATCAGATAATATGTAATTTCAAAATATAGAAATAAGTTTTTTCTCTCCTATGCATTGTCTGATTATCAACCTGACTCGAGGTTTGGCAGCAGCATCTGTTATAATTGTCCTTCAAATCGTTATTACGGAGTGATCGTGCCACTCAGATATGCCAGAAGGGTTAGAAATAACGATAATGATCTAAAAAAATAACTATGACAAGTTGAAATTGGTTTAATTTGAAAATGTCATGAACTGAAATTCAAACATAATTCAAAATTGATTCTAAAGCTAACATGAAGTAAAAACCACAATGTTTTTCAAAAATTGAGGAAAAATTATTTAAAACAAAATCAATTTCAGAATATTTTCTCTTTTGAACCTTTATTCCAGAGAAGTATTTCCACATCTTGACAGTTTTAATACTGCAGTGTATAGATTTAAAGTTGTATGGAAAAATGATTAAACAGGGATTTGATACCCGGGCAAGTAAAGCCATATTGATGGATCGCTTTACAAACCCCAATCGTACTGGTTATTAATAACACTAATACATCATAACAATGCAGGTTTCCGTTTATAGACGCAAATACCTCAACTTTTGTACCGAACAATTTATTGAATAAATCAAGCCTGAAAGCCTGACTGATGTGTGCCAGGAATTCATTAGTGAACCATTGTTTATGTTAATCAAACAAACCATCCCCTAACGTCTCACTGACAATTTGAATATTTTCATTGTAGTTCCCACGGGGTTTATATTGAAACAAATCTCAAGGCACAAGACAGCGATTCAATTCACAAAGGTGATGTAGAAAGAGAAAGTGTGCGATTGTTATGTTGGGGAGGCTGGGTGGATTATCCCATTGTTGTGGCCTATAACCATGACAGATGTCATGCAAATTGGCAACTGTAGTGGCACATTAGGGGGCATGTCTCCTTTAACACTCCTACACAAACTTCATATGGGAGAGCATATCCAGGGGAGGTAATGAGTGAGAGGTAAACCATTACTTTCATTAATCTATCACTGGACCAGAAAGTTGTATAACCAATCCATTCACTTACAGGCTAATTACCAAGGTTATCTCCCTTTACTGTATCGTGCAAAATCAGGGGTATGTTTACTTCTTGAGGCAATAACGCCTATCTCTTTTTAACTTGCATCATCATACACATTTACATACTCTTTTTACGAGTTAATACATTTTATGATATTCTTCACAACAATAGAAAAACTGCAATTTTCCTGAAAAGCTATTCATACAACTATACCATATTACCATACACAGTGATGGTATGATACACTGAATCACATTCCCTGATGATATAAACAATCACATGTAGACCTAGATTGTCCACTGGACACCCCATTATCAAATTACTGTGGTTAAACAGTCATGGACACATCACCATTTAAGTGTCGTCAGTCCTTACACTGGATGTACCCAGTCAGACTGACCAAAGGACATTGGTCAAACCTCATTTACATAATGACTTCTTATGTTCTAATAAGAACCTAACCTGGTGATCTACATATATTAACATAATATCGCATATAATGACCACACAATACAATCCACATATCTACCGACCTATTTCGTGGACTGGGATACCTTACAACTGGCCATGGTTATCTATAATAGTTGACAACACGGATAAGTTAATTAGTTTGGTACCAAACTGACCTTAATCCCCAAGGTCAGCTTCGCTCAGTACAGCTTGTTAAGATTCATACCTACACCAGTCATACTGACCATCAATGGTCAACCAGAGGTCATCTTGCATATCAATGAGTACTTGAGAGACAAGGTTAGAAACTACATAAAATATACATGACTAGACAATAGAACATTTCCCCCAGGACAACAAGGAGCTGTGGCCAGCCTCTGTAACGATAAAACACATTCATCTCAGTCCACCATAGACACAGTGCAATGATAGTCACCATGTTACGATCAATTACGTTGACTATTGCCACACAACCAATAAGAAAGTCGCAACGGGATGAGACTTGATCCGGTCAGGGGTCACTATAGACAGGTTTTATGGCACACCAATTGCTACTGAATGTCAAATCCAAATCAATGTTGGCATCCAAATCAATAGTCAACTGTTGATGTCGGACCCAATAGTTTGGAGAGCACCTTAGGTGTTTTGCAGGCTAAATATCTGATTTGATTTCCACACTTGCAGTCATACAAGCACTGAATCACATTTGTGTAATGATGGTTAAAATGCTCTCAGGGTAAATTGAAAAAGCATTGTAAAATACTAGACGAAAGGAACATTGTAAATCCTCCATTACAAGTTTTTGTTACAGCTACGAAAATTCATGCTACAAATAAAACTGCAGAGAGCATCATTATCTCAATTGTGATTTGAAAAGAAACTTTCTAGCCTCAGACCATACAGTTGATGACAATCTATGGTAAGTGTATCACATGAAGCTTTGTACCTATCAGTGTATATCTGTTATACACCTGTAGATATATAGATATATATTACACCTGTAGATATTGGTAGTACAGGTGAGGAGGGCCCTAGATGATACATATGGTACTCCAGCACTGTCTATTACAGGAAGTCTTTAGGCTATAACTTGTAACCCTGTGATATATTTTATGACCTATTTAGCGGAGATGTGATACGGTAGTAGTTATTTGCTGTACAGCATCCATCAACCATAGCTGTATAATGTGACAGAAACCATCTATTGATATATCCATCAAGGTAGCTATATATAGAAACGTAACTAAAATAAACCAGTCAAATTAGCAGGATACCAGTCGGATACAAGTCCGTGTCCACTGACCAATGCAGACTTGTGATATTTAAACTGTCTGATACATTGATACCTAATGAGTTATGGACTGTATACATTTACATCTATAGGTAATGCCTGTCTCACAGGGGCTATTCTGAATGAAACATCATTTACTAATTAAATAATGCAATTTCAAGGCAGACAAAATCCATATAGTTTTGTCGGTTCACATAAGATTATAACCCTATACGATTGATGTAGATACAGCTCTGTATATATACATCAGAGTGAAGCTAGAAAAAAATCCTAATAGTTCTGAAAACCATAAAGTCATCACCAACCAACCAATCCGACAAACCTTCACTATAAAATTGTTACCACCTAACCAGTCCTGACTAAGCTTCTCTGTAATGTTAAACGGAGTGCAATGCTTAGCATGCTGCTTTAAGCTTCATAACCTTATCTTTTGGTTACAATAGTTCACAGTTTTAATTAAACACAAATCACTGACACAAAACTCCTAACAGAGCAAAATAAGATTAAAGCAGAACTCCTGATATTTGTATTTAGTATCTCTAAGGACAATCCTTCCTGATCATTCAGGCTGCTGTGAAAGGGTGTTACACCTTACTGGTCAAGCCACCTTCCTGATGATTCAGGCAGCTGTGAAAGGGTGTAACACCTTACTAGTCAAGCCACCTTCCTGATTATTCAGGCAGCTGTGAAAGGGTGCAACACCTTACTGGTCAAGCCACTATCCTGATAATCCAGGCTGCTGTGAAAGGGTGCAACACCTTACTGGTCAAGACACTTTCCTGATGATTCAGGCAGCTGTGAAAGGGTGTAACACCTTACTGGTCAAGCCACCTTCCTGATCAGATGAATGAGATTAACAAGAACAAACAAACTATAACCAGGCCTCTGTGAGGTACAATCCAGTCATCTGCTGATCAGAAGAACTTAACCAAGCTGCTGTGAAGGATGGTCCAACAACTTCATATAGGTGTCAATCACCCCAGGTTACCTCTCATAAAACCCTGCAAATTCACAAAGTAAGCCTTACTGGTCAAGTTACCTTCCTGATCAGACTTAGCTAGGCAGCTGTGAAGAATGGTCTAACACCTTAGTTACAGGTCAAACCACCTCCCTGATCAGACTAGGCCAGGCTCAATGAAGCTGCTGTGAAGAACAGCTCCACACCTTACTGGTCAAGCCACCTCCCTGATCAGATGAAGGATCAGTAAGACAGCTATCACATATATGTCATTCCACAGATAACAATGTGTTCTATCAGCCAGGATTCTACAGATACCAATATGTTCCCTATTTAGACAGGATTGCTCCCTCCATCACAATGATACAAGATGTATCTATTTCCTTCAAAGAGAACAGGCTATCTGATCTGAATGGTAAATATATCTTTCCAAGACAGAACTCACACTAATCTTGTAAGCAAATACTGCTCCCCAAACCATGAAATTACTTTGACCTAAAATGACTAAGAAATAGATAAAATAAATAAACCAATAAAAATTCACTCACGGTGGATAAACAAAGACAACCTTGATCCCCTTGTGATCAAAGAATCAAACATGTCAGTCTCACCTCCCTCCGTTACTTATTACTTTCTGCCAGATAAAACAATAAATTAGGTCCCTGTAATGTTTGAAGGCAATGAGGTACATAATGAGAAGATCCCACTTTGTCTCAAGCCTGTTATTGATAAGATAAGCAATAAGAATTATAGTCGTTCCATTGATGCTGGTATACCTCCCTCAGACTTGGACACTTGTAATCTATACCTCCCTCAGACTTGGACACTTGTAATCTATACCTCCCTTAGACTTGGACACTTGTAATCTATACCTCCCTCAGACTTGGACACTTGTAATCTATACCTCCCTTAGACTTGGACACTTGTAATCTATACCTCCCTCAGACTTGGACACTTGTAATCTATACCTCCCTCAGACTAGGAGCCTTGTAATATATACCTCCCTCAGACTTGGAGACTTGTAATCTATACCTCCCTCAGACTTGGAGACTTGTAATCGTTGTCATTAGGACTATTTCGGGGGTGG